AGGAAGAGCAATACAAAACAAGTATAGGAGGATTTCTATCAATTTGTATGATAGCTACAATCATAAGCTTCTTTTATTCCAACATCATTAACTTTTTTGCAAAATTAAACGTAACTTCTACATCAGAATTCACATTTGCAAATGATCCAGACGATTTGAAATTGGATAAAGATCATTTTATGTTTGCTGTTTAGATCGAATAAGATAATTTCACTACTAATCCTTTTTTCAATATCACAGTTGAACAGCGTCATTATCATCGATATCCCAATGGTACTCAATATCGATACCCAAATATCTATATTGACTTGGTACCCTGTACGATAGACCATTTTTCACATCTCTTCGAATTGTACAGTGTCAATTTTACAGATTAGTTTGAGTAGTAAAATCTAAAAAATTTCCTTTGTCCCAATTTAAACTTTATTCATAGCTAGAATATGACTGTGGGAGGAGTTTGGGCAAGCAATGATTATTATTTCTTAAAATTCTCTGTTACCAATTGCATAAATTCATCAAACAATAATTTTACTTGGAAACCCACATGCAAAACTTCAGATGAAATAGCAAGTACCTTAAATTATCAAGGGAGTTTTCGATTTCAGGTCTTTACAACCAACTTTGTATGATTAATATATTTAACTATGTAGTTAATCAATCCAAACAGACCAAAAGATTTTGTTTAACCATTTTTAGCAACTGATTAATTTTACACTTTTGTACCAGATAAAATGTTTGTTTAATCTGACATATTTTTTCGGACAAAGAAAGTCACAACCGATTAAGGAATTCTCATGTATCCAGATAAATTATATGACGCCTTTGCTTTTAGGGATTACGGGGATTAAAGAGAACAATTTGAAATATCCAGGATAACTCCAAATTATTATGGAGCCTTCTACTTTTAGAGAAGTCCCTATTCATATCAGATCAATAGGAAGTTCTTGCGTTTGGATGAATTATTGAGTTATTTGGGAGGGTTCACTTAGTTTATGATGGTTGTAGTTGGAATTCTGGTTAGATTTTATAACAGACAACACCTAGTTGTTTCGATTGCTAATGATCTTTATGAATTTGATATGAGTTTGAATAGAACAACTACTTAAATGAATTTTAATACCCTTTTAGAAAAGAAAGAGAGAAGGGAGATACAAAAACAAAAGACGAAGAGCAATCATTAGGCCTTGCCAAAGATTTAAGTGATGACTACTTTCTCAAACAAGCCTGATATGTTACAAAATACTATACCAGCTAATAATGATACAGAGGGATATGAATAAAAACATTCAATGGAATATAATCAACCAGCGTAAACTAGATTGAGTATTCTCAAAGTAAAAGCTTTTGAGTACTTTGAAGATTTTAAGGAATTTATAAAAAAAAAGTATGTAATCGGTTTAGGATTTCGAGTTATTCTGAGCTCGATTATCCCCCTAGAATCCATAAAAAATAATGATTGTGTGGTACTTCAAAGAGCCATGTACTATTTATAGAGTATCTTAGTGATTAAGTGAATAAGGAATTAGATATAGAATATATCATAAAATAGCTTCATGAGCTTGCAAAACTAAAAAAGGTTTTGTTCACTGAAGAATAGATCACATTATTTAATTTCAGTAGAAAACCTAAAATTGCCTTAATACAAGAAGGGAAGAAACGGCGATCTACAAAGTAAGATGATATTTAAATCAATTTTAGATACATAGTTAATGAGTCTGTTTCAGCAGAAGAATAGGGATTGCTTCGGTAGTTTAATAATTTAGTGACTTCGTATTATAAGATAATGGGATAGGATTACGAGAGTTAAACCCAGGAGTAAGTACGATTTAACTAAAGACTCATAATATTGTTGGGTAGTGAATTAATGAATGTATTGGAGAAGGAGATTTCTCAACAATAGCATTTGGATTCAGAAAACAATGAAGTCAAAGAAGAGGAAAACCTGATTAGTGATAAGGAAGTACAAAATGAGAAGAAAGATTGAAGTATATGTCATTTATTATATATAAATAATATTCTTTTATATCTACAAAAGGGATAATAATAATAATTCTAACAATCACTTAAACACTAATTTCAATTTTTTTTAATTTTTAAGAATTAATTATGCTTGAAGAAATATTGCTGAGTGGAGTCGCAGTCAAAGAGATAGCATCTCATTCCAATATTACCTTAATAGGAAACTAGGTTGAAGAGCATTATAAATGCACGGACTCATCAATTACTTAATTAATAGAAGATATGATTTATGTTGTGTATGTTTAATTGTGTATATAACAATAGAAAGGTTACGAATGGGTAGACTGTATCGATTCATAAATATGAAATGAAAGACTTATTTTGTAAGTAAATATCACTGACAAGTGAGTACCTTAATTTTTCTCATTTAATTACTTAAAATGGATGTGTTATAATGAAGGATAATGATACGCCCTATTTATTGGTAGTGACACAAACAGGATAAATATTTTATAAGAATTTAATTACTAATGCTTCTAGCATAATTAAGAATTTGATGGTGGATAATCAAAGAATTGTGTGTCTGGCTAAATCACTAACCAACAGTGGTAATTAACTCAAAATTTATGCGTTGAGCGAAACTGATTAATTAAATTCTATAACAATAGATGTGCGCAAAAATGAAATTCTGAAAAGCAAATATCAACTAAGTTTTGGTACCAAATTTTTAAGTAAATTTTTTGGGAATCAAACTAATGATTGGAAGACTGCATATTAAATTAATGATAAACAAATAATCTACTACTCCTTTTAAACTTAATTTCATTTGTTGGAAATTAAAGGAACCGATATACCATCCAGATAATTACAGGTTGAGGACAATGTCAAAGTCAAATAAATAGAAGTGTTCTAACATAAACCAAATGGATAAACTACCTTATGTTATCTACATTAAAATCAGTTGAAAATATATTCACTAATTGGAAATTAATTACGAATAAATTGTGTCATTTCTCAATTGGAATTCTTATAAAACATAACATTCAGCATCAGTAGTATTTCCAATACTATAATTTTGATCTAAGGATGCGAAATCTATTAATTAGTGATTGAAAGCAACTCATTTGAATTGATTAACTCAAATAAAAATCCAATTTTAGGTTTTATCAACCAAGATGATTAATTGTTGTTGTTCTATAGAAACCATATTTCCTTTATTAATTAGCTTTAAGATCAGATTAGTAAGAGATAATATCAGTTAAGACAAGAAATCACAAAGTTCAAAAAGGATGTGGAGAATCAATATAAATTAAAGGATGAAGAGCTGATCCTTCAATCAATCTCGATTGATTCCTTTGTGGAGAATAAACTTGATCAATTTCAAACCCTCATCAAGTTTATGCATCGAAATTTAGACCAACGAAGGATTATCCAATTGATGAAATAACAATGTAATAACTTTTGCATCGAAGACTTTATGAATGAAGTAATGGATGAGTTGGAAGACATTTACTATTATTTGAAACCAACCATTCAAATGCTAGACTTGGATTTCAATCAAACCTACAACCTATTGAGTTAACAGCTAATGTGTTTGGATCAATTCTTGATGCATGTCTTTTACGATGAACTCTAAAACATCTAAGAGCCTCGGTAAGAACAATCAGTAAAATTTTCGTTGCTGAGATGCTTAGTAATCAATCAACTCAAAGACTATTACCTCATGTATTTGGAAATCTACATTGGTCTGGCTGTCCTCGCCAATATATCCAACTTTCAATTAGATCTCCAAAATGATCATAAGTTATTTTATGATACCATGCTTCTCTTAACTTTATTATAGGATAAGGGCTATGTATCCTTCTAAGATCTAATTAGGAAAATATTCTAATAAGTATCCTATGAGGTTTCTTTGCAGAAATTAAGTGCCATTCAAAATGTTGTCTATAAATTTATTAACTTAATCTACAAGGAGGTGTACAGGGACTTTGCAATCCCAGAGGAGTTATTATGTGAGGCTTTCGTAGATAATTAGAAAAGATCTTTGATACAATAAAATAATGCAAAAGAAATTATTAGGCATTTCAAAATAAGTGAGTAGATTGGATTATAAACACATAAGATTACTGAATTTATAAATGAAAACGAGGATCAATATCAAGAATTAAAATTGAGAATCTCGTTTTATCTGCTATAACAACAGGACTCTTACGGAGGAGATGAATGGGAGATGATATTAAAGAAATTGATAAGTTTTGCTATTAAATAAGAGCAATATCAACTTTTGTTTTAAGTTTTGAACATGAATGAGACAAAACAAATAAATGAGTAATTGTCGTTAATGATTGAGAGCAATCAGTTATTTAAATGCCAACTAAGTAAGTTATATTGCAAAATATGATAGATGCAAGAACGACTGATCAAATCGCAGAATTGTTACTTCAATACTCTCGTGAGAAATGTCTAAACTTGAATAAAGGAGAGAAGATACTTCAATACTTCAGTTTTCTAATGAGACAAGAATCCAAAATCAAGGTATTGAATATTTGAATATGTAACAGGCTTTTACTTTGTTGTTCGAGTATATTGTGAATTTGGAAATGTTGTTATTCACTTTAAAGTTCAAGAGCGTGAATCGTGGAGTGAAGATGCAATTGGATTACATCAAGATATTGTTGAATCAGATGGAATTACAGAGCAGGTAAGACAATTTACCTTATTCAAAATAATTAATTTGCAAGTTGAGTGATTAGAATTATGAGCAATTTAAGAATCCAAGCACTATTAATGATAAATCTGAGATTGATTTTGCATCGCCAAGAAATATCAGAATAGTAAACTAAGAGCAGCTAATAAAATTTAAGAAATACAAGGAGATTTAGCATTATGTGTGTAGCCATTACACTCCTTATGCCTAACTCAATAAGGTTGTAGAATAATTGATATTCAAAAAAGATCTGGATTAATTGATCAATGTCTTTGAATTGAGTTTAGATCCCAACTTCGAGAAGAATATAGTGTTTTTCTATTTTAGTAATGAGGAATAGAGACTAGAGTTGCTCAATAAGGTGAAACCATTTCTGAGTCAAAAGGAGTTTTCAATAATTCTGGCGTAGATTTGTGTGGTCTGCAATTTGAATTTCGAAAAGTGCAAGGAATTGTTTAAGATGGCCTAGTGTCAAGAATACTTTTTACAATATCTGATTAATGTTAACAAGGAAGCCATCGCCTATATGATAGTCTGATTGTTCTATTCATTTTATAAAAATTTTAGGAAAAACAGTATATTTAAAATATAACTATCTGTCTTGTTAAAATATATATAAATATATTACATACAATTAATTTAGAAATGATTGATAACAAGAATGCTCTGATTAGTTGTAGTGCATTTAAAGAGAGTGGTGTTTTGAAGGGATGGTGCGAAAGATTGCTGATTTATGATTTATTGAAATAAGTAAAATTTATGATAGATAGGGAGGTGTTGAGATATATAGACGTGAAGGGGTAAACTCAAAAGTAGTTGTTAATTGAAAATTATATCATCCATCCAGTTGGTTTTCATTAAGGAAAGTGGTCAATTAAATTTAAGACTCAATAGGAAATTGAACCGAGAGTGGCAAGGTTTGGTTGGACTAATCAATCTGAAGCTCTGCAATGGTACGATTATTTCAACGGAAAATATTGGACTTAGAAAATAAAAAAAGACAATATGGAGAGGAATCTCTAAGAATGGGATAAATTTATGCCTGAATCTGAAAGAGTGGTGAATCAAATAGTGCCTACAATGGATATTAAACCAAGTTAAATTTCAAGAATGAGACAAATCATACCATTGTTACCACAATTTTTATAAGTATAATAATATTATTAAAATTAGAATGATATTGAAATTATATTAGAAAACACATTTGAAAATTTATAAGGTTTTTCAGACATCCATTCGTTTAAAGTTTTGCATCAATCTCAAAACAAAGTACTCTATCAAGACTCCAAGGACCCTTTGCATATGCGATTCTTTCTGAAATCCGAAATGTCTCCAACCAAAATATTTGATGTACCCCAGATTACCTTATTCATTAGGAACTATCGACTCATAATTTCATAGACAATTGGAGTCCTCAAGTATCCATATACTAAGTGTATCCAACTAAAAAAGATTGTGCTATAATCTACACAGAATTTGATCTAAGTAGAAATACATAAGAGAAGATCAATGAAATAGAATTTGGAGGAACTTAGAACTTTTAGTAAAAACAAAAGCAAAACATACAAAACGAAAAGATAAGATTAATCTATACATAGAAACACTTTCAAATTGATGAAAGTGCTTATTGCATTATGAAAAAATATATTGGAAATGAAATACATCATAATCAATTTGACAAAGACAGAATCGATGGAACTGATCAATATAAAATTACGAGATCATGTGTTCTAATATAAGCATAATAAGATGGCAATTATAAGACATAAATTATTGAAGACATGTATTTGTCATGCCAAAATGGAGAAAAGGGTGAGGAGGTTATGAAACGATTTCTTCTGTCATTCTCAAACATTGATGATCAAATATTAGAAGCTGATCACTATATCAAATAGAAGACAGAACATGTGCTTATCAAGAATGAGGATGATATTGAGAACTTTCAAATTTCATTTATTCAAATAGAATAAGAAATACATAGAATTACCTCTGAATAGCATCAACAATAATCTATTTAAGAATATCAAGAAATATTGAATTTAATCGAAAGTGGCTATTACATCCAACTATCCATCAATAGATAATTTAATCAAAGTATTTTACCTGGGTTGGATAAATAATTAGAAACATCCAAAGAAGATGGTCATTTCTTACTAACTAAATATTATGAACTTGATCCCAAGAAGGGTGGCTTAGTTTATACTAACAAAAAGTTAGTCAGTGATTAAAGAAGTGTCCTCTTAGACATCATTAAGAGGATGGGTTCCAATTTGTTGAGTGGCAAATCATTGATGTCTGTTTCGTTGCCTATTCAGGTCTTTGAAGCCAGATCATTTTTAGAGAGAATGGCAAGGGCTTAAGGCCATGCTCCCATCTTTCTTGAAAAAGCAGCCTAAACGATGGATGTTATGGAGTAGATGAAATTAACAGTCGCCTTTCACATGTCAAGCTTTATGATGGGAATTTAGTAAGAAAAACCATTCAATCCTATTATTGGAGAAACCTTTGAAGGTAGAATTAAGGGATGTCCAATATATTTGGAACAGACCTCTCATCATCCACCAATATCAAATTATATCATGTACGGAAGAGGATATAAACTATTCGGAGCATTCTGCCCTGTCGTTAATATGGGAACTAATAGTTTGGCAGGTGAGCAATAAGGTCATTCACAAATTCTGTATCAAAACACTAATCTCAAATTTTACTATCTGGCTCAACCCTTTATGCTCTACGGAGTTTTGCTTGGCTAAAGAAGTGTCAACTGTCATAAGAGAAGTTTTTGTTTCTAACCTGAACACTAATTGTTAATGGAAATCATTTTCAACCCCAAAGACAAGTCCTCAAGCTTTTTTAGCTCCTCATAACAAAAGATAGATGCTTTAGTTGGCAAAATTTGTAAAGTGACTCCTGGATGCATTTAAAAATGTTTGAAGGCTCATAAAACAAATTCAGGAATCAAGTTGAAAATTTTACCATAAGAGATTCTAGACACTTACAATACTAGTATCAAAGGTAGATGGACATCCTATATATAATTTGATAATGTTAAATATTGGGATATTGATCTTCACAGGTATAATATATCTAATGCTAGACCTTATGTTCTCGAGTTGGAGTCGTCTCCATTGCCATCCGATTGTCTCTATAGATTGGATTTGTTATTTATGAAAATGAAGGACATCTCTAGAGGATAGGATGTAAAAGAACAAATGGAAGTGGATCAAAGAAAGGATAAAACACTAAGAGAAAAATTTAAAAAGAAGAAAAAATAAAGTTGAATATGAAATCATTATAATCATCGATTAATACATCCTAAAGCAATTAACGCTTTAGTTAAAAATCCTTAGTTTTAACAACAACTACCTTATGATTGTTGTTGATCTTATTAGCGTTAGAACTAAAATTATAAACTCCTGAATTTCATAGCTTCCCATTCTTAAATCGATGATTTTTAACAAAAATGACTGTCAAAAATTTTTGATTAACTTTCAAGAACTTCAGATGTATAATGAGTTGATTTGAGAGATATCATTGAAGAGCTTCTTATCGATCCTTTTCTGTCTTATCCTTATGACAACATCCATTGATGATTTTTTATCTGATCAATGGAAGGCCTACAAGGAATTCTATACTAAAGTAGACTGTTGATTAAGGACTTGCATTCATCAGAAACATCGTATTCGTATTCCAATTGCCTTCTTGATAGTATTTTTTAGCTCTTTTCTAAAAATGTCATCCCTTAAAATGGTGTTTTTCCTTAAACCATTTCGTACAACAACACCCCCAGACTCCATAAATCAGATTTATAATCAGTTGTTTAGGATTGTATCATCTCAGGAGACATATATTCAGTAGTACCACAGAATGCTTTGTGGTAATTTGGCATTTATGTAGCCCATCCAAAATCACCTATTTTTAAATCTCCAGATTTAGTTATTAATAAGTTTTCAGGCTATTTTAAATTTTCTATTTGTACTTTTAAATCTCTGTGTACAATCTTCATTTTATGCATATATTCCAAACCGGCTAGCAATTGGGAAAAGTATTAATAAGCTTCTTTCTCTTGTAAGCGTTATTTACGTTTTATCAATTAAAAAAGTGAGCCCTATTCTGCATATTCCAAGATTAAGAAGACACTATTTAGTTTTAAGTTACATAACAGTACCTCATCTAATCTTCGTAACAGTAGCATAATTTTAAAATATTTGGATGACAAAGTTTTTTTTATATCAATATTTCTCTTTTTAAGTTTTCTATTGATTCCTAGGCCTTAAGTTTTGATTTACTAATCTAAAATATTTGATCAAAATTTTACGGTCTTTCTTGCATAATATATTCGACTGTTAATATCTCTCACTAGTGAAACGGACCCATACGCTCCAGAACCTAAACATTATTCAATTATTTGAAAGTCCCTTTGAAAATTAATGATTTTATACTTTTCACTTTTCTTTTAATTGCTGTTTCCTTAGCTCCACTGAGAGTCAATATAACACAACCTAATAACTAGTCTTATATAATACAATTCATTCTTATTCTAAGCAAGACCATGATCATTTGCTTATTAAAACACCTTTTAATTCATATCTTCTTTTTTCTTAATAACGATTTTGTTCATTATAAATACTTAAGAATTTGAAGATATTAATTTATTTGGATCAATTTGTTTTCAAAATATATTATAGTAAAATACATGAAAAAAATTTAGACACAAAAGCACAAGGGCTTTAATATCAGATTAATGGTGTACTATTCTAACTCATTAATTAAATTATAAATAATTAGACATTTGGAATTAATACGCTAAATTAATTCTTTTTACTTTGAACATCAAATTATATTGATTACACTCTAAGTTAGTTCTTCGGAGTATTGATTAGATATTTATTATTGGTCATAATATTATTCTCAATTAAATAATGATATTTGATAGAAATAACAAATAAGTATGATTGATCTATTAATAAAATGTGTTACTAATAAAATAATTGTTAAGATTGAATTAGAATAATATTTGTATAAGTGGAAAAATTAATAAACAAATTCAATCTTTTAAACAAATAATTGTAGACATCCAATAAACATGTAAATTTAGAAATTAAAGAGAATGATTGGAGTAGATATGAAGATGAATTTTTGATTATCATAATCTTAAATCTGATCTGATTCATTTCTAAAACGGGAAATTCTTTTTTATTAGATATGTGATATAAATGCATTATAAATTAGGTCTTATAATCAATAAAAAGCTCATTATTATGATTCTTAGCATGTTGAGTAAAGTTTATAGATGCTTAATAGCTCTTATTTGTGAGAATAGTATTGGATGTCAATAATGAATGTTGATAATTTGATAGAAAGGTTAACAAGTAAGTATTACATTTTAATTGTTATATTATTTTGTATTGCCTAATATTGAAATATATTATATGAAATGGATTTTATTTATGATTAAATATATTTTTAATAAATTAACTGTTTATAATGAGTTAACTGAAGAAATTAAATCAGCAGGTTAAATAAGTGAAATGCATAACACTATCCGCTAATTAATCTCATCATTCTCATCAGTCATCAGTGAAAACTTTACCAAAACCAATAGCATCTCGGCCTGTAACTGCGATTACTAAGAATAGTAATAGAGTGGAGGCTGTCAAAATAGATCTGGTCAAATAGAAAAAGCAAATAACAAATATTAGTGTGACTAGATCTACTTCTTCTGCTCGTACAAGATCTGCTTCCAATGGACCCAAGGAGGAAAAAATCCCAAGAATTTTAGGAGACTTATTAGGTCCTGAAGTTGAATTGGCAGATTGCTAAGATTTCTTATTGTAATTGAATGAGCCGCAATTTAAGATGGATGAAGACTTAATGAAGGAACGTGTGATTTTGGCCAATAGGATAGCAAATACAATTAAGGTGAAAAAGAGAATACCGACAACCACAGCAGATTATTATAAGGTTTAATATATTGGCTTAAAATAGGCAGCTGTGTTCTGTTATAGGGAAAGGCGCTTTTGCTAAGGTTTGTCTAGGAATCCAGATTTTGACAGGAGTAAAAGTAGCAATGAAGATTATTGAGAAATCGAGTCTCAAAAATGAAAGTGCCAAAAAAAGGTTGATGCAAGAAATCACATTAATGAAACTCTTATAACCATACAAATGTTGTATTCGATTATACGAAGTTTTCGAAACCAAAAGATAAATCTATTTAATTATGGAATATGTCGAAGGAGGAGACTTAATCAAGTTTACCAAAGAAAAACCATTATCTGAATAGATGGCCAAAAATATATTTGGACAACTGGTGTTAGCACTTTAAATCTTGCAAAATCATAATATACTACATAGAGATATTAAATTAGATAATATCTTATTGTAAGGAGAATAAATTAAACTGTGTGATTTTGGTGTAAGCAGATAGATTGTAAAGGGACAAAAAATATTGGAATAATGTGGAACTCCAGCTTATTTAGCCCCAGAAATCATGACATAAAAAACTGGATATGAGGGTTTCGCTAGTGATATATGGAGTTCGGGGGTTCTTCTGTATATTTTATTGGTTGGCAAAACACCATTCAAGGGCAATAATATGAATGAACTCAATCAATAGATTTAGAGTGGACTCTTGAATTTTATGGAAATTAAAAAGGCCAATCTCTCAAATGAAGCTGTGGATTTGATGAAATCAATTCTAAATATCAATCCAAAATTGAGATTTACATTATAGGAAATCATGAAGCATACTTGGATGAAAGAAATCGATTTTAAATAAATTAAATAATAACCTAATACAAATCTGGATTTAAGAATTATTTGTTAGGTATATTATTGATTTAAACTCATTTAGATTGAATAATATGGCTACTAAAGAGAAGTTATAATAAAAACTTTATAAAGCAAAACATTAAGCCACATATCTGCTCTTTATTGGGCATTATATTAGTGATACTTATATATATGTACATCGAAAACTTATTATATTTAAGTACCAATAAATATTTATGCTTTTTAAATAGAATTTAGAGATTTTTTAATATATAATTCTTTAATGATTATTTTTATTTATTGATCACCCTTGCATGTACTTATTATAAAGAAGGGAATTTCTTAACTCTTAAACTGATTTAAATTCCATTTTTAGTAAAGCTTGGATAAGTTGCAGCTCTTGTTAATAATGTGCTTAGATATGAGGTCTAAATTAACTAAGAAAAGGTGAGAAATTAATGCTTACTTATTTTTCGCATTTTTATGATTTTAAATTCTTTCCTCTCTACTACATATTGGATCGCATAGATCTAATATAATAATTCCAACTTAATATAGTTCTTCTTTTGCATCATACACAATTCCTCTCCTCTACATTCCATTATTTATTTCTACAGTTCCGCATTCTTTACTAAGTATTAACCAATTAATCTTTTATCCATCATCATTCAAATGCGTTTTGCTCCAATCAAAATCGCAAATTCTTACAGCAACATCTCCACTATTATCTTTTGTCACGAGAACGTTCTCCAATTTTAAATCTCTATGAAAGAAGCCTTAACCATGAATGTACTCCAATCCAATAATTAACTAATTAATCAAAGATTTTAAGGTCTTTATCTTTTATTCCACTGGTGCTTTTGATAGACAATTCACACTGAATTCTAATAAGTTATTGCAACCTAAATACGAATCATATTCTTGTTGTAAATAAAGATAAAAAAATCTCTAATTTTTCTCGTTAATCTCCTGTTCTACCCACCAGCTGTACAATCTAATCACATTTGGATGTTAAAGTCGTAACATTGCTTTGACTTCTCTTATTTGAGTGATCTGATTATAAAACAATTTCTGCCAACTGAACTCCCCCATTAATTTCACTTTTTTAATCGCATAAATTTATTAATCCATTTTATTAATGGCTAAAATTATAGATGTTTATCTCTAAGTCTCTTAATAAGGTCTGATAACACAGAATTCCTTTACAAATTTTCCATTACTAAACATATCACAATGATTAAATTCATTAAATTAAAAAAATTTAAATTCGTAACTTACTATCAATCCTTTCTATGGGTCTTTATCACAGCATTATAAAGGTAATGAAAAATCTATTAACTATTGAACGATGTTTTCATTGACTTCTATCAAACAACAAGCTTTTTGAACTGAAGTTGATAAAATAGGCTCTATTTTAACATCAACAGGACGTATTTATTTCTATGTATAACAAATCTATAATTACCATCGATCCCTAAAGCATCTTGGTGACAATGTACTCTATTGCTGTAATCACATCTCTTCGTGAAATAATATGCTATATTTTATTGCTAAATTAGTTGATTATAACGACTGCGAAAATATTGGGAGAGGGGGCTTCTTCTTGTTGCATCATCTAATTATTGATCTACTATTGCTTTTGAGGAGGTCTTAATTATTCATCTTCACTATCAATAAATTCTATATCAATCGTATCCTTATACATATTCCTTTAACTTTAATTTGATAATTAAATAAATAAATTTTAAGTAAATAAATCCAATAAGTAGAAATTCAATTTCTAAATTAAACTGAAATTCTGATAAAGTTAGTAGTATATTACATTTTTAATCAACCACTTTTCAAATTTTCTCTTGCGAATAAAATATAATAATTTTATTAATAAATTATGATAAGGGAAAAAGTTTGGCTCAAGATGGAGCAATTGTAAAAAAGGCAAAGAGAAGACAAGTTTTAAGTAACAACATAAAACACATGCTTTGTAGTTAAAGAGAAGATTCCAGTATCCAATTCAATAAATTTTGGATGAAATCATACAGGATAAAAGTTTGATCATCGATTTACTCTACAGCAATCATAAATTGACTGAAAAAGCGTATTAATGACATCTATGTAGATTAAACTATGGAATTATTGATTGTCTTCTCAGCAATTGCAATTCGAATAAGGCATGCCTCTAATTATTGGCCTTAATTATTTTGAGGTTTATAAATATAGTTTAAAATTAGAGATAAGAATAAGTTAGTTTAAGAATACCTATAAGATAAAGAGATCACTTGCTAAACAATTAAGCAATTAATATCTTTGAATAGAGATTGATTTTTAATAATTTCTGTTTGTAAACTGAAAATTTAACTATTTTTATTCCAAAAATATTGAACTAAATATTTAGCATTCTATCAATGAAAATATACATTTTATTTTATTAAAACAACTCTTTCCAATTAGATTTGATATCCAGTATCCGATATTATTTAATTCTAAATTACATATATATTGTTAGTTTTATTATGTATCATAAAAATATTAAATAGAAATATAGGATATTTAAATCAAATTATCAGCTTTAATAAAAATATTATATTCTTGTTTTATAAAAAATATCAAATCAAAACTAATATTATATATCTAAGCCTTTTTCAATTATTAGCAGTACTTAACTTTGTTTTGATAATAATATCGATAGGAATAGACATGAATTAATTAAAATATCAATTTCAACATCATTGATATTTGCGTAGTCTCTAGCAATGCTGCATTGATCTGTTTCAAGAAATCTAAAATGTTCATTATTTTATAATTGGATAAATTAGTGTATAATTATTTTATATGTAGATAATTTTAATCTTGTATAATCTCAATCTAAAGATATTAGAAATAAATCTATCATGTCTATGGCTGTATCTTCATCAGATTATATAAATTCCTTGATATTTTTCAATTGGAAATCGTGAGTTTTGGTTAAGTACACGATTTAATCTAAAGTCTTAACCTTGTTTTATTTTGCAAATTCCTTTAAGTCTTCAAAAAGTTCTGAATTGTTTAATTGTTTTTCGTATTGTTCTAATCTTTTTAAAGCCAATTCTTTATAATAATCTTTGACTTGTTGCTAGTTTTTCAAATAAATTGATTACTTTAGGTTATTAAGGATGCATAGTTAATTAAGCATGAACTGCTGATTTTCTCTTTATTCGTTGCATTTTCTTTTTGTCTCTTATGATGAGGTCTTACACATCATGCATAAACTTAGCAGCCTTTAAAGGTTCAAATTCCTTTAGATTTAGATTTCCACTTGCAAATTCTTCTATTTTCTAAATGTTTTAATCGATAAATTTTTAAATTTCATCATCATCTTCCTTGAATGTTACTTTGGCTTTCAATTTTTCTATAATTTATAATGCCTATATTGCCTCCTATTTGACATCCTTACCTATTGAATTATACTCCATTAATTTAGACATGATTTATCTAATGAATTTATCCAAAGCTTCAGGTGTTGTGCCTTCCTTATCTAAATTGATTTGTTTTCCTCCAACTCTGATCGAATTATTCGTTGTATAAACTACTTGATTAGGAGTAACTCTGTGTACTGGGCCTGTAAATGTGGTCAACTGGCATTGAGGATCAACACGTATCATTTAATAGAACAACTCATCCTTAATATCTTACAATATCTTGGTAAAATCAATTTTAGTGTTTTAAATTAAATCAATTTAAGATGAAAGTATTCCTGAATTGTGAATAATCATTTTCAATTCAGCAGCCACAGTATGCGAAAATTTATCTCCCACAGCTAATGTATGAAATTTAAATTGGTATCCCTAAGAATGTAATTACTCAAAGTCCTTAGTCATCTCCTCTAAGTACTGGCCTATTCCATCATTTTCTTCTATTCCATCAGTCACAAATACGATAAGAATGTTTTGCAATAAGTTACCAGATTTAATCAACTTCATTAACTCTCTAAATCCTAGTTCTATGTTTGTCCCTTCCCCTTTTTATATAGATAATTGTGGGCTTTCTTGCAGTATTGCAGTGTCGTCATACTGAATACAATATATACTTTTGAATCCAGTCACAAAGTAATTCCACGCTTTACATAAGTCACCCCAAGCCTCACACATTGACCCTGAACCATCAATGATACCAACAACACTATATTCTTAAATTACGGCTGATTCTTTTAACCAATAAATGTAGGGAGTTGTCATTTTTTAATTAATATTATAAAACTTTATATATTGTTTTTTTTGGGTAACAGTTGTAAATCACACCTGAATATTAATAAATAATCAAAGTAAAGCATTCCAGATTAATTTAAATGCTAAATTACTCTATTTAGACTACATAAATTTCATGATACATTCATAAATTAAGAATAGTGGTATTGCCCTAATCACTTAATTGTTAAGGTTACTTTATTTTTCATTTTTATTACTTTTACCTTTTAACCATCCATTTTAGTTTTAGAAATACTAAATAGTATTTTATTAATTGTTACTACACTAATAAAATATCAATATTATAACAATTACAATTGTATCTTATAAATATTATACATACATACATGAATGATTATTCTAGAATAGATAAATTAATAAGTGAATTCATTTTAGAAATAGGCTATTAATTAATTATAATTCATAGTTGATAGTTATTCAATATATTGATGAAGGAAGGATTTTCAAAAATTATTTTTAGATTTTCTTATTACATAATTGTCTACATATTTTGTTAAATTGAGAACATTATTTGTAATTATATTTTATTAGAAAAAAAAGACATTATTTCTAACTCATTCATTTTCTTTAAGATTGGCACTTTAAAAAAAACAAAAGTTAATAATTTTTAAAACACATTTATGATTCTAGTTATAAATAGAAAAATAATAGTGTTCTTATGATTTAATCAATAAGATATTAAGAGAAATAAAGATATTTATAATATTCAATCAATATAAAAGGTTGCTTCCATTATGGTTAGATATATGCCTTCTACACCATCCAAATTTCCTATGTATTTCTGCATGATATCAAAGTGAGTATATGGGTTTTAAAGCTTTGACTTGCATAAAACATAATTAAACACAGATATCAATTCATCAGTACTCAAATTAGATGGTTTTTAAGCAAATTATTAATAATAATCCATGATGGTAGAATATATACTTTGAAAACAAATTACTAGCTATTTCATTTTATGATGAGGTGTTTATCTGAATTATATAAGTTATAAGACTTGTATTGCTTTTTCAAAGGGGGATTGGTGAAAAAAGGTACCTGAAAGCAATCTAGCCTAGGGTCTTGAGGGTAACTACCTAATATCAACATCCTCAATTATAAGAGTCTCGTAGGCACTTTATGGAATCTTATTGATGATAATCGAAGTATTTTTATTAATCTTGGTAGGTCTTTTAATTTAAATGTAATCTCTGGTTGTGCAATCTAAACAAAACTTACTTGAAATTCCGAAATCAGAGAGGGTTTTTTGTTGGGATTGGATTAATTTGAAATGAATCTTCTGATTTTACTGTAGTTATTCTTATTTTTTGATCTGGTAAACGTAAGTGGAGATCTCATCATCGAATAACATGTTAGTGACAAGACACTGAAGTGAGTTAAAATTTAAAAATTGGCACTGATTAATCGTAGCATATTGCTTAAGATTATAATAATGAATTAAAATCTAAATTAATAAATAATTACTTAAACATAAGAATCTCGAAATTTAATTAATTATGTATCTAAGTCATGACTAGTTTTGGGCAGTTTGGTTCTTCGAAAAGCCTAAAAGATTTCCAATAAACTGCCAGAGAGGGTGGATAATAAATTAATGACTCGTTTCTCATAATCCGAGAAGCAGGGATCACAATCTTGGAGCAATGTCGTGACTTAGAATTCTTGAGAAGGGTAAAAAGAGTTTCTTGATCGTTTGATGTTTTCTAGTTCTGTTGCGAATAGAGATTCATTGGTACTCATCGTAGTGTCTTATTCATACTAAGGTTTAACTGTTTGGTAGAGAGAAAGGAAGTTGTTTTTATGAAAACGATCTGATCTAACATCTATATGATATCCTAATTTTTACACTTCTCTTTCCACTCCGACGTACCAATGATTCTAGATATAAGAAGAGAGATATTACTTAATAATTTTTGTAAATATCATGGATGTTGTCTGACTAATTTATTTAGTTATTGCCCATTTATAATTATATAAATTTTAATTCAATTAACTATTCTGAATGTCTCCTTGTTTAAACATTCAGCTATGGCTGACCGCTTTTTAAGTTGGTCAATTAGCACTTTCAATTATTATAGCGAACAATTGAACTTCTTTAATAATTGCCCAATATTTGCTCGTTTATTGTGTCTGATGTATCCTTCGATCTATATCTCTAAGGGTTCATCCTTTAATGATTTCCAGTCGACTGGAGGTCGAGATTGCACTTCGACCTCAATCACCTTCATTGTGTGATACATCCAATCAGAGATATTTGAAGCCAAGTAATGTTGCAACACAAAATAAGGGGCGTCTTTAAATACTTTGATTGAAATTATGAATTTATAATAGAAGGAAGGGTCATCTCTACAAATTAGATCATATTAGCATACTTGCCATCATCTATCAATTTCAAAATTGGATCTTCATTTTATTTATTTGCAAAGTAAGTAACCTTCAGAATCCCAGTGTCATCGTTTATTGATATGCTGTACCTGACCTGATTTTATTCCTTGACTACTTTCTGAAATCTCCCATGAACACAAACAATTGTTAAATTCACATTATCATAATAAACTTAGTTCCCCTCCAAAGTTATTTAATTAAGCATTTTCACATTCAAAGGAACTATTCCTGAACTAACCTAATTTCATAATTCAATACTTCCATATTAGAATTTGTATTCATTTTCACTTTATTTTAAATATAAAATAATAATCAATTTGCAAAACTAATTAATTAAATTAATCTCACATGATCAGAGAGCCATTTGAGTGATTTAAAAATTATGATCTTAATTTTGATGCTCCCAAAAGCACCATATGTATTTAATAAGTTTTCATTCTTTACCCTCCAATTCTCTTTATAAAACTACAATTTCATAACAATTAAATGTAATTAACATAGGTTTTTGTGTTTAATAAATAAAGAATGATAAGTATATTAAGAAAGAAAATTTAGTTGTTGAATTTAATTAAATTCAAAAATGAATGCAAGATAAAGGTTACTCTAGAATATTAGTTGCATAGCTGGGAATGCAAGAATCAAATAATAGCAGAATCAGAGTAATGTAAGAATAAGGTCACAAAAGTCAAGAAAGGAGAATGCTAGTTTCATAGTTACAAAACATACTTAATAGCCTAAAGCAAACATCAATCTCTATTAGACTCAAATACATTCACCAATTAAAAATAGAAGCATGAATTAGAATAAAGAAAATAATATTAATAACACATTTGTGCCAATAAGGAATTCAGATGAACTAATTATAAATAGCGCAGAATCTCATTCACTAAATTTATCATATTCGCCTTCCTCTAAGAAAAAGCCCCAACCCTCGTGTTTCGTATTGCCTTCGAGAAGCATCAAACCAAAAATAAAATTGACAAGGAAAACACTAGAAATTAGAAACATATATTTGGATAAACCTAAACAAAATAATTTTATCAACATAAAATGTACATAAAAAATTATCAGATGATATTGATTACCGCATTATGCATTTTTATCAACCAACACATTATTTGAGTTATATTAAGAATTATATTTATTCAAAACATTATTGTAATTATATCTTTACTCAAATGAGCTATGCTTAGAAAGTAAAAAGAGCTAAATAACCATCTGAATAGATGGGATTTTGTGTTTAATGCTCAAATTTCATTCCCATTGCTTAAGTTGATCTTCACTGTCTAAAATGCATGCAAAACACCAATAAATTCAATAGCTAAATTGATTAAATCTCCTCATAATTGCAGCATATCAAGACCATTGCTTAAAAAGGATCAGAAAAACTAGACGAAGTAAGTGAAAAATACAAGTTCATGATTAGAATACAGGAGCTAAGTTCTCAAATTGACTGTATAAGATGCTATAATAACCAAAGTATCAAAAATCTAAAGGACATAGAAAGAGAAGTAAATGTACTGATATCATACCCCTAATCATCAATGACCATTATAATGTTGTTGAGCAGGTTATTATCCTTGGTAAAAGAGAAATTAGTTGTACAGAACCAGAAAAGACTGGTTTCTCAAAAATCATTTCCTAAAGGGGCTGACACACGAATAAAAACTGAATCACAGTATCAGGAAGGCAGTGAAGCAGAATACTCATATAAAGAATTCAAATCAGAGAACAACATTAGAAAAGTATCTGAATTCAAGAGATCTTTTTATTTTAAATGTTTGGAGTTAAAACTCTAGCTTCCAAAGGATGATCCAGCTTAATAGATTGTAGTTTAAGATTTATATAGAATAGTAGTTAGATAAAATTACAATCGGGAGGAGGCATTAAGATTTGTGAGAAGATGCTTAAGAGTGGGTAAAATTAATTAAGTATGAGTATTCTTTTTTCATTTATAACTTAATTAATAATAGAATCATTAAATTAATGGACTCTTCTCGAATATCAGATAATCGCTTCAAATCGTAATGGAATTACTATACAGCAAATAAAGTAGATGTAAGTTCAAATAAAGGAACGTTCAGACTCGGTACTGTAGAATGCTCCTGATTACTTGAAAACTTTGATGAGTCTAGCAACGATTATCAATTATAAGATGAAAACGTTAAGAATGTGATAATAATTACTAATATAAAAAGTTAATCAGTTTTTGGTTATTCAGATAGCCCATTTGGGATCATAAAAATATCTTTTAAATTGAGCTAAGAATGATTATTACTAACAAATGCATACCTTAGATAGAGTTTCTTCTTAGCATCATATTACTTTCGTTTATATCCTAGTCTGTATCCTGATTACAAACTGCTCTTCGATTACTTGAACTAAGAGGAATGTAAGGTGATTTTAATTCCTTTTTGAGTAATTTATTCCACTCAAATCCTCTAAACCATGGATGATTTTTTATAGCCTCTAGATCATATGATCCCAATCTTTCAGCCGGGTTTCGTTGGATCAACTTATAAATTGAAATTAACTATTGCTACTTGATTGATGAAATCTGCAGCTTCTAAAGACCATGAAGCAGGGATCTCAGATCTTTTAATTTACACTTATTTTGCTACTACATGGTCTCTTATTTCCCATCTCGAGCTACCAAAATACGGTCTTCTTCCAAACATACACTCATAAAGTAAGACACCTAATGCGAAATAATCAACGGGAATGCAGTGATTCTGTCTAAAAAGTACTTCAGGTGCCATGTAGCAAGGAGTTCCACTTGTATCAGATGAATTATTAGGATTCCAGATGGTTGATATTCCGAAACCTATCAATATGAGGTAGCCTTAAGAATCGAACATCAAGTTCTCAGGTTTCAAATCTCTATAGAGAACGGCTTAATAATGTAAATATTCTAGTGCACTTATAATACAAGCACTAAAGAACTCTAAGTACTAAATGGCAGTAAATACTTGTTTCTGTTTCCGAGAACTTTTTGTTCTTTTCCAAATGAAAACGGAGATCTCCTCCACTTAATAAATCCATAACCAGATATAAGTTTTCTCTGTCTTAAAATGCAGCTTCCATTTTGATTATAAAGGGATGTTTTAGTAAACAAAATAAAATTTTCTCGTTCAAAACTGAATTGACATTCTTATTCGAGATAATCCTTAATTTATAATTTCAATTCATTACTTTGCTTTTGACATCACTTTTAGGGCAAATAGCCTTTGGCTTTTTCTACTCCTCACTTTCCATATTTTCCCATATCTTCCTTACCACAGAACCTCAATAAATTCAAAGTTATGCACAGATAGAACTTGTTATGAAATTCTAAGTACTTGATGATTCTGGAAAGTCCCTCTCCTCAGTAATATTTTAATTGCCCATTATTTAATAAAAATAATGATTTTATGCTTTATCTTCATAGATATATATTTGTTNTAGAATGCTCCTGATTACTTGAAAACTTTGATGAGTCTAGCAACGATTATCAATTATAAGATGAAAACGTTAAGAATGTGATAATAATTACTAATATAAAAAGTTAATCAGTTTTTGGTTATTCAGATAGCCCATTTGGGATCATAAAAATATCTTTTAAATTGAGCTAAGAATGATTATTACTAACAAATGCATACCTTAGATAGAGTTTCTTCTTAGCATCATATTACTTTCGTTTATATCCTAGTCTGTATCCTGATTACAAACTGCTCTTCGATTACTTGAACTAAGAGGAATGTAAGGTGATTTTAATTCCTTTTTGAGTAATTTATTCCACTCAAATCCTCTAAACCATGGATGATTTTTTATAGCCTCTAGATCATATGATCCCAATCTTTCAGCCGGGTTTCGTTGGATCAACTTATAAATTGAAATTAACTATTGCTACTTGATTGATGAAATCTGCAGCTTCTAAAGACCATGAAGCAGGGATCTCAGATCTTTTAATTTACACTTATTTTGCTACTACATGGTCTCTTATTTCCCATCTCGAGCTACCAAAATACGGTCTTCTTCCAAACATACACTCATAAAGTAAGACACCTAATGCGAAATAATCAACGGGAATGCAGTGATTCTGTCTAAAAAGTACTTCAGGTGCCATGTAGCAAGGAGTTCCACTTGTATCAGATGAATTATTAGGATTCCAGATGGTTGATATTCCGAAACCTATCAATATGAGGTAGCCTTAAGAATCGAACATCAAGTTCTCAGGTTTCAAATCTCTATAGAGAACGGCTTAATAATGTAAATATTCTAGTGCACTTATAATACAAGCACTAAAGAACTCTAAGTACTAAATGGCAGTAAATACTTGTTTCTGTTTCCGAGAACTTTTTGTTCTTTTCCAAATGAAAACGGAGATCTCCTCCACTTAATAAATCCATAACCAGATATAAGTTTTCTCTGTCTTAAAATGCAGCTTCCATTTTGATTATAAAGGGATGTTTTAGTAAACAAAATAAAATTTTCTCGTTCAAAACTGAATTGACATTCTTATTCGAGATAATCCTTAATTTATAATTTCAATTCATTACTTTGCTTTTGACATCACTTTTAGGGCAAATAGCCTTTGGCTTTTTCTACTCCTCACTTTCCATATTTTCCCATATCTTCCTTACCACAGAACCTCAATAAATTCAAAGTTATGCACAGATAGAACTTGTTATGAAATTCTAAGTACTTGATGATTCTGGAAAGTCCCTCTCCTCAGTAATATTTTAATTGCCCATTATTTAATAAAAATAATGATTTTATGCTTTATCTTCATAGATATATATTTGTTTATAAGATCTTTGTAGATTAAATAAATAGTATTCAATATTTTAATTTTGGCAAGATCTCACTTTCTTCTACCTTATCCTATCCAACCATAGTGATCAAAGAGCATTTGGGTTTCTCGAATTCCTTTTTCAATTTACTCTCTCCCCTCACCTTTAGACTGCTTTCAAGATCCGCTTGCTTCAACAATAAAGTCTTCGAATTTAGAGTCACTCTCATTGAATTGTTTGACTAATCTTCTTCCTTTTCCACCATGTAACTCGATCCTCGCAGCTGTTGATACCAATTTTTTGGTGGAGAGGGCAATTCGTTAAGAAGTTACTTTTTTAGTCTATAAGCTGTTGAACTAATATTTTTTTGTCTAATTACCTGAACTCTTCTGCAATAGAGTGAGTTTGTCTCTGCTTCTTGCTTAACACTTACTTTGGATAGTCATGTTGACTAATTCCCAAGATTACTCTCGTTCTTGGAATGAAGTGATAACTCTTTATTATCTTGTATTTGCATTTCTTTCAAATAAATTCAATTACTTCTCTAATTGTAATTCTTCCATTTCATTTCTTTGTATTCTGTTCTTTGTTTCCTATAAATATTATTCCACATTAACATTTGCATGATGATTAACCAAAGTGGCCATTGTAGACTTATTATGAGAAACTTGTCGAGATAGGACATTTGAATGGATGGGATCATGGAAGAGAGGGATCTTATTGGATGATTGTGATTTCTTCATATTGGAGAGATTCGAATAGGATTGTTTCATTTTTTAGTACATAGCTGAGTTCTTCATTTTAGGAGAATTGGATAGTTTGGATTCTTCAATTTTCCTTTTTATTTTCTCAATAACATCAGGTTTTCCAACAACACTTCGAGCTACAATTTTATTGTTAATATCATATTAGGGACCATAATAGGGATTATGTTCTTCAAATATGTTGTTAGAGAGTTGTGGTTTTAACTTGTAACTCTTTATCTTATGCATCAAGAACAAAGTTTTTGATTATTGGAGATGATCTTGCATTAAAATATAAATATTTCACTATAATTAAACAATTCTATACGATGATCGACGACTGATATCTCTTTTATTATAATTAGAGTAATTGAAATCTTTGGTTGGCTGTTACACTAGATCCTATGGTAATATCATCAGATCCCTGGCTTCTTTGGATTCCAGTGTCAATTTACTATTTCCATTGACAATTATGTAATCAGAGTCATAGTACTGTTTACTCAACCTCTGATTGATCATATTCTTGAATTTGTCACTGCAAATTTTAACATTATTTCCACTCTTAATTATCTCGATGGTTGGATCATTTGTCTATTCGTACTTTCTCAGATTGCCATACCATTCCTTCACATTGGGTTCTCTCTATACGGCATTTAGAGTGTCCAATAATTGCCTTTTTTCTCGATACCCTTGACTTTTGTTAAGTAAAGTGTTGCTATAGGAACGCTCACAACGATTTGCCAATTCCTATTCCAATTAAGTCCATTTTTCTTTCTGCTCTTCGCAGGATTCTAAGATTCTTCTTTATCTGGTTAACAGATTTCTCTCTATGATAGGCAATGACTCTTCCTTAGATCTGAGTGAGATTTCAGATAGTTTAATGCTTTTTTGGATTTTATCGATATGTAATTGAATATCCTCCTTTGATATCTTGCTCAGTTGAACAGGCTCTCTTTTCTTCTTTAAGTTCTTTTTCTTCGTGAATGAGGTAATAACAAAAGATCTTAGCATCGAAGAATCATCATCAGTTACTCTGCTGTCTTATTAGACTTTGCCCTCTCTCTAGAATTGATCAACTGTTCCAACAATGGATCTCTTTATGATCTCACCTCTTTTATCATAGCGTGGTCCTTAGATGATTCCATTGATTTGCGAATCTTGGAAGATACTCGTGTTTTGTGATTTCGATCTCTGCATGTCTTTACATGGTTATGCGACAAATAGTACTTTAATATTTTATATACTCATTATTTGATATGTCGCCATATCTCACTAGTACTATTAAAGACTCTAACTAACGGGTTCTATTTTGATGTTCTTCCTCTAACTTGGTTCCTCGTATATCACTTATGATTTCGTGAATTCTAGTTGTTTTGGCGACGTAAATTGAAGGTACGTTTGAGACTGGATGTTCATTGGAAATTGTCTCATTGGAGATCTGACAACTAGTTATTTCTTCTGATTCTCCAATGGCATCCCTATACAATATTTTAGGCCTTCATTGAGACGACTCACAAACTTTTCGATGGATAATTGAATATTTCGATAATCTTGTTTCCATTTCGAATCCACATACTCCAAGAACCCTTAAACGTCATCCACTTCTCTAGCATTCAGAGTCTCCATCTGCATATCAAAGAGATGACAAAACTCAGCTGTGAATTGATTATGGAAATAGGACTTTATCATTTTCAAAAAGTTATCCTTCATCAATTCCAATAAACGGATCTTCTTTAAAAGTATGGCACTTTCTTTATTATTAGCCATCTCTAACTCTCTTTTTTGAGCGAATAATTCTATTTATTGAAATGCATTTTCTATGTCTGCTTCCAAATTTTAAGATGCCATCAATTATGCATCGACCTCACTCAATTAAGCAATAAAATTGATTCTCTCATTCTCCTTCCCTTCCCTCCATTGTTAGTGCTATTGTATTAACTAAGCCTTGGTTTCCTCTATCTTTTTCGAAACATTTCTTAAGCATCTCTCTATTCCCTCTTACAAATAATCATCGTATTACTCATTCTCAAAAGTATTGCTTTATTCCCCATTAACCAACTATAACAACCCAGGGGTGGAGTTCTTCTTATTGCTAGAATAAGTGGCCAAACACCCATTCTCATAAATGTGGTATAATTCCTCTACTTTGTGATTGCGATCATGCAATTTTACCGCACAAGTTGAACACATAACTCTTTATTAGCAATTTCTTTCTAAACAAATCCAACTAAGGCATTGCTTTGGATGATTTTTGCACATTTATTCACTTTCCATTTCTAACGATTTTCTAATTAATTATAGCAAACTTAGTGAAAAAATAAATTAACTAAATTCAATTCATAATATTATAATATCATTGCTAAACTAACATACTCTAATATAATAATTAATAGCAACATGATATGACGTAAATTAGGGGCATGTCATATCGTTTTGGAGAATAGCCAAAAACGGATAATTTAAATAAAAACGAAAACTAAAACAAACCTATCATCGATGGCAAGAAGTCAAATTATAAAAAATGAGGATGATTCATATGATGCCAAATCAAACAGAAACAATCAAAAGTACGAATAACCCATACAATCACCTCCAGATGATTATGCAAATGATTAAAAAAAAGTAGGACGATGGACTCCTTAAGAAGATGACAAGCTTCAAAAATTGATTGAAGGTATTCAAATTCAATTTATCGCTAGAATACGGGGAAAAGAGTTGGAGATTGATAAGTAATGTAATGGAAGGTAGAAGCGCAATTCAATGCTTACATAGATGGACAAAGATCCTTAGGCCTGGACTCAAGAAAGGTAGAGAGATTATTATATAATAACCAAGGCCCATGGTAGAACAATGAAGATGAGAGACTATTAGAATGGGTTAAGAATAATGGACCCAATAAATGGTCATTGTGTGCTGAGAATATCACAGGACGCTCAGGAAAGTAATGTAGAGAAAGGTGGTTCAATAATCTAAATCCAAATGTGAAAAAGGGGGGATGGACATCAGGTAATTTACCCATCTAATCAATTTAGACGAAGATAATGAAATTTTCAAGGGCTATTTAGCATATTCATCCTCTTGGTCTAAAATTGCCAAGAATCTCTCAGGAAGAACTGAAAATTCTGTCAAAAATCGTTTTTATTCAACAGTCAGAAAATTATTAGCTGATCAAGAAAAAAATGGAATATCCCTTTAAGTATATAACTATTATTTAGACTAGATGTTGGAAGTTAAATAAGAAAATGGGACATCAGCATTGTAAACTTTTGTGAAGGCTCACCTTTAGAAATTTGAATAATATTTGTCAATCTAAATGGAAGAGGAAAAACCAGCTTAAGATCTAAAGTTGGAAGAAATGGCTATCAAATCAGAAGATGATAGTGTGTCCAAAAGGAAGATGTATACTGACACTTATTAAGAATAAAACTTACTTTACAGGTTATTATAGTCACAGGGAGGTCCTATCAAGAGAACATCGTGTATGAAGGATTACTCAACAATCTATAAGAAATATAAGAAGAGATATAATTAAAGGAAGAAGGATAAGTAGTAATCTGAGAAGGTTGACAGACTTAGAAAGATTATTATGAAAAAAGATATTTAGAAATCATTCGCTGAATAATAAGAGTTAAATTTGAAATAGAATCTAGAATAGTATCTTTTGAATTTTCAAGAGTGTAAGTTGGAATAACAAAATTAATATTAGGATTCAGATAAACTCGATGAATTTCAAGATAAGCTATTGCGCTTCTTTAATTCATAATTGGATTAAATTATGACAAAAGTAGAAACAGAAATGGATAATACAAAGTAATAAAAATTAATTCAAGATGAGTAATAATTATAATAATAAATAACTAAATAACTAAGGACTTAGAATTCAAAAAGGTAAATTACCAAGCTTTTCGAAGTGAAAGAAGAGGAAGTTCAATTTAATCAATAAGTCATAAATACATTTCTAAAACGATTTATTCAATTTGAAAATAATGATGATAAAACTGATATTGCTAATTTCATAATTCAAAATCACAAAATTGATTCAAAAATGATGTTTCTAATTAGTCAATTGCACACTTTAGAAACTATGTTAGGTGATACAAAAAAAGAATTCAGTCGATTAGAATCAAGTTTGTATGATAAAATTCATGGTACTTCCTTTCAATCTAGCCATTCTAACCAAAATATTTGATACTCAAATGATAATATTGAATTTATATCTTTTTTGTTCAATCGATTTTTATAATAATATTTTGGTAAATTAACCTTCCCAACACATCAACTATATTATGAGGTATTACATTATTATTTACTGTTTGATATACAATTTTATTCAAAAATCAACTTTTTATCTAAATTCACATTTTAAACAACAATCTATTTTCTTGTGTGATAAGACAGTTTGGCCAGATGAACAAAATTTACATTGGCATTCACAAGTCTCCTATTTTTCAATAGGATTTTCTTAAGCATAAGATCGATAGATCTAAAGATTAATGAAAATCATACATATAAATCCCTCGATTTACAAACCAATTAACAAACATGCATAGGGTGATAACCAAGATTTTTGCAATTTTAACATTTGCATTGACAGGCCCTCATTAAATGCACTTCCTTATCGAGATCAGCCCCTTTTACAATATCCATTGCACTTAGTGTTTAAATCTTATCTAAGTTATTAGTTAATAATACCTCAGGATTTCCATACTACCTAAATCCTCTTTGTAAAAATATTGATGATCTTTGGCTAGTGAGAAATGCTGAAATGAAATTTTAGGAAGTTCTGCTAAAAACAGTGCCTTATGCATATCCTTTATCAAAGAGAAAATAAGCATTTCTAAATTTATTAAAAACATGTACTTCAGCAAAATTGATCTGAGAGATACTACCTATGCTTTCTCTGTGAAATTATGATGAAATTTGCATTTATCTTAATGCACTAATTCTTGATGGCATTTTTATGAACAAGTAGCACTACCACAAGCTGCACAGATGGCTGTATTTTCATCAGCTGGTTTGCCACATATACATTTTAATTTGTTTATGTCCAATTAAATTAATGATCCTGTGTTAAATGCTCTTAAAGTCTCTAAATTTAATTTGTCCTTCTCTGTCAAGTGTTCATTATGTTCCATATTCATATTGGCACGAGAATGAGGGCTAACTAAAAGAAAATACATTATATTTACCATTCACTGGATGATGTTTACCAATATGTTCATTACCACACATGTAACAAAAACTTTGGTCGCAACTTTGGCAATATTCATTAGCCAATATATTGGGGAATTTTGAGTGGTCATGCTACAAACATTCTTAAGGAGTTCTTTTAATTAATTTCCCAAGAAATCTGAACATAAATATAATTTATTTTGTAATTCTTCATGTAAAACAATCAGTGATATTTATAAATGCTTAGTATGTCTTTTTTATTCTAGAACAAGAGAAAATATGAAACAACAATAGGTTTTGAATTATTTTCACATAATTAGGCAATAAGATTATTGAGATATACAGGTAAAGTGAATAAATTAAAAATATTTGAATAAAACGATGAACTTGTAATCATAACATTTATGAAATTAATGTTCAATGAAAAAATGAGCGCATTACTATTATTTTGAAGTATTCTAAATTGACTTATAGATTCAAAATAGATTATGGTTGAGAATAGCTTATGATGTAATACTTAATTAATTTACAAATAATCAAAGGGGGTAAGCCTTATTAATAGAATCAATAAATTTCAGTAATTATTTATTAGAGATAATTGTAGTCTTCTGCTTCTAGGCTATGCGATATGAGCACGAGAATTCAAAATATCGACAATTTAAATGATATACAAATTATTCTTGAGTCAAATAATATAAAAATCATTAAAAAACAGTCATGAATATATATTTTAAATTATGTTAAAATTCCATTCAAGGAGAGAAGGATTCTGGCTGAAATTTAAAGAAACTTTGTTAGATCATATTTAATTAGAAACAAAAATATAAAATTTGTTCATTTTTTGATCAATATTGAAACATAATATAACAAACAAGTTCAAATTTGTTGTTTTATTAATCTTTACCTTTTAAAGTCTCTTTTTTTGGAAATCCTTTTTTAAACAGAGGGACTCCTTCCAACGGATTTAGTGTCCTCCTCATATTTATCACATGAGATTTCTTGAGCTTTAATTAATTTTTTATGAATTAATTAAGATACGATGAGAATTTTCTTTGAAAAAACAAGTCTTGCATCATTTAGGTAATGTAAGATTGCCAAAGCCAATTCGAAATGAGAATATTGATATATTTCATAGTCTATTTACATATTATTATATTATTTACCTATGAGAATGAACATTAACAAATTCTACACTTTTTCATCTATTTCAACATTCATTGCCGATAAATAATCCGATGATGTGGTAAGATTCAATTAGTATCCCATGGCTTTCACAATTTGCTCCTCCATTTCATTGTATTCTTCATCTTTGTATAATGGTTAGCCTTCTTAATCATATAATTTGATTTGATATGAGATTTCTGTCTCATAAAACTAGGATGATAAAAATTATGAATACCTTCGAGGCAATCGAATATGCCGAAATCCCCAACAGTTAAAGGTATTCCTGAGAGATATTAAAATAATTTAAGTATGTATCGATAATAAGCACAGCCAGTTCTAAGGTTTTTATTTATTGTTGGAATTGAGATGATTGCTAATTATAATATTGAATAATTACTGCAATAATCCATTAGATTAGAATATCCCTTCTAGAAGGACTTACAGAATCATATGAGTAGTATGGGTTGTGCTTGTTGAATGTCTTGGGCTAAGAGATAAATAGAAAATGATACTTTGTCTCTTGTGATTAAATCTCTTAATTCAGCAAACGAAAACATGGCTGTACAAATTAAAAAAAATAATTATACAGCAAAACTCATTTAAATTTGAAATTTATAGATTAATTAATACTAAAGAATACCATATCCAAAATTTAACGTGATTCACTCAAACTTCAAGATACTATAATTAAAAATTGTCTTTCATTAAATCATATATATATTTTTAATTTTTGTTCTTTACTTCCAAATAAAAAGATTTCCTTCCCTAGAAGCTTTAATTAATACATGGCAATAGTTATAAAAATATGAAGACAAGGAGTGTTCAAAAAACCCTAGACTTAAAGTGTTTATATGATATATTTTATATTCTGATCATAATCTAATTTTTTTATTGATGACAACATGACTAATCATAGAATTAAAGAGAACTGAGTCCTTTGTGAGTGAATAATTGTGAGACTTTGATTTACAAATTGGTTAATAGCAGAATTCTCGAAAGTTAATTATATTAAATATTTAATCATTACATAATAATTTGTTGATTTGATTATAAATGAAAAAGCATCACAAGTATATTAAAAAGAATTAAAAAATATTAATTTTTGATTACAATTATAAGACACAGAATATTTGATTATTTTGAGATCCCTAAGATCAAAGTGATCTTCCTGGTTAACAAATTCATGTGCCTGATTAAGTAACAATAACATATCTAAATTTTCCCATAGATTTATAAGAATTATTCAGATTCAAAATCTCACTAAAGTTTAGATTGTATTATCGAAGGTAATTCGTCTTAATTAGACTTGAAGAAAAAGTATAATCCATGCAAAATTCCTTATTTCAATAAATCCATGGATATGGATAATGATCATCTTTATCTAATATAAACTTCAAAATATTTTAGTAAATTGGTCATCTCAGATTCTGTAAGCAAGGGTTCTGACAGAAACAGATTAATATTTTTAAGCATACATGAAATTTACAAGTTTATTTCCACAAAAAATGATAAAATTAAATATTATCATAGAAATTGTGATGATTGGCAAGATGATTTATGATCATTTTTTAAACTATAAAGGTGATGTGATTGTTTCTGATGACAATAAAAGTATTTTGAATAGGAAAGCGATTATATTTTGTGGTTGTATGGTGTTTTTCAATTAATTTATATTTAAAATATGTAAACAACAAATGGCATTTCTATTTCGTAAATTAAGCATACTCCAGCATCAGTTTGCAATAATTAAAAAAAGGAAGAATTGATACAATTTGATTAATTTGATGATGATTTGATTCCTAAAAGTAAACTATTTTCTCCTGTGAACTTAAATTTAAATCTGAAATGTGTTGAAACATTTGGGAACAATAAAATATATGACATCAATGAAACAAGAACTAATGATTAGCAAAATAAATCGGATTCTTTACTTGATACACTGAATTCAAAGTAAAAAATAGAAACCTCTCTATAACAAGTTAACGTAATGACTGAGAGATTAAATAATCAAAACTTAATATTCTATGCTCCTCAATATATTCCTGATATTCAGCAATTCTTAACATCCCCTATTCCTATTGGTATCATTATATTTGTTATACATTGTTAGGCAAAATAGTATAGTGTACTTTCATAAAAAATAAAAAGGGGTTTTGCAACTTCTATCCCAAATTTGAATTATTCTTCTCAGAAAGTTTAAAATTTCTCTGTGCTGCAAAGAGACAATCCACAAAGAGGAAATCAAATTATATTATTTCAAGCGATGTTGATATATTTAATTCCAAAAAAAAATCAGTTTGTTTAGGGAATTTGAAACATGGAACATCAGAGAACTAATTCAATTTATATGACAATGGCAATGATCCTAATAAAACCAATCAACTAGAAACAACCAGGAGGGAATATGCAATTTATTCCTATAAAAAATCAAGTCTAGGTTTGAAATAAATTAATGTCTTAATCCCCTCTGTTATAAATGGGTAGCAATAAAATTTTAAACCTATTTCTCAAAATGAAGGCATCTAAAAAGCATTTTCTTAATAAAAAAATGAAAATGTTATGTAGTTAATCTCAAGGCCTCCTGTATTTTGCGAAGAAAAGAATGCATATCAATTAAAATTCACATAAAGAGTAAGATCAGCATCAAACAAAAATTTTATTCTCATATCTAGTAATCAATAGAACGATGAAGAATTTTTAATATAATTTGGCAAATGTGGTGATAAATATTTCAATTTAGACATTTGCCATCCGCTTTCAATTATATAAGCATTCGCACTATGTATAACTTAATTTGAATTTAAGTTAAAATGAATTGCCATTTTATATACATATCTCCTAATTTACTCATATTTAGAATATAAATTATATTTATATATAGTGATGTCATAGTATGAATTCAATATAACATTGCCCTCGAGACTACAAAACCTACTCAAATGATAGATATGTAATGTCCATTATTTCTAAAGAGTACTAGATCGGATCATTTTTAGAGAAGTCTAAATAATAATTTTAAAAAAATTGAACAAACTATGCTTGAAAAAAAGATTAACAGACTGGATAACCTAGACTCTAATAAATTAAATAAAATTTCAAATTCTTGCCTTAAAATTAAAGAGTTTATAATGATAGAATAACCTGAATTCATAAACTTTTTGTTTTATTGATTAATTGATTAATATTATTATGAATTAAAGTAATCAGGATTTGGAATCGATTTATTAAAATTTACCTGAGAGTGCAGTATTAGAGACAATTGCGTATGATGCAGATTTAAAAGTAACGAACACAGATAACAAACAATTTAAATATCCAGTAATGATTATTTTTATCTTAGACTATTTCCAAAGTTTGCGTTCATCCAAAAACATGTTTTGAACTTGAAAATATCCTTTATTAAATACAAATAAATGGTGCTTGGAAATGTGAAGAGTGCAAAAATATCTGTTAAACAGATGGTTTGTGTAAAGACTTTAGATATAAAGTATAAATGGAATTTAATGAATTTGTTACTAATATCATGATAATAGAAGGAAAATTATTTAATAAATCTTCTAGAAAGGCCAGATATTTAAATCATTTTTCTACATAATAAGTTAGGGTTCATATGAAAGGATTATATCAAAGGTATGTAGCTACAGAGGGCTCCATAAATTAAATAATAATTAATGAACTAAAGAAAAGCTAAAAGATAAAAACAGGAACAAATTAACGAATTTAATATTGGGCATTCTGCTTATAAGACAAAGTTAAAATTACTATCCCTGTAAGAATTATAGGGTGTAATCATCCTGAATGTTATGAATTAACAAGTCTTTTATAAATACAATCTCAAAAGCAAGAATAATTTTATGTATGTGCATACCCAGGATGTGATAACCCAAGAAAGAAAATTGATATTTCTACTATTGAGAGTTTATTCTCATCAATCACAATTGATGAAGATTTATTGAAAATTATTAAGAAAAGTAGTCTAAATTCTATGAAATTTAACTTTAACTATTAAATATAAAAATTTGAAGAAGATGTTTAGAGAAAAAATGGGTAGATCGTTGATCCAATTATCGAAAAGTACTTTGATAAAAACAAAAAAGAAATTAAGGTACCATTTGAAGAGTTTTAAAAATAAGTGTAATCCTTAGTAGCACAAGTATGTTAAAATGATCTTTTTAAAGATTAACCTAACTTAGAAAAATTATTAGCTTAACATAAATTTCGCAACTTAGAAATTAATATGAAAGATAAACTAACAGATATGATCATTGAATAGCCTGTTAGATGCAAAAATTGCACCAATTTTTCAACTTGTTTGGATTTGAAAAGTTATGCTTGTGAATTCATTAAAAAGAAATTAATCAGTTAAGTTGAGGTATTCAAATGTCCTATTTGTTAAACTTCTTTTCAAGGCAATATGATTAAATCTATGCTATGGAATTACATCTACTTGGATTAGAATTTAATATTCAGAATGTTTAAAGATTTGTCATATGTAAGCACAGCGAAATTTTAATATTTGGGTCGACAATATATGATATAGGAATTTTAGGAGAGGTAAGTATTAACAAAGGCTGAGTATATTAATGCATTATCAAAAAAAAACCCGAATTTAAAAGTAGAATTTAAATCAATTAGCTGTTCCTTCAATAAAAATTAAAAATTAGATATTCCACTACTATTATTTAAATGCCCACTTTCAACAGTGATCGATTTTGATACCTTGTATCTGCAATTAGAAAAATGCAATTTTGACATCGAGAAAGGGTTGATTTTTTGTAAATGCTAAACTTGTAATACTTCTCCAATTAAAAGCCTATCAGGCTAAATATTTTACCATGAAGCCTTTGATTATGCACTTAAAAAGTTCTAATAGTCTAAAAACAAATCAACTTCATTTTCTTATGATTTTTAATCGGATTCTTTAACTAATAGCGAAGCCTTTACAGATACAGGAGCATTTGATAATATTTCTGCTCCTAAGAAAATGGGGTTCTTGGATATGTTAAATGAAGAGGAATACCAGAAGATATTTGGTGAAAAAAAATTAGAAGGAAGAACTTTTTAGATTTTAAGTATCACTTAAACAGATGTCTTTGATGGAATAGATATAAAATATAATAAGTAGGGGATAGAGAGTAATCTAGCTGAGAGAAAGGAATAAATGAACAATAATTTAAAAAATGATCAAACCTTAAAAAAATACAATTTTGTAATTAAGGAAATGAATCTACAACTTAATGATAATCCTATTGTTCATAGTTTAAATTTTTAAGGATGATTAAGAATCTTAAATTTAAATTTATCTAGTAAATTTTAATATATATATATGATTCTCATTATATAAATCATGAAGATTGTTGATAATAACAGCAGTACTTTAACTGGATTCTTAATTTATTCTTAGTATAATATTTTCTAATTTATTCATTCTTTTTCTATATTTATCCCTCTTCCTGTCTAATTTGTTACAATTCTTTATATCTGAAATAACCTCCAAAGTTCATTATAAATATTCCCATTCCAATTTGATAAGAGATAAGTAGCGGTTCTGTTAGACATTACTATTAGCATCAAGATGGAGATTTCAAATAAAATCTTATGTTAGATATCAATTTTGCTTATTAAGACAATTATCTTCTAATATTAATGCAAATTTAAATCAGTCTTTGAACATCATACAAACTTGAAAATAAACTTTTTTCTCTAAGTATTTTAGCATTAAGAGCTTTATGAATAAATAATTTATAATGAGAGATATTTATTGAATATCAAGGTTTCCCAATAATTTGCAACTATCAGTTAATATTCCAAATACATATAATGTCTGATAAGATCCATTCTAAGCTTTAAAATCTCTAGGGATAATTTCCAAAAAAATTAAGCTCTATTTTAATTGATAATCTTTTAATATTTCAACACAAGCAAACTTGAATCTGTAGATGATTTACTGTATATGGCTCTGTTCTTTGAAGCTTTGTTAAATTATAATAATGATCTTCTTATTTTAACTCACAACATAAAAATTGTAATACAAAACAAATATTACAGAAATTCTTTCAAATTGATTAAAAATTCTATTTTCAAATAAATTTTTAGTCATAGATAACTAAGAATTAAAAAATTATGCAAAGAATTTGTGGTTTTCATTTGTATTTGTAAAAATAATAATTTCTTACATTTTCTTCTTAAATACCTCCCCAACAAATATTTAGCCTTTTTAACGATATCTAATTGAAAATTATTCAACTTCATAAACAGAGTTGAATATTTTTTATCGTTTAGAAAGGTTTTAGGATCATTGAACTCTGCCTGATAATGATTTTATAAACTTATAGCATTCATTAATTAATTAATAATTACATTTTTTGAACTTTTATTTTAGATTATGATTAAATAAAAATTTCTGGAATAAAAAGCAACAAAACCTTTCTCCAAGATAGATTTAAACAAAATTCTCTAGAAGATCGGTTTCTCTTTCAATATTTAAAATAGTATAATATTGTTTTTAAAATAATATCATTCATTAAAATCTCTAATTATAAAGTTACAAAGGTATTAACTAACCATTTTCAAAAACGAATTATTAAGTCTATGTAATTTCCTAATTGTGCTATTTTGTGGCTTATGCCATATGATTAAAATGGGGTTAGTTATATTATGGTGGCACCATAACTTACGGTTGGTATTAATATTATTATAATTACGATCTTAATTAAAATATTTCTGATTGCTGTTCAATTATTTAATAAGATTATTATTACAATTATTATTATTGTTGTTGTTATTAATATTATTGTTGTTATTATTAATATTATTGTTGTTATTATTAATATTATTTTTATTATTACTATTCCTGATCTTAGTGTTGTTTAATTTCATTATACTTTTAAATTATTTTCTAAATATTAGGAATTTCGTTGACTTAAGTATTTTCTAAATAATTAGTTAATTCGGTTTTGATAAATTCAAATAAATTTGGTTCTGAGCCTTAGGATAATATATTATAATAAAAAGGATCCCAGTAAAAGTCTGTTAGTTATAATTGTCCTTTTTCCTTGCAAAATTGACAATCGCATTTAAGAAAAGACTGAAAATTAAAATTTGTTTTCTTCAACAATTTTTTAAGGCCTTTTAATTCAACTGTGAGTTTCTCTTAGCAATATATCAATGTTAGTGGTAGATTAAGTTATGTTTTTGACAATGCACAAAATTGTTTAGGATATGGATATATTTTAGTCTTTTAATAGATTGCTTTTATTTGTTTAAAATCAATGATTTGATGTGATTAAAAAAATTTTTAATATTTATCATCACATTTATTATATTCAAATTATTAACGATTGCTAGTTTTTTATATTGCATTATATAGATATCCATCAAAATAAATAAGTTATTCCAATTTTTTAGGATTATTATGTTTGAAATTACAAGCTGGACAAATAAAGTATTTAAGTTTTTCTTGTTTTTCTTATATAAAATGGCTTAAAATAAAGTCTTCAATGTCTTTCACATTTTATAATTAGCACTAGTTGCATCTACAGGGAAATTAGATATGTTCTAAATTTACTTTATATTTGGAAAAATTTAGTTAATTTTATAACGAAGTACTTAACTCTTTATTAATGATTTTCTTGAATAAACTTAAGATTGTATAGTCAAGACCAGTTTCATTTTAGTAAAACTTAATTAGGTCTTTATTTTTTAAAAACTCATAAATTTTTATCTTCTAATATTCAAATCCACTTTTCTAGAAATCCCATATTAAATTTAATGAGAATGGATAATTTTTTGAAATTGCACGAGCAAGATCATACGAAAATAAAAGTTTCTGTTTTAATTAATTTAAGTCTAATGGAATTTAAGTTTGACAATCTTAATAGTAACACTTTACAAATGATCTTTAAAATTATTCAGGTAACTTTTTTTCATCATCAATCAATTTTAGTATGTTCGTAAATTCATAACAATCCAAATGCTTACATTCGCTAAATTAAACAGGTATGATAATTTTTTAATAAGTTATTAAACACTAAAATGAAAATTCCAAAATTCTATTCATGTGTATGGCGTTGTTTTAATTAAGCTCTCTTTATTTTTAATCTATTAAATGAAGCAATTTATCTTTTAATGCTTCTGCTTTTGATTTAGAGTTCTAAACAATTGCTGTAAATAATTATATGTATTGATTTTTTTTAAGCAATTCTCTGGCCATTGGCTAAATATCTTTTGAAAAAGAGTGGAAACATAATTATCCTATAAATGAACAACTAAATGATTTCTCGCTCATATTTTTGATTAAGGTAGTATAAAACTCTTCCTTTTTGATGTTTTTCTTTGTGGCCTTCTTATTGCATTGTTTGCACGAGATTTCAACTTAATTTTAGAGAATGTCATACAAGTCAAAAATCTCGTGATTACAACCTTCTATACAAATCTTAAATATAATTAAATGTATTACTGCCACTTTGATTTATCTAATTTTTTTATCTCCAAAGTTAGAGGTTAAACTAATATCCAATTCATCACTTTGATATTTGATTACCTTTCCTCCAGGCTACAATTAAGATAACAGCTCGGAGTACTCAGGTGTTTTTCTGATCTCCTTTTCTTTTTTTGAGTAATTAATAAAGCTTACTAACCTTGTATCCTACATAATTCTATAAATTAAAATATTAATATATTCGAATAATCAAAATAAGAATACAATTTATACTCTAAATTATGATTAGAATGATAATATAAAATTCTATCCAAGAATTGATCTTCTGGATTATTAGAATATAAAAGTTCAAAAGCAAATAATTATTTTAAAAAAAATGAAAAAATTTATATTCCGCCTAGGATTTATATTGGCAATGAATATAATATTTTGCCAATTTTTGAATGCTTTTCTATCTCTCTTAATAACCCTAATAGATTGCAAAATGATAAGAAGGTAAAATCAATAAATATTTCAGTACAATTAACCATGAATATGCCAATTATTTATCAATATTTGGATTAGGTGTGTGGTTGCTTTTAAATTATTATTTAGAAGGCTTTCGCTTCAATTCAATGTTAATTATTTTTGCTATGTTTGCTTTCTATTTAGATAAAGTACCTAGACAATTTTTTATTAGGCTCTTTAATTATCTAGTATAATATCCAATATCTCAGCTATATTTGCAATTTTATATATATGGTCCTCGATCAAATGGAAGTATTACTCATTGCCACTTCCAAAAGGCAAGTTTAGAACTTGTTATAAAGAAATATAGATGAAAGATAATTATTAGACAAGTGTTTCAGTTTATTACCCTTGTCATGATTAAAAGTAGAAAGATGTTGATTTTAAATGGCTACCAAACTCAAAATATTCAAAATAAATATATGAAAGAATTAATTTACAGTTGAAATGGGTTCCTCCTTAATTCATATTCGATTTTGGACTTAGCTTCTTAAAGTAATATTAAGCACAAATAATAGTTATATCACATTTAAGGCTAGTGCAGAGTAACCTTTGCTTGATGAAAAACTTGATGTAATTATTTTTAGTCATGGATTTACTTAACATAGAAATGCTTATACTTTTTTGTGCTAAGAACTAGCAAGCGAAGGCTATATTGTGTTTTCACCCTAACATACAGAAATGGTTTATCCTTGGGATTAAAAATAAACCAAAATCTTACATTCTGGAAATAAGGCTGAAGTGATGAATAATTATTAAAGTTTAAGGGCAACTCACTTAGATTGGAGATGTGAATAAGTAAAGTGTTTAATATAGCAATTGTAAAATGATAAATTATAAGAAACCTTCAAAAATTTTAAACCTTTAAGTATTAATTTGATCGGCCATTCTTTTGGAGGAGCAACTGTTTTGAAAATTGCTTAAGAAATTAAATTAGATACTGTGATATCATATGATCCATGGTTATTCCCATTCAATTAAGAAGATTTTTAAAAATAACTTAAAGGAAGAACATTAATCTTGAGCAAAGATATAAATAGAATTAGATAAGAAGTTTTTGAACCAAAGCTATTACAGGATTTTCTTAATGATAGAAAAGACGTTGATCACTATCGTATAAAAGGGTTAGATCATGCCTATCCAAATGATTTAACCTATTTGATGGCTACTGAATTGACTATATTTGGAGAAATCAGAAGCATTTACAATATTTAGTAAGTTAACTAACTTTTGATTTAATTAACAAAAAAATATTTGAAGAATTAACAATTCACTTAAGAGGAAATGAATCAATTTTATTGAATATATATATATTTTATCTAAGTTATAGGGTACTAAATTTTCATTCTTCCTATGTCATTATGAGGTTGTATGGTATTAAAGAGAATAATAAGTTTGCCATTGCTTCTTCAGGTTGCATTTTCCTTTGAGTCTGCAGGAAATACCAAGCTCCTAAGGTAATTTCATTGCATTCATGGAAAATATTGTGTCTAGCAAAGTCACTATATATATGTTGTTCAAAAAGTTCATCAGCTCTAATTGACTCTATTATTTAAGCTCCTATATCAGAATAATGATTCAGAGTAAAAATCTAGCTTAATTAATAACTTTACTTTTAGGATACTTTTGTTATTTATTTTTTAGAGGTGACAGTATATACTAATTCTTATTTGCTATTATTCTAGTAGAACATTTACAGAGAGTAAGTTTTGAGTTATTTTTTTGTTTTTCAAAAATTCCTAATATACCATTTGAACTTCCTACAATAAAAATGTAAATTACTTCATATAAATTCTCTAAACCTTCTTCACTTAATGGTTGCTCAATTACACCAAATTCAATTGCTGGATTTTATTCCTACCCCTAATTTAGTATGTCTAAAAATAATTATTTAACTTCTTCTTCCTGTTCTTCAAAGAGAGTAAAGAATTCATTGTTTTAATGTAAAGTCCAGACCAATCTAGCTACAGTATCATCATCAAAATTTATAACTTCTGAATCGTTCTATTCATATAGATGAACAAATAATGTGAGTATTGCTTTTAAATATTGATTATCTTTCTTGTTAAGACTTTTTAGAGTTTTGCATGCTTTAGGCTAAAGAACAATTTAATCTAATTGGTATTCTTCACAATCAAGAAGCTATTAAAACACATTCAAAAAATTATCAAATTGTTAACCCATCGATTCCTCAGTTGGTTCCTCTTCGAAATAGATTCTTAAAAGATTTTAAGCAGGATCTTTTTCGATTAAAAAAAAGTCAAAAGGAAACATTTCTGTTCTATCAAAAAGATAAAAAAGTCTTTAATTTTCACTAAAGTTTTATTTTTATGTTCTATTTTAAAAGTTTTGCAGGGTTATGGCTTAAAACTGCTCCAATTCTTATTTTGGGTCTTCTTCAGCTAACATTTTCTCAAAAATCAATAGAATTAACTCAGTCTCATCAAAATCAAAGAAATATAATTCATCTTAAAGTATGAATGATTAAAATAGCTAAATTAATTATTCAAATGAATTAAATTCGTAAATGAGATCCTTAACTTCAAATTCAGATCCATATCGGTAACTTTTAGTGAATTTATTAATCAAAGGTAAAGTTTTATCTGTTATTATTTATTTAATTTGAATCTCAGCTTCATCTCCATCTGATAATTCAGACTACTTCATCTAATTTATTTTATCATCTTATTTTTATTGACCCTATTTTAAATTGTTGTTTGATGGTACGTAACTTGTCATAAAACCACCCTCATCAATATCCTCAATATCATCTAAATTAATATCAAACTCATCAAGGATCTAAATAAATAAATATTTTTACATGCTTGTTCTTACCTTCCTATTATTTCTGTTCTTTTGGCTTTTAATCAGATATTCTAGGAGGTTCATGTTAATTTAGAAGTTCAGGCTGTTTTGGTTATTCTTTAGCTGGTTCAGGTTGTTTTGGGTATTCTTTGGAAGGTTCAGGCTATTTAGGAGGCTCTGGTTATTTTTGTTATACTTTAGGAGGTTCAGGTTATTTAGGAGGCTCTGGCTGTTTTGGTTATTCCTTTGGTGGTTCAGGTTATTTAGGAGGCTCTGGCTATTTTGGTTATTCCTTAGGTGGTTCAGGTTATTTAGGAGGCTCTGGCTATTTTGGTTATTCCTTAGGTGGTTCAGGTTATTTAGGAGGCTCTGGCTATTTTGGTTATTCCTTAGGTGGTTCAGGTTATTTAGGAGGCTCTGGCTATTTTGGTTATTCCTTAGGTGGTTCAGGTTATTTAGGAGGCTCTGGTTATTTTGGTTATTCCTTAGGTGGTTCAGGTTATTTAGGAGGCTCTGGCTGTTTTGGTTATTCCTTAGGTGGTTCAGGTTATTTAGGAGGCTCTGGTTATTTTGGTTATTCCTTAGGTGGTTCAGGTTATTTAGGAGGCTCTGGCTGTTTTGGTTATTCCTTAGGTGGTTCAGGTTATTTAGGAGGCTCTGGCTATTTTGGTTATTCCTTAGGTGGTTCAGGTTATTTAGGAGGCTCTGGCTGTTTTGGTTATTCCTTAGGTGGTTCAGGTTATTTAGGAGGCTCTGGCTATTTTGGTTATTCCTTAGGTGGTTCAGGTTATTTAGGAGGCTCTGGCTGTTTTGGTTATTCCTTAGGTGGTTCAGGTTATTTAGGAGGCTCTGGCTATTTTGGTTATTCCTTAGGTGGTTCAGGTTATTTAGGAGGCTCTGGCTGTTTTGGTTATTCCTTAGGTGGTTCAGGTTATTTAGGAGGCTCTGGCTATTTTGGTTATTCCTTAGGTGGTTCAGGTTATTTAGGAGGCTCTGGCTGTTTTGGTTATTCCTTAGGTGGTTCAGGTTATTTAGGAGGCTCTGGCTATTTTGGTTATTCCTTAGGTGGTTCAGGTTATTTAGGAGGCTCTGGCTGTTTTGGTTATTCCTTAGGTGGTTCAGGTTATTTAGGAGGCTCTGGCTATTTTGGTTATTCCTTAGGTGGTTCAGGTTATTTAGGAGGCTCTGGCTGTTTTGGTTATTCCTTAGGTGGTTCAGGTTATTTAGGAGGCTCTGGCTATTTTGGTTATTCCTTAGGTGGTTCAGGTTATTTAGGAGGCTCTGGCTGTTTTGGTTATTCCTTAGGTGGTTCAGGTTATTTAGGAGGCTCTGGCTATTTTGGCTATTACTTAGGTGGTTCAGGTTATTTAGGAGGCTCTGGCTGTTTTGGTTACTCCTTTGGTGGTTCAGGTTTCTTTTGGGGTTCTGGCTATTTCAGTTATTTTTAAGGTGGTTCAGGTTATTTTGGTTATTCCTTAGGCGGTTCTGGTTTCTTAAGGGGCTCTGGTTATTTTTGCTATTCTTTCTGAGGATCTGATTTCTTTGAAGTTTCTGGTTATTTTGGTTATTCCTTAGTTGGTTCAGGCTTTCTTGGTGGCTCTGGCTATTTTGGGTACTCTTTAGGAGGCTCAGGCCTTTTAGGTGGTTCAGGCTATTTTGGTTATTCTTTTAGAGGCTCAGGTTTTTTAGGCGGATCAAGCTATTTTGGTTATTCCTTTGAAGGATGCTTTTTAGGAGGTTCTGGTTATTTTAATTGTTCTTTTGGTGGATCTGGTTATTTCTATTGGTTGGTTGAAAGTTCAGTTTTCTTCGGCTGCTCTGGTTATTTTGTTTATTATTTAGGTGGCTCTTGATTTTTGATTTGATCATTAGTATTTTAAGGCCTTTTTGATGGCTCTTGGGACTAGGCTTACTCTTTTTTTATTTCGGATATTTTTGCTGGTTCAGTCTATCTCTATCTTTCTTACGATTATAATTATTATTTTTATCGATCTTAAGAAAAATCTTACTTTTATAGATTATTTGAGTTTTAGATGTTTCTATTTCTATAATCATTGTTTTAAATTGTTTGATTTTATTAATATTAAACATCTAATTTGATCGATTAGTTTTGGTTAAAGGTTTTAGAATTATCGAAATCTTTTTCATTTGATAAAGTAGATTTATTTTAGGAATTTTAATTTATTCTTTAATATTCAGGATATTTTATTTTTCCTTAAAATGAATCATTATAATACTCTGTTTTAGGTAATGCATAAACATCTCTATCCAATTTGTGTTTTTGATCTTAGGTTTTTTCTTACCAGTTGAGCATATTATCTAATTTAGCCTAAGGATTATTCAATCCATTATATTAAATGTTAGAAAAGGGTCGAGTAATTGTTGAATTTTGTAGACTTCTTTCTAAGTTGGATGATTTCTGAAATGACGAGCCAAATGTATTTTTTCCTAATTAGGATTTTTAAGTGTGTGAGAATGAAGGATTAAATTAGTTTGACTATTATTAACTTTTCTCCAATAGATCAATTAATTCTTCATAAAGAGAATCAACAAATGTTTTGATTTAATTGGATGGATTTTTTCCAGGGGTTGCTTTAGAATAAAATTGTCTTGATTTAACGAGTGCGTCAGTAAGTTTCCCTTACACATCTTTTTTAGTTTAATCTAAATGATTATTTAAGTCTTTTTATAAGGATATTTAATCAGATTATAAATTTTAGACTTTATTGAAAAATACACTTAATCTTTGAAGTTAAAATATTTGCTAAGAATTGGGAACCTTTTAATTTATATTCAGATTAGCCTCGTTTATTCGATTTTCTAGAATCAAGTAATAATTTTCATCTAATTTGATTAATTCCCATTATTTTTGCACATTTACTAATTTAGTCTAAAGTTCATCCTTTTTCAGTTGATGATATGGTTTTTTATTAGGGAGCATCTAGAAATATTCTGGAGCCAATTCATTTAGATTATGAGTAATTTATTAATGAAAGTCATTATAAATGATTCTTCGATCTCTTTGGCAAACAATTTGACAGATGTAGCATATATCATCTATTGTTATTTAATTGTCATCGCCATCATTGAGTATTTAATTAAATCTAAATAACTTTATAGATATACTTGTTGATAATATCCTCTTTATTAAATATGTTTAAGAAGTTAGTATTATTTTTTAGTATAGCAGATTATATTAATTGAATTGAAATTATAAATTAAGATTCCATCAATTCATCAATTGATTTGATATCCTAAAGCTGATTATTACAGGTTGTTTCGAGTAATTATTCTAAATTGAGTTTTGTGATATTAATCAAAAAATTCCATCCTTAATCAGATCTAAATAATTCATATACTCTAAGAATTTAATCAATTTTTCTCAATATTTCTTTATCTATTTCTTCATTGTTCAATTTTTGTTAAAAATGATTTAAAAGATCTGTGGGTATTTAGTTTGCTTTCATTCTGATATAATTACGTATTTCTGAAACATTGTAGTCTTCAGGGATCATAAATTATTGCTAATTTTTGTGTTAAAATAATGTGTAATCCAAGTGATCAAAGAATTTATTGAGTCTTCGTTCTAGAACGCAGAAGAACTTTCTTATAAACTCATCTACTCGGAATCCTAGTAATAGTATTATTTTTAACCATTAATCACATTATTCCCAAAGGTTGACAATAATTATTAGATAGAGCTGTCGAATGACCTCACAGTTTTGCTTACAAGTTAGAGGTTATCTTTTAAATAATTTATTAGTTCTTAATGAGACTAATATGAGATTGGTATTTGTTAATTTGTGAATCTTGCTACAGGTTCTGCACTTTAGATACGATTGTCATATCTTAAACTGTTATTGTTAGGTTTCAAATTTGGTTAACCTGGTTTTTAATAAATGTACTCGTTATCTGATAGCATTTTAAATAAATAAAAAATAAATAAGAAAATCTGTTAAGGATTCAAAATAAAATTTCGATATTAATTACAATTTATATATATAACTCGAGTAGATATCATATTGAAAATTTCATCATATTGAACTATCAGATTTAATCGATTTTTTGTGTGATAAACTAAAGAATAAATAAATGTTATACGATCGATTGTTTGTTTTATCACTAACTTTTCTGGATTGTTTTCGACTTCCTTCTGACAATTAAGACTAAAACATTGTTGATTATTGTTAAACGAATTAAGTAGATTGTTAAAGTAAGACTTAAGATTTCTTGGCAGAAGGTCGAAGGCTCTCTTTAAAATAATGATGTTGCAAACATTCTTTCGCACTTATTCTTTTGTTCTTATCATAACAGAGCATATTAGTCAATAAGTCAAAGCAGGAGTCTGATATATTATATTCGACCAGTTATTCCAATGAAATTATGTTCTCATTATAGCAATATTATAGATGATCTAATTATGATTACTAAAACAAATCCTGTTGAGTAATTCTAGGGTTAAATGAATGGATTACAGTTTATAGAATACAACTCCAAGACTAAAGATATCACTCTTGTTGTTATATTGAGGCTTCTAAGAATTGATAATTTCAGGTGCAATATATCCAGGAGTGCCACATTTTAGAACGCATAACGGACTCCCTTGTTTTGTTGCCAGTCCAAAATCAATCAACTTAATGTTCAGGTGTTTGTCAATCATAATGTTGTCAGGTTTGATGTCTCTATGTAGCAATCCTTATTCATGTATGTAGACAATAGCTAGCAAAATTTGCTAAAATATTATAATATATATTTTACTCTCATAATTGATTAAATTTCAGTTTAATGTAATTGTGTTCCATGCTCATTGATGAATCTTTCTAAAGTTTAACCATCAACATATTCATGTATGATGACTATTTAATTAGTTTTATCATATATTTCTTTAATTCTCACAATATTTGGGTGATTTAATCGGTACAATATTTAGATTTCATTTATTATGTCCTATAATTCAAATTGTGAACTTATTTTACATTCATTCTTTCCGTGTTTGATTTCCCTTCTCGAATCTTGTTCAAGAATTTTGCAGCTACTAACTACTTTGTCTACAAATTTTACACCATTTACACCTATTGTCATTCTTTATATTTGTACTTGTGAGAAGGCTCCAACTCCTAAAACCTGTTACGGAAGGTAGAATTGATTCATGTCAAGATAAACTATCTTGGCGTCGATTAATTTCTTTAATTCCCTAATTTTGTTGGCATTTGCCCTGAAGAGCTTCTATTGGCCTTAGTATGGAATAGAAAAACCATAAAAATCCTCGTCGATGTGGAATGTTATTGTAGATCTTAGAGATACTTCCAATTGGTATTTGGGTTTTGCTTTTGTCTGGTTTATATAGTTTAATATATACTTCCCCAATAAAAATACTTGAACCATCATAGGTTAATAAGTATTATTTATCAAATATTAGATGTTTTCTAATACACTAAAATTGAAAAATCATTCCTTTTCAAATAAAAGTGCAATATAATCTTTCTATTATTATTAATTATTATCACTAATCTAGCGTTTTTTCATCTTCATTATTAAATTCAGTTGTGATTTATCAAAATTATTTGGTTTTATACCAAGTGGCTTTTGTATTTGTTAAGTTGTTGGAATAAATATGTTTTTATAAATATATAGTTTTCAATCATTTTCATAAAATCATTAAAATTTCAATTAATTTTATTTATTAAACCTTGTATTATATTCTCATTAAAAATATAATGAAAATCAGTGCTCAATAATTTTAATTGCCACACCCAAAAAATCTTTAATTCCTTCAATTAGTAACAATTTAAATATTTCGAAAATCTAAAACAAAAATTAAAATTCAGAATTTCAACTCTAATCTAAAGAAAATCCATTCGGTGTATATTGAAAACCCTTTTGATTCATCACCCCTTAATTTCTCAATTAACGATTATTTAAATTTAGATGTTAATATATAGTAAATAATATATGCTCTAGCTTCTACCTTAATATATTTTAAAAATATATAAAAAGATAATTCTTAATTTATAAAATTTCTAATTGAAATTGAAAATAAAAATGATATTAAACTATTATTCTTTATAATACCCTTAGTAAGCTCAACTTCGCATTAGAATATAAAGAATATATATTATTGTATAATATATTTCAAAAAATTGTATCATTATTAAGTAAGGTAAAAAAATTAGCAACATAATTAACAACTTATAAAGGAATCTTTTATTATATTTAAATAAATAGAATAATTGCTCTTATAAACATGTGTATTTTGTTATAGACGCAGTAACAATTATTAAAAATTTCATACTCCAATGAATTAAACGTAATTACCTTTCATTAAAAACTAAGATTTGCTTAGATAATTCTAATAATTTTATCAAATTATCAAATAGGTAAAATCTTTTTTAATTTACAGAATGAAAAATTCTAAACAACAATTTGAGACTAAAAAAAGAAAGCAGATGACAGTAAAGAAAAACATTTTATAACAATATAAAACTTAAGAAATTTTATAATTAGCCTTTTAGTATTATAATTCTTTATAATTAGCTTTTTAGTATTATAATCCTTTATTAACATGCCATTGTTAATAATCAAAACAGTTTTGATAAACAATTAATATTAGCATTGGTGTTTCATATTTAAATATAATTATTATTTAAGTTTAGCAAAGTAACATAGATATAATAGTGAAAAACATTATAATATTGGATAGTTCTTTAAGTAAATACTTGCAAGTTTAAACTAATTATTCTATAGTATAAATTTTTATGTTATTGAAGGAACTTATGCATTTTTAATTTGACAATTATACATTGTCCAATTAAATAATTCCTTTTCATTATTCTTCATAAGTACTAACATAAAATCATTAAAGCTATTGTTTGAATTTTGCTAGCTACTAATCATATTAAAGAATATATTGCTTATATCAATAATAAAGTTGCAATACAATTACTTGAAAAGGGTTATACTATAAATATGGTTATTATTTTATTTCTCAAATACAAACTAGTTTGCAAAGTGAATGCAAAAATATATTTTCTCTAGAATTAATTAAATACATAGTAAATATCTATAAATATTTACTTTAGATATCATACCATTATGTAAATGCATTTTAGTAGTTTTAATTAATTTTTATCATAATTTCATATTTGATAAAATAATGGTTCAAAACCTAACAATTAATTAAAAAAAGACTAAATGGTAAGAATTGGCTCAGCATAGTTTTAACTCAAAAAATAAGGATTAATTTGATAACTTTGATTTATAGAGATATTTCTCTTTACATTATTTGAATTAGAAGGAAATATAAAAATTGTTCTGGAGATGACTGGATATGATAGTAATTATGGATTTATAGATGCTTGTGATTTACGTAAGAATTTGGATTAGAAATCAAATTTGTTATCGTCTAAGAATCTTGAAATTATATTTATATATTATAAATGTCTTATTAACAGAAGGGGTTGAATGCAATAAGATTGTCCCAGATCAATTAAACCATTTTAAGAGCTCGAAAGAGTTAAGAATACCCTCTTGAGTGGACTTAGGATCATTAATCTAGGAATAATTCACTCAAATAGCATAGAGCTATCACTCAACATAATTCAATACTCATAATGGAAGAGGAGTTTTAAAAAATGAGAAGACCATAAACATCACAAGGAAGTAGAAGGAAAAAAATGACTGAGCATCAAATTCAACAAGGGATTCAAAACTCTAACACCAAATATGAGATTTTAGAATGCGAAAATGAGGATGATAAAGAGTATTTAATNGAAAAATTCTAAACAACAATTTGAGACTAAAAAAAGAAAGCAGATGACAGTAAAGAAAAACATTTTATAACAATATAAAACTTAAGAAATTTTATAATTAGCCTTTTAGTATTATAATTCTTTATAATTAGCTTTTTAGTATTATAATCCTTTATTAACATGCCATTGTTAATAATCAAAACAGTTTTGATAAACAATTAATATTAGCATTGGTGTTTCATATTTAAATATAATTATTATTTAAGTTTAGCAAAGTAACATAGATATAATAGTGAAAAACATTATAATATTGGATAGTTCTTTAAGTAAATACTTGCAAGTTTAAACTAATTATTCTATAGTATAAATTTTTATGTTATTGAAGGAACTTATGCATTTTTAATTTGACAATTATACATTGTCCAATTAAATAATTCCTTTTCATTATTCTTCATAAGTACTAACATAAAATCATTAAAGCTATTGTTTGAATTTTGCTAGCTACTAATCATATTAAAGAATATATTGCTTATATCAATAATAAAGTTGCAATACAATTACTTGAAAAGGGTTATACTATAAATATGGTTATTATTTTATTTCTCAAATACAAACTAGTTTGCAAAGTGAATGCAAAAATATATTTTCTCTAGAATTAATTAAATACATAGTAAATATCTATAAATATTTACTTTAGATATCATACCATTATGTAAATGCATTTTAGTAGTTTTAATTAATTTTTATCATAATTTCATATTTGATAAAATAATGGTTCAAAACCTAACAATTAATTAAAAAAAGACTAAATGGTAAGAATTGGCTCAGCATAGTTTTAACTCAAAAAATAAGGATTAATTTGATAACTTTGATTTATAGAGATATTTCTCTTTACATTATTTGAATTAGAAGGAAATATAAAAATTGTTCTGGAGATGACTGGATATGATAGTAATTATGGATTTATAGATGCTTGTGATTTACGTAAGAATTTGGATTAGAAATCAAATTTGTTATCGTCTAAGAATCTTGAAATTATATTTATATATTATAAATGTCTTATTAACAGAAGGGGTTGAATGCAATAAGATTGTCCCAGATCAATTAAACCATTTTAAGAGCTCGAAAGAGTTAAGAATACCCTCTTGAGTGGACTTAGGATCATTAATCTAGGAATAATTCACTCAAATAGCATAGAGCTATCACTCAACATAATTCAATACTCATAATGGAAGAGGAGTTTTAAAAAATGAGAAGACCATAAACATCACAAGGAAGTAGAAGGAAAAAAATGACTGAGCATCAAATTCAACAAGGGATTCAAAACTCTAACACCAAATATGAGATTTTAGAATGCGAAAATGAGGATGATAAAGAGTATTTAATGATAAAATAAGTAGTGAATAAAAGTTGTAATTCAACTATCTTATAACATGCAATCCGAGTAACACAACACGCAGTAATTAGAACCTGGTTCAATTTTAAACAACACTTGATTAAGATTTTCTAAGTTTGTTCGCTAATGATTGAATAATTCACTTTTAATTTATATATATATATATAATGGGTAATGGTGCATGTCACTAATAAGTTCCTTCTATTGACGAAGTAAATTTAGTAGCTAGAAACTTTAAATAATAATTTGAACCCTGCGATGGTTAATGTATGTTACCTCTTTTGAATTCTCAATCTCAAAGTCCATCTAAACCATGCATCGAATCGAAGAACCCCACCATTGCAAGATTGGAGGAGGAAGAATTCGAAATTTTAATGACGAATGAGGATAAGCCAGATGAAGATTAATCACCTGTAAGGGAGAGCAAATTCACTAGAGCTCAATCTCCTTCTAAAATTATCAAATCGAAACGTCGTTATAAGTAGGAGGAGATTTAATTTTTGTAATAGTTGAAGGAAGATAAAAGCAAGATTACTCGAAGAAAATCAACAGAAAAGTAACTAAGTCCTGTGAAAGTCATACATTCATGCCATCAAAAGAAGCATAACACAGCATTATTAATACACAGTCCTGATTAGAGATCGAGTTAGCTGATTAAAATGAACAGGTTATCTTGCTAACTTGACGAAGCTGTCATTTTATCACAAGAACCTAAATCCATTTTAAAATCTATTGGATCTGAAAAATCTATAACTAATTCACAAAAAAGTAAAACCAACAGTCAAAAAAGAGTAAGATTTGGTCTTGTATATCGACAATACAAATGAACAGCACAATTTCAAACTCAAAAACTACTGTAATTTGAAATCTAATATTCATTATAAAATTAACTTTATAAATACCATTTCCATCAATTTTAATTAAGATACTTTCATTGAATATTACAATGAGAAAACTAAAATTAGAATATAAATTTATTAATTTTTCTTTCAAAAATTAATCAACTCCCTTCAAATACACACTAAATCAAGTTAAGTGGTAACTCATTCATTCTAGGATATATCAAATCAGATTAGAATCCTTATAAGATATAAGGTAAAATTATATCCTATAATATTGAGTACTACAGATTAATTAGTTGATTTGAAAGATGAGAGTAACACAAAGAAAGTAGCACTATCAAAGAATGAATGGAAATATAAATAATAGATTGAAAATATTTATTAATAATCGTTATATTTTTAAAAATGAATCAATTCTAGGATGTATTCAATGAATTTTCATAATTACACAATCAGAAATACAATTTAGGGGAAATATTATCATTTTTGGATTCAAAATGTGCTAATGGTTATTTTGATCGAGATGTTTATTAATAATTGATTGACTAAATCCCCTAAGCGTAATCGCAATAATAATGCACCATTAATTAGTTAATTAATGTCTTCAAGAAGGCTTAGGATGTGCTGAATGATAAAATAAGCAAAAGTTAACAAATCATAGATTAGAAAAATATGTATATCCAAATTTGAATTATCACTAGTGAAATTAGAGCCTATAATGATAAAATTAGGTAATCTCAAACAAGCAGTGTTAATTCATCAAGCAAATTGAATGTCGAAATTCTTGATGCTGAGATTTTGTATTAAGGAAATGGATAATTGTAAGTAAGTTTGGAATGTATGTCGTCGGTTATTTATACATGTAAATTGTTATTTGATTATAGAGTTGGCAAAAAGACAAAAATCAGTTTGGAACGAAACCTTCGACTTGTATTTACTTAACTTTATGATTTAGTAATGTCAATGAGTAAGCAGTATTGAAATTTATTTTGCTGGATACAGAATTATAGCAGAAAAGGGGAAATGGTGGAGTTGCTTATATAGACATCAATACTTTTGGAGATTAAATGCTTCATGACTTTACTGTAAATTTGACAGATGAGAGCAATGCAATAGTCAGAGCCAAGTTACATCTTAAAATTTAATGGATCTATTCGAAAGTAATTGTAACAAAGATTTGTAGAACAAATACTTATAAGATTTAATTAATGAGAATATGATATAAATCAATTAATTGGAATAAGAGATCAACGATCACATTGTTGATTTGGACATCATAAATTCCCCATTCAAACAAGCATTCAAATTTTAAAATAACCTGACTATATCGACATATCAAACACAACCAAATTAGTAATAGCAATAGGCAAGTCCATTGTTAATTAGTGAGAATTAAATCGATAGATTAGTTTAGATTTCATTGTTATTAATTATTCTGTACTTAGTATTCGGATTGTTGAATAGTATGTATCGAACATTATATTTTGATGTAAATAAGTGTGATTTATTATAGTTCTTAGTACTTTTCTATTGCTTTTTGTTTTATTAGAAAAATTATAAGCTGCAATCGTTGCTTCACATTAAGATCATTATGGTCATGTTAGGAGTTGCTCTGTTGATGGACATAATTTGGCTTGCAATTTATAGTACAGTAAAAATCATATTAAGTTGATAGCCTTATTTGGGGGAGTTTAATGCAAATTTTGATCATTTTGAATATGGATTGCAGAAATATCAGATAATATTGAGTTGGTTGCTGTTATTTGTAAAGGTATCAATAATTTTATATATATATATATATATAGATTGTCGTATTGATGTTCTATGTTCATATATATGCCACATACCCAGATAAATCAACCTAAGTTTACGATTAGTAATGGAATGCGATTTTTGGATGGAGGGATGGAAAACAAATTAATGTCTACCGAAATTACAATTGATTATTATAATTATTTTCTAATTTTATTGCAATAAATTGTATAAGAATTAGCTGAAAAAATAGCAGTCAAACTTAGTCAATTAATATTCAAATAACATTATGGTTAATAATATTAAATATATTAAAAAGGGTGATAAATAATTGTAAGTAATTTAAAATGTTGATGTGAATGATGAATAACAACATTAAATTATTTTCATTTATAATTAAATTTTATTTCAGAAATAATGAATAATTCATATGCTTATGATCCAAAATTTAGCTATAAAAAATCTGAACTAAATCCTTACATCGATCAATCCAGCAGCACTTATGGGATTGCTCAGTCTCAAATACAATAAGGAAGCAATAGTATTAATTTCAATTTATTTATATTGCAGTTCGTCAACATACATTTTCCACACATGCCAGGAATCTATCCCAACCTCTACTCTCTAATCAATCATCCCAAAGAATTTAAGTTATTTAATAGTCTATTCCTCAATCAATAAGATAACCTAATATTGTTAGAGCTTCTTCCCCTTTAACTTAACAAAAAGTGTATTACACACAGTCAGTCTAACCAGTGTATAGATTGTATAATGAACCTATTTAAGTGATAGCTCAACAACCACCACCTCAAGTTAACGTTGGTATGTATATTTCGCAAAAATTAATAGTTCGGGAAATTGAGGAAGTGCCGATTATTCATGAAGTACATCATGTAAATAGGCCAATAAACGTGATTTCAATGGATGAAATTGAAGGGCCTTGGAAAAGTAAGTAGATCCTTTTGGAGAAACAATTAATTGAGTTGTAGTTGATGTTGAAACATGGACCTCAAAGGAAAGTTGAGACTAAACAAATAATTGTCGAAGATGAGGCCAGGATTAGAGAACTTGAATAATAAATTGAACAAATGAAACACATTCTTAATGAGAATGAAGAGGAAATTTAGCACTTAGAAAGTTTGGTCGATTAGGCTTAATATAACTTGGAGAATGCGGAAGATCAAGCAAGCAGTTAAGTGGAAGAATAAAATAGAGAATTAGCAAAGTGGAAAAAGAAGTTTCAAGATCTGAATAAAAAGTATCATGACATTGAAGAAGATATAACGATGACAGAAGCTTAGATAGAGAGCATTCAAAAAAGAAAAATGGTTACATAGACAAGTTCAACGACAAAGACGACTTCTAAAGTCAATTAGATGAGGGATAGTGGATTTAGAAGAAGCAGTGTTACAAAAAATTATTGACTTATTTAATTTTTGAATTCTATTTTTAGTAAAAATCTTGGGTTTATAAATATAATATTTAAATTATTTAAATTTATATGTTAAAAATTATTTTGCTCTTTGGTCTTGTCAAAAATTTAGCAGCAGAAACATGTCCTGTGAAAGCAATTACATGTGAATCTATTAGAAATCGATAACTATGTCTATAATCTAAGGACTATAATCAAAATTCAATATGTGAATGGGATTAGTATAAATGCACAAAATCTATCCTCAACCGCTTACCTTGTTCTGGATATACTAATGAATTTACTTGTCATTACAAATCCTATGGATGTAGATGGGATGGAAGTAGTACAAATAATTATGACGTTAATAGTATGAAATCCAATGTAAATGGATAATGCGTAGACAGACAGTATTTCAATTATATACTTAATTTAGATGTGAAGATGTCTCAGAATATTTTTGTTAATCCTTTGGCCAACTGTCATGCGAATGGCAAGATGGCAGATGTGCATAAATTACAAAATGCGAAGATTTCTAGTCTATAAAAGGGTGTAGAAATAGCAGATTTAAGAAGAAGTAATATTTAACAATTCCATATATATGTAGATGTGTAACTATTGTGGATGGGGAAGTGTTACCGAATGAATAAATATCGGCTAGTAATTTTGATTGTGTTGTGTAAGAGTGCAAGCATAAAAAATACTAATTTTAATGTACTTTTGTTAACGGAGTTCAATTTATTTGGGGAACAGAGTATTAATTTAATATATACAAGTGGATGCTCTGTTTGTTCATCTTATACTACCTATCAATCTTGCGTAGGAAATGGAGGATTGTGCTTTTGGGACTTAAATCAATGTTAAAATACTCAGTAATTCTAATCTCAATATTATACAGATGTTAACAATACAAAAGTCCTACTCTATGTAATATCAAACGATAACAATGCGAATGGAATATTTAAAAAATGAGATGCCAACTTAACTCTACTTTAGAAAATCAACATTGTTATTCTGAATATTTAGATTAAATAGAGGTAAGTTAAACTATCTAAATAACGTTTATTGTGTCCCTTACTCTAATTGGATGAATTTCAATAAAAATACCATAATTGTGATATTTAATAATAATATATATTTCTAAATTAATAATTATTAATTAAATTTATATTAATCAATTCAGTGGCTGTTCATAGTTTTATAAACGAATTTTTTCACCATTTATTGAGAGATGTATCCAGTTTTGTAAATGATTAGAATGTATTTGGAACTGGATTGAGGACATTTTGTGTTTATAAATTAATTTATTTTTAATAAATTTACTGGCATTTTTACTAATTCCTGTTGATAGAAAAAATAATATTTTAATACCCTTTTATTGAGTTATTTATAAATATATTATATAGGTGAAATTAAAATGTTATTATTCACTTAATCTCAAAATTTGAATAAAGTAACATTTCTTAAGCAGCCTGTTTTACTTTTTCTACGTTTGAACGAGACCATGGTAATCTTTTAACGTCGAATTCAAACTATATAATTATTTGATATGTAATTATACATTTTTTCCATCTTGAATATGATTCATAATTTTATTGCAGAGAGTGGCAATTTTTTTGTTGGAATCTTTTTGTATCTCTTATTCCAAAGAGTCTAAAATACTAAGAAAATTTACTTAAGAATTCTTTGTAGTAAGTAACAAATGTTTTCGAAGAGAAAATTTATTTTAAAAAATCTGAATTCATTGTTTTATTTTTGCTATTTTTTCTAAATGGCAGCATAATGATGGTTGAAGTTTCCTTCTCCACAAGAGTCATGAATATTTTTTGAGCAGATTTCAAATTTGTCTCTTCAAATATGATCATATTAATTACTTGTTTTATCATATTTCTCTTAAACTCTTTTGAATATAAATTTCAATGCTTTACGTAAGCAAAACTTAACTAGCTCCTCTCTGCTCTTCTATTGACACTTCTATTTGTGGACCAACATCTCAAGCAGATTAAATAAAGTTGACTAATTGCTATATTTTAGATTTGCTATTTTATCATGAAAAGTTTCATCTTCGTTGACAATCATCATTATGTATCGTTCTAACGTTTCACGGTTGACTTAAGGTACCACATCCTACTATTCTGCGATTGATCTTCTCGTCCCTTAGGCGGAGATTGGGTCCTCATGATGACGTACTAATTATCATTTAGGAGGATGAGTTACCCTATTCAAAATTTTATGGAAGTTTCTGTTGATAATAGAGATATTAGACATAAGGCATCTATTGCGCGGTATAGTAATTATTATAATAGGATTGTTGTAGATTCTGATATGCATTCCAGTAATTGATTGAGTATTGGGTATCAAATTGGAATTGGTTGGGTAAAAACTGATGCATGTTTACAAATAATAGCAAAATTTATAATTAGAGATTAAAAAAAGATTTGCAATTTTAAAGTCACTTAATAATGCATTAATGCGTCTAATTAAATTTATCCAAGTTTAATTGTCTTCTTTAAATTGGATTACATGGCTAGGATAAGCAAAATGGTGATCCTTTTTAAGAAACTTGAATAAATCTAATTAAATTAAAGAATATTCTTAAACATAATTATATTACTGTTGTTTTAAGAGTTCATTTGAAGTATAATAATTATACTTTCATACAGTTAGTATTTTTTTTATGAAAACCCATCAAGCATCATCTAATTAAACTCCTCTTTCCTTTCTCAAATTAAAAGAATTCAATAATACATAAATTTCAATATTATAATAAAGAAAAAATGGATAATTCCCAAGATTTTAAGCTAAGTAGATTACTCGATCAAATTTCAATCATCAAGGGTGATTTAGAAAAATTAAACGAATTTAATACATTTGTTCTCATGTGCAGAGAACTAACGAAGGTATTTGAGACTTATCACTAAGTTTAGATTTTTATGGAAATGGGTGGAATTTTAAAAAAGGCTTTCGAAGATATCACATCTAAATGTAGATTACTAGAGAGGAATTGGAATATGCATAAGCATGGATCATTAATTGATTTTATATTGTTCGAGAAATAGAAGGGTAAATGAGCTTGATTATTATAGACATTGCAAAATTGAATGGCTAGAACACTGAAAAGTTTGGATACAAAGAAGGAGATTTTTATTTTGATTACGAATCATCAGCCCGTACAGTCTTAAGACTTATGTGGTTTTTCGACTTTATTTGCAATATGACCAACCAATTGATAACCGATTAAAAGAAAAGTTTCAGTTCCATATGCTCAGAAGCGTATAATGAAAGTCTTGCCCCTCATCATTCCTTCACTATTAAAACAGCTGTCAAAGCAGGTTTATACACTGTTGGAAGGTACAAACTTATCAATTACATAGTCGTGATAATTTCTATAAAGTAGTATTTAAGGAAAACGAAGACAAAGATGAAAAATTAGCATTAATACGAGATACACTTATGAAACTCAAAACAAGACTATGGACATTATACAAGATTGAAAATTTGGATGAATTACCATGATTATCATTATTATAATATTATCGTAACACCTTTGGTTTTAATTTTCCATATTATCTCAATATCCATGTTGGCTTCACTTATATTTTTACATTTAAGTATAGATTATAACCCTCTTTTAGGTGTTATACAAAATTATATAATAGAAAATTTAATAATAGTATAAATACATCTTTAGATTTATATGAATAATTATTTTCACACTATTATTTCTTAATAGATTATTTATCTTAGCATTAACTTATTATTTGATATTTAACTCAAATGGTAACTCTATCAAGCATAAATTTTAAATCAATGCATTTAACACTGAGTTATCAAGGTTAGTTATCAAAAACCATTTATCATTTTTATATGAATAAGTTGATCTAATTTTATAATGCGAAATCACATTTTTCCTATTTAACTCCCTTAATATGCATAACAAATAGTTTTCATTTTATCCAATGATCTATTTGCAGTTGGATAGTATTAGCATTTATATATGCAAATTCAAATTCTAGATTACTCAGATAATCATTAACTTTAAACTCATTAACTTAATTTGACAAAATACCAAAAGATCCTTCGGTAACCATCAAACAATATTACCAACTATAAAATTAGATAAATTGAAAACATTTATTAGTATATGATGTTTTAAACAAGCTATACGTGAACAAATGTTATTTCATTCCAATCTTTCTTTTTTAATGATTGCCATACATATTGTGGATTTATAAACATCAATAGTTTTTCTCTGTAGCTATTATTAATAGCTTCCTAATTCACAAGGAAAATAAACTTAGTAATTACATAAAAATAATAATAATAATAATCAATTCATCAATTCAAAAAGTATGATAATTAGAACTTGTATTGCAAACAAGATATTACCTATCTATTTAAATTTCTTGTGTTGTTGAGTAGATTAATTGTCTTGTTTTCTTTTGATCTCAGGAGTATAATAAATCTCTTTGGCTTAATACCTTATTTTTTTTGGAGTAAAGAATTAAAGTTATTAAGTTTCTTTTTCAAACTCCTCTTGTGTCTTAAAAGGAATTATTTCCTTTTAGGTTTATCTAAAATCTGTTTCTGGCGAAGAAAATTATGAATTGAGCTATTAATCTTAGGTATCCTACCTTTTGAGCAAATAGTGATTTTCTGAAATTTGCATTTGTCTTTAAAATTTAATAATCAAGCGGCAATGCGCTCGTATTTTGCTTAAATAATAATTATTCTAAAATAAAAATAAATTATTTTAAATTTTAAATATTTTATTTAAAGACCTTATAACTTTTCTATTCATCTATTTAATTTTTTATGCCAATTAGCTACTTTTTAGGCTTTGTTTATTCAATCAGATTTATAAATTGAGATTTAATTATTTTGATGATTTATGATGGTGTTCTTGATTATTTATGAATAGAGGTATTTAAATTGAATGATTTAGAATCTTGCCATTTAATCAAAATATATAATTCCTATTTTGATATTAATTAAAAAAAAAATATAATTCTTTTAAAGAAATGTAAAGTAGAATGGCCAAGAGACTGCAAAAAGACTTAGAGTAGATGCAAAAGTCTTATGCAGATCAATTTAATGTGAGAATGCCCAATAATGATATTAAACATTGGATTGTAGCATTTGAAGGAGCAAAGGGAACATTGTATCAAGGAGAAAAATTCGAGTAAATAATTTAAATAAATTAGATTGCAATTCAAGTTTTCAAACGAATATGTAGAAATACTTATACTTATTTAGCTCTTTTTTTCTTTGAAATTAGCCAATTGAATCTCCTGAAGTAATATAAATTATCAATAATTAGGTAATCTTTATTGGCAAACCTCCTGAGCATGAACATATTTATTCCAATGGATTTATTTGCTTATCAATATTATTTGATGGTATTTATGATCAGTCATAATTTTAGAGTGGTCAGCTGCCCTCACTGTAAGTTCTGTTTGCTTGTCTATACAATCAATGCTATCAAGTGCAACCAAAAAGGTCTATTATATTTCTTATATCAGATGAAACCCCCTAATGATGCCGAATTTGTGAAAAGAGCAGCAGGAAGAGGACCCAAGAGCTTTCTTTGGAGTTATCATGATGAAAAATGTTGAAGGCGCTCTATAAATTAATATTGCACCAAATAAACAAATAAAATCATTTTAATATATTCTAATCCATCCAAGTTATTTCCTTTTGGCATTTCAATTTATAATTGCATAAATATTTAGCTTAAATTTATAAAATACATTTTATGTTATCAAAAGAATATTATTGTAATTAAAACTTTCAATAATGCTATAATATTAAGATGGTAAAATAAACTATGTAGTATCTATATGATATTTAATTTAAATGTTTAGTATCATATATTTATTAGAGAGTAATGAATTTTTGAGTTGAATGTCATATAATTTTAATATAAAATTTAATCAACTATTGGAAAACCGCTTTATGAATAATGTTAACTACTTTTTTGTTCACTATTGATATTAGATATATAAACAATAATAATTTCTTAATTAAAATAATCCTAGATTAATGGTATTCTGAAATAAAATGACAGAGTGTAATTCTTCATTCTCTCATATATAAATAAAATTCATTTTTATGTCCTAATCTCCTAACACTAAGTATTTTATTTGTCAAGACGATAAATGTTAAGAGCCTGCTCTATCTCGGATTTAAAATTGTCTAAGCTCTTTTTTCTGGTAAGACAAGAATTGGATGTTGAAGTATTGATACTTTAGTATTTTTCTAGACTTTCATTTTGAGTTTTATTTGATATTTCTGTTATTTGGCGAGTATGCAATTTTTCCATTAACATTTACTTCAATACTTTTACCTATATTATTTATTTTATTACATCTTTTTTTAGATCTTCATTTATTCGTTTCTAATCCACTAACTAATTATTGATGGCTGAAATAAATAATAAAAATACTTTCAAGTCTTATATCATATTATTTTTTTTAGGTTTCAATCATTTGATTCGCTTTATTTAGTTCTAATTAAAATTTACATAAACTTTATACATTGCTTTAAGTCTTTAATTTCTTCTATGTATAATTTGAATATTTAAGCATGGGCGGCCTCTAAAACAATAGAATCTAATTTTTATTTATTTTCATTAACTAAATCTGAGATTGGGGTTTAATTAGGTATAATAGATTTAGGGTTTTCAGAAAGACGTGGACTGATGATGGGAGATGTTTATTTTGAGAAATTTTGTTTTTCAACTTTGATTTGTTGCCTTAGAGAATTGATCTCATTCAGCAATTCAGGAGCCATATCGGATTTATGCATTTTATAGAACTGATGGGAAAACTTTAGGAAATTTTTTTCAGCTTTTTTATTGACTTATTTGGAGACAGTGTATATTTTCATCATTTCTCGCAATTTCTATTCATTCATTTTTATATAAATCTGATTAAAATTAAAAACTATTGAGAACACTTAAATAATCCGCGAATAAAGTTCTCCTTCTTTTAAAAAATGAATTTCACTATTAAATGGCAGACTTTAATTAAAAAAAAACAATAGTTTATAGATTTTAAAAAAATTATAAAATACTTTTTGGATGATTACAATATAACTATAGAACAGATAAATTGTCACTTCTATTAGAAATCTAGTTAATTTGTTTCTATTTATGAATTTATCTATGCAAAATTGAACTTGTAATAGATATGATAATTTTAGAGTTTTATTTTTATAATTATTTATGGAATTTTTAATACACTTTAAATTAGTATATGTAATTTTGAATTATTACCATTTATATATTAATTTACCATTTTTGTAAAATTTTACTTGAAACTATTTAAATTTCTGTTTAGGTTGATAAATAAATTTATTGATGATATTCAATGAATAATAATTTAAAAAATTCAATTCTTTAATTCATGGATAATTGTATAACAAAGTGTAAAGATGAAAGATATTAGCACGAAAGCCAAGCAAATTTCATAAAATTTTTCTTCATTTGATTTAGGGCATATTTTGTTATCTTTTAAAGATGATTGAATCGTTTTGGTTCTTCTTTCTAATTCTATAATCTTTCTAAATTCTTATTTAATATTTGATGTTTAGTATTATGATTGATTGATTTATTCGGTAATGTTTTTGATTTTTAATTCTTGTATCGCCTAAAGCATGCTTCCCCTTGGAGTTACCAATTATTATTGATTACTATGATTTGATTCCTATAAATAATGGCTATGCTATAATTAATTCAATTATTAAATATCACTTGAGTCTATCTAGCTAATTCTTTTTTTAATTGTCGAGTAGGTTCTGATGTAATCGAAATTTATCATTATTGCATTTTTTTCCAAAATTTTCACCATCCTAGAAAAGTGATGAAATTTATTTTTAGAAATTTTCATTTGACTTATAATTAAAATTCATTTTCAAATATAAATTTTTGATGAGAAGATATTTTATATTAACTTAGTATATCATAATAATTTTATAATTGAATATGGAATTAATAATAACTTATATGTATTAAGTTTACAATTATTTATTTCAATTATAAATTTTGTGTGCATGCTAGTAAAGAGATATCGAGTTCAAATCAACCATCTTTCATAGAATGATAATAATGTTTACTATTAAATAACAGTTACTAAAGTAAATAATGAGAGTCAAACCAAAACAACTATAAATCGATATTCAGAGTTAAAAAATTTTCATGAGAAGCTGCACAAAAATGTCACTCTCTTAAAACTCTAGATGCAATTACCACAGTTTCCAGGAAGATGTCTCTTTAACAAAACAAATCAGAATGAGGAAAGAATTGAAAAAAGGAGAATTGAATTAGAAACATATTTCAATGAACTTTTTAGCATTGATAAAATACTTAGCTTGACTCCAGTCTAATAATATTTACCAATTGAAGGCAGTTAAAATGAATAGTAAGAATATATTTAAGAATATTAGGGTGAACATTAGTGTAAAGATTGAAAGCTATGTAATTTATGATGGAGTTGTTGTATATGTACTTCGTTTCAAGAATGAATTCTCAAATGATGAATGGATGTACAAAAAAAGGTATTCTGAAATCAAAAGTATTCATGATGCTCTTCTTGATCAAGGATTCAAAAATAAGTTGCCATAATTCCCAACAAGGAAATTATTTGGATAAACTAATGTAAATCCAGGTAAAATATAAGATAATTTTTATAAGAAACTATAGAAAAGAGGAAAGAAGACTTATAAATTTATTTAAATGCTCTGTTCAACACTCAAGAGATATAAGAAAGTTAAATCATTAAATTTCTTATTTCAGATTCAAAAAAATACCATGAAAAGAATCTCAAACTTGAGTAATTAAAAAAATGTTCTACTTTAAAGTCTAAAGGGTAAGACTCAAACCAAAGAGTCGAAGAAATTTTACAGAAAACCAATTCATTAATAGATGAAAATAAATGATTAATATTTTAAGTTAAAAATTCTCAATTTATTTTTACCATAATTTTGTAATTTTAAATCATTCCTAATTTTATAGGCAGTATTAATTTATTAATTATTATTTTGCTCTCGTCAATATGCAATAAAGATCTTTTGGATATCTTAACATTGACAATTCTAACAAAAAAGGAATTTTTTTAAATCCAATTTAGGAGCACAATAAAAGTACCAATAAATTCAAAAGATTATTGACTCATGATTACTCTCATTTTCAGCATAGCCACTTGAGGCAGCTTGATAAATCAGGTCCAGATGGATTTCAACCTCAAACTTTATAAGAAAGGGTCAATTAGGCAAAATTAAGATTTATTGAAACTACTCCTAATAATATAATCAGAAGATAAGAAATTTAAGTATTATTTTAATTGATTCACTTTAGACTGTACCATTTTATGTCAAGCAGAGGGATGATTAACTCAAAAAAGTTAAGTCATTTAAATCGTCTTTCAGGCAATAAACTCATAAAGAAGACGATGTTAATCAGAAAGTTTATATGTACTTAGTGCAAGCATTTTTTGTTATTCTGCTAGTCCTAATTGCTACTGAACTTGTTTTGAGAAAGTATTTATATTGAATTTTATAATACGTATTATAATGTATTTTTATCTAGCTTAACTGCACAATAATTAATAAATGAAAGCAATCTAATTTCTTACTTATAATAAAAATGAATAATATTTAAAAAAAATTTATGAAAAATAATTGGTCTGGATAAAAATAAGAAGGTCATTACAAATAAATAAGATATTAAATTTGTAAGATTTTAAATGATAATTCTACAATAATATTTTAAGTATTGTATTTTGCTCTTAGTAGCTTTTATATGGTACTTTATATTCTTATTGATTAAAATCCATTATATATAATATGAAAATATAAGGTATTTACTTTGAATTGCACCATTTTCTCTTAATTTTAATTTAATAATAAAATTAATGAAAGCTGATAGTTTTCACTCAGCATGGTCAGATAAGCATGCTAAATATAATCAGTTTATATGTTCACAGCTTTTTGCAGGTTATAAAGTTCGAAACAAAGACTAATTAAAAAAACAGCATATACTCACAAACACATCAGATGAATAAAAAATGGTTAACAATCTTACAGCTTCATAAAGTTATTTAAATGCAATGAAAGCATTGTAGGAAAAGATCAAATAACTTGAATTCGAGAACTCAAGTTTATAGACTCTAGTGGTATTGATGGATTATAAATTAGTCATCAAATGATTGCAAGAGTAACCTAAAATCTAACGAGAGAAAGATTAAGGAATCAAGTGTGCATTTAAAAACTAGTGAGAACCTATAAATTAAAGAACTTGAATCCAAAATAATGCAACAAGAATTTACATCTAAATTACTGTTCGAGGATTATGAATGCAAAATAGAATAATTACAGCATAATTTATTGAGCATTACATAATAGGCCGATCAAAGACACAAGGAATGTATGGAGGAAATCTAAAATTTGTAATTTTATTGTGTTAAATTAAGAAATGAATAGCTGAGGAATTAAGAAGAAAATAATATTAACTTCAGAAACAAGGTTAACACCTAAAATTAAATGTTATCACAAGAAAAATAAGTAAATATAAAATGTAAGTTAGAATTATTCAAACCTCTAATTCCTTTTCGAATAAGAGAAAAATGAGAAAAGATTTTTGTTTGAAAATAATGAAAAATTATAGTAAGAAATATTAAATTTGAAAGAAAAATTATTTGAAGCAGAAACATATATATAATAATATACAGCTTATTATAATGATAAAAAACTAAGAAGTAATTTAATAAATATTGTAGAATTGGAGGATGAAAACAATAAATTAAAATATTAAATAGAGCTTTTGAGAACAGAAAATGAATAACTTTAAAAATCAATCTAGAATTTGAAATCCAATTTAGATTTAACAAAAAAAGAACTTGAAGAATCAGAGTATACAAAGGTCAAAAAATCTTCTGAATCAAATGTAAGAATAGAGTAATTAAAATAATAATTAATTACTTTGTCATCAAAGTCTAATCTATCCACTCTAAGTCCAAGAATAACTTAAAAAAAGAACATTAAATAAGTCTCATCCAAAGAAATGTCAATAAAAGCATAAAAAATTAGAGATCTACGATAAATCAAAAGCAGGAGTCTAAATAAATTGAATGATCCTTAATTTCTAACTCAATCTCAATCTATGCAAAATAATAACCATTATAATCAAAAATAATAAGGGTATGATTCTTAAAGCAGTGGAGTCAGTCGATTGATCGTAAAGACTTTAGAAGAAAATTATCCATCATAGGAGTACAATAATGCAGTTATGATTTGTGATGAAATTACTTAGACTGATTAACAATTTTGTAGAAATCAATAGAAATATCTCCAAGCAGTTTAAAGAATACAGTTTTTGGACGAGCAATTAGCTGCACTCAATTTATAATACTAAGATATAGAAGAGTAGATTCAATAGTAAACAGATATGAATATAAAAAAAGAAAAGAGATAGAAATTACTAGAGATAATCGATTAAATGTAAGATGTTAATAAAGAATTAAATGATCTTGTAACTATATAGAAACTTGCTTCATAATAATGATTCTTCGCATTGTATTTTTTTGTCCGTATAACATACTTGTAATTATTAACTTTAATTTGAGGATTTGTTAAGACTTAATTTAAAATTGTGAGTTGAGTTACTTCTTAAATAAAACATATTGTCTCTTGGACCTAAATATATCGATTTTATATTACTTGATTGTTATTAATATGATTTTCCTAATAAAGAGAATCCTTTATTTTTATGTGCTGATTAACTTCTATAAAACTTTTTTAATGAACTAACTATAGGTTTAGGAGTATGGACACTCTTAATCAATAATCTTGTTGGTTATTATTATTGAGAATTATCATTATTATTATTATTGTTGTTGTTGTTATTATTAGTATTATTATTGTTATTACTTGATTCATCTCCTAAATAAGATGTTATTGGCCGTTTAGGTTATTTAGGAATCTATGGATTTTTAATTTTTACAATTCCATGTTAAATCAAGACTGAAAATTATTATCTTTTATAATTAGATCCTTTCTAAATATAATTAAGTGGATCATGGACTTTTTCAAATAATTAATATGGATTATTGTAATGTTGCTGTCTTTAAATGAATTATTATAACGTTATTTCATTTGTTTTTTTAGTAGATTCCAATTATTTTTATTTGAAATATTGCTATATAAAATTAGGTATCTTTTTAAAAGGACTTTTAGTTCTTTGAAAATCTCCTAGTTCTTCATCTTAACAATTTGGAGTGTTACTAATATTGATTTTTGTCACATTCATTGTAGTGTTATTGGTCTATTGTTACTTTTCAGATGTAGATTTGAGTACTTTAAAACTAATAGTTTTCTTAATTTCCGAGTTAATAATCTATTATTTACTGGTAGTTTACCAGTTCTTTTCCATTTCTTCACATTATTGCTTAAAGATTTCCTCTCTCTGGACATGCTTATCATTAAACAAATCTTATAAGGATTGGATAACAACATTGATATTTAAGAAGTTCTTCAGCTATTTAACTGAAATCATTTATAAAACTGCAATTTTCGAGATTACCTTAACATTATAGAATGCGAGCTCTTATTTTAATAGTTCTTCACCAATTACACCTGAATTCGTAAGTTAGCAGATGTTAACTTCTGTTTGCCAATACTTTTTAGGCAGAACTTGTTTTTCGTAATGAGTCATTTTCTTTTCATAAAATCGAGAAATTTATAAGACCCCTTCTGACAGAACATAAAGGGATTATGCTGGCTCGTTCTATTTGTAAATGATGGTACCAGCTGATAGTGTGGTTTCTGTAAAAGTTCTTATGAGCTTTTCTTGTATTTTGCTTGAGTTTATTTTGTCTATTGATGTAATATTTTATAATAAAATATTTTTGCGATATTGAAAATTAGATCCATGAGTGTGATTAAAATTCTTATATGTGTTTATGGGCACTATGATGCAATGTGTATCGACCTTAGTAAATCAAATTTTGTACCACTACATAGAACGAGTAATCTAAATCGTACCATGTATCCACACTATATGAATCACCATTATCAGCTAGAATCTACCCTTTTAAAATGAAGTAGGCGTACTCACTTTTATTGCTTACATGCTCTCCATGTTTGAACTATTTATAATTCATACTATAACATAGCTATATAAAACTCGTTATACCTCTTTTAGGATCTCATATGGAGCATGAAATTACGGTAATTGACTCATATAATCTTGAATAGCTGCTATATCTTCTTAAGATTTATTGGTTTTGTTTAATCTGGGAATGAGGTACATAGTTAAGATTAATTAATTATTTATAAAAATAGAATTTATATCACAAAATCATTCACTTTCTTCTACTAATAACACTCTCATATAACGTTCAAATTAATCTTCTAAAAGAGTGATAGAAGTAGGTAACAATTAGATGAATCTCTTTACAATGTTATACTCAATTTCTAAATATCTTTTGAATCCGAAGATTAAAACTAAAATGGAGAGAACTGCAAATATTAGATAGATTGTTGACAAAACCTAATTATTATTATTTGAATTACCGAAGATATGTTTTACAAGTCAGTTGTAACACCCAACATACTTGATTTTAGTTTTTACGTCATTAACTAAAATACTCTCACCATTATAATACCAGCCTCATTATCATAAAATGGGTGTTCCAATCTCATAGTAAAATTGTTAACAATAACCTAGGTTCTGATTTGATTTTTCATAAAATTCAAGGCAGCAATCACTCCCTTTAAAAAATTCCCTTAAATTGATATTGGGCAAAAATCATTTAAAAAAGACAATTGCTGTGGAGTAAGAATATCGCATACTGATTCCTTTTGTATTACATTGAAAAATGAAACAAAATCGTCATTTACCTAATATGCATTCTAATCAAAAGTAGAACACAAAATATTAAACTTTTCTATGTTATCCATTCCAGAATATATTAGATTAAAGATAATTTCTTCATCCTTCTAAGTCAAGTAGGTAAAATTACTAAATATAAAATGATAATCTCTATTTTAATATAAGGTGGCTGATGAATATGTCATATCTTAGATCAACTTATAAATATCAACGGTACCAGAGTATTTATTCAAATAATTCATTTATCCTTAGAAAATTATAATACTTAAACCAAAGAATATCATCCAAATACCAATTATTAAGGATGTTCCAAGGATAATGGATATTGATTCATATTAGAATTGAATACTTCTTTGTTAATCTTTGTTTTTCTTACTCAAAGCATCTTAAATTTTTGCCTAAGTAATTAATTACAACTCCTTTTGATTTAAGTCAAAGTTATAAAGGAATATTTGATCTGGATTTTTTTATAAAGACCTTTACATTATCTTGTATCTATCAATCTCATATTACAATTTATTTTAATTGCAAAATTTGAACATCCCTAAATATTTATCATACCTTTGGTTATATTGTCTATAGTAATAGATTTCACTAAGAGTTATTAGCATCGTTATTATTATAAAAGTAATCCATATAACACTCCAATCTTTAGTTATTTATTCACTTCTATATTTAGAGTATTCTAGTATTTCTAAAGTTAAGATTTCTAACCAATCATGCAGATAAAATTGATTTGCAACTCCAAATACTTGGATTGCACTCCCAGATGTGCTCATCCTGTTTTCATATCTATATTTATACTAATATAAATTTTAAATAATCTATTAGAAAGCTTCACGTATGTTTAATGCTTTGGTGTAGACATCACTAGTATTAGCATCCATGAAGATCATATCGATTGATTTATTTTCGAAAAAGGGCTATAAGTTTTGATTTGTTAACTATTTAATAAAAACTTCTTTAATTTCCTAGTATCCAATCTAAATATTGTCATAGAATGGTTTTGTAAGTGTGTTGGCTTGTGATTAATTGATTGCTCCTTCATTTACATAGGAGTTGTACGATATAATAGCAATTCTCATAGATACAAATATATCATGTGGAGCCATGAAACTACTGTGCAATTCAATCATATCAATTTCAGATATGAATTGATTCAGATCATTGTAATTTTTTGTAAGTATTATTATGAAATGTATGCTTCCTATTATAAATTAGCAAATCAATAATATTATGAGTAATTTTAATTGTTTAGGATTGTGTGGTGCTATTACTTATTGATACATTTGATATTTCTTAAAAAACCTTGATTTCTTAGCACCTGCATAAGATGATGAATTCGTATCCTCTCCCTTGACTCTAAGCTATGGCTTATGAATTTATTCTTCTTATTACATATCGAAAGCCTAACCAAAATTATTCTTTGAAGAAAAAGAGTTCGCTCCAACTTGCTATTCACCTACTAAACTAAAGAACTCTTGTTGCCTAACTTTTAAAAGAGGATTAGCCGAATTTAAAGCAATTGGGTTCATACTTATATCCATAGGACTCATTAAATTGATTTCATAATGAGCCATATCTGGTTGATAAAACTATTGCCATTTATCATTATCGCCTTAAACTATGAATTAATTTACATCTCTATTAAAAGCCTCGAATTTTGTCTAATCAATTTTAAGTGCAAAAGGCGAGTTTATTATTGCTTCTTGATCGGAAACGTAAGAAAAAGCCTAATCAAAAGAATTCTAATCTAAAGTTTACTATTTGTACATGAAATCTGTCTTTATTTCTTTAATTTCGATGATATAATAGGAAAATCCGAATAATTCTCTGGAATTAATTGAGATTAAACTTTCACAATGGATCAGATTCTCTAGGTTATTCCATTCGTTAAAAGTGCTCTTAGTGTTATTTCTTTATTCTTCTGCAATTAAAGGATTGACAAGAATAGATTACTTTAAGAACTTAAATTCGGTGACATGTAATTATTCTTTTTGATTTACAAGTTACTTAAAATTAGGAATTAAGAATTCAATGCAGACTTGATTTAAATACTGAGATTGAATATTTTCTAAATAATAATTTGTGTATCCTAATTTGTCTAATAGATTTTATGTTATTCCTCCTAATTAATAATTTACATCAACCATTAAATAGGATGAAGTTTAAAAATTATCATAAAAAAAGGCCAAGAATGATATTTAAGTAATATCACTAAAATTGACTTCAAAAAAGAATTCACAGGGTTTAATTATCTCATTTTAAATTCTATAAAAATTCATGTTCTTTTTTAAGTAAAATCTTGATACCGAGGTCTATAAGAATCTTTGGACCAAAAGGGAATGTTCATTCTTAATAGCTGAAGGAATCAAATACTCTATTGAACTATTTAGTTTAAAATCATCATAGCTTTTTTAGAAAAATTAGCAAACCCTTGGGGTGATATTTTGAATTAGCAACTCTTAAGTCTCCTCAAATAATTTAATATTTAAATAAATTAGATCTTTATTAAATAATGTATATTCTGCATCTGTGTTATTGTGTAAATTATTCAGCTTTTCATCTGAAATAGATGTATTACAAGTAATTTTATGGGCATCTAAATAGTTGTCAAATATCTCTCCTTAACAATAAGTATAAAGAGATTGAATTCGCTGACTTGGAAAATATTTGTAAAGTTTTAGTAGTTTGCTTTCCAGTATTTACACTTTCAAACACAAATCTTTTGAAACCTTAAACAATTATGATAACTTAATATGCTTCACTTGTTGTAATTAAATGAAAAATTGTAATTTAGAATTCACTAAATTCAATACTTGATCTTTTAGGCTTTGATTTCGCTTCTCACTCTTAAGGAACATTTCTATGGCATTTTATAATCCAAAGGAATTGCTATTTATTTCTCTGTATTGAAAAGATTACTTCAATTTATCTCTTACTTTTTCCCTTAATATTACAACTCTAACATTCTAATAAAATGTCAAAGTGTGATTTCCAGTAGTTGCTAACATCTTATTAGTTTTATTTATCTAGTGATTTCCTGCCTCCTATACTTCCTAAGACTTTGATGATCTGCTAAATGAGGATTTATTTCCAGGATGTAGAGTGTTGAGCGATTTCATTTAATCACTCTAATTGTCTTTTGCAAAAGATCGACTGTGCTTATTAAAATTAGTATTAAATAACAAAACATTTATTTGTTTAAGTGACAAATTGTTCAATCCGATTTTGAATAAAATGGCTGCATAATGAATGTAATGATTGGCGTTTCTTGATTTACTATTTGTTTTTTAAAGTTCTTTCAAGTACTTCTTGATTAGAGTTTTATAATAAAAGTTCATTAAATCTTTAGGCATAAATTCTTAATTTACACTCTACAATGGCAATTATGCAATTGGCTCAAGATTCCTTTTCTGCTGATATAATTATATGATTTTAGCATAAATGATAATCTTCTGTGTAAATGAAGAAAACTCTTCATTGAAAAACTTAGAAAGCACATATTTACAATGAGCAATTTAAAGCTAAGTTGCATTTGTTGAGATCTTAAAATCATATGACCAATGAACCTTAATTAATATGTAATTAAGCAAAGGAACCAAAATGTAGAGCAAAACATTGATATATAAGGAGATATTCAATTAAAGATTGGTTAATATCAAGATAGATTAAATAAATTAGTACGAAGCAAATGCAATTGAAATGAATATTATGTTGTTTAAACAAGTTATTAGGCTAAACATATTAATTAGTATCATTAAGGATATTAGTAATAATAGTATTGCTTAAATTGATTCATTAAATTTAGGTAAATGGTAATAAACAATAATTTGAAAAAGGGTACTACTCCAAATAACGAAATCAATAAAGGTCAATTTTAACGTCAAAAAACTGTTTAAATCAAAATCTATTGATTCTCTGCAAAGGAGGAAAGTCAAGAAATTTAATGAACATAACAATATCAAAGTGATTATTGCAAATACTATGTTTATGTAACTACTCTCGATGTTGAGACTCTAATCAAAATTACATGATAAGGACTTGAAGCATAAGGAACAAAATGGAATCTATAGGTAGATTGGTTGTAGTTAAAACACCATCGAACTTAAATTTATATAAGGTAAGAGTTTGCTTCTTTTTCTTTTAGAATCATCAACGCGCTTCTATTCAACTAGCAGAATCAGAGGAATCAAATTGAATATTATGGTTAAGGTCAAAGGTATCAAGTATTCAATCTCAGGAGTATTTGTAGAAATAATTAAATCAGGCCGAGCAATCACTTCTAAATACCAAAATTAATTAATTGGTGTTAGTATTTACTCGCTAAATTGAGGATTTTAGTTGTTGTGAAAATTTTAGAAAAGCATCGGTTGGAGTAATCCTAAAAAATAAAAGCCACTTAATACAAATTTATTCACTTTGATGTTATGATAGAGGCTAAGGATTGAATTTATAAACTATTTCTTGACTTCAAATTTAGATTATTCTTTTGAGGTGAACATTGATTCTCTAATTCAAATTTAATTTTTGAGGTAAGATTTCAAAGAAATTATTATAAAAATTAGAAAATTAATAAAAATAATTTTTGTTTTCTTTCTACAGAAATTTAGTAATATTTCTACCCTATGACATAATATGACTCACGGATGTTCATAATTTAGAAAGAAAATCTCTAAAAGAACTTTTTAGTAGATAATTAAAGATAATTTAATATCTATAAAACATAAGAGATGGATATTTCAATTTAAAGATGTGAGAATATATAGTAAAAAATGATAATGATTATCTGGTAATATGAGAAATTTTTAATCTAAAATCAAGTTATTATCCGTTTGCTAAAGGAAAATACTTTTTTATGTCATTATTTTTTTAGAGATTAATAAAGAGTTTACTTTTTGGATGAATTCCTTAACACAAAATAGAAGAAATTAAATTGCTATAATCTTATTAACTAATAATAAGGATATAACTTTTTAAGGGATCATACCATATGAATATAAAAAGAACTAGCAAGATTATTAAATGAGTATGATGATTTTGAGTTACAGACCCAGGTTGGTCTAAAGTTATAAAGCATTTTCAACCTCAAGCTAGAATCCAAATAAAACAATTCGATAGAACAAATATCGCGTCAAATTTTATTTAAGATAATATTTACACAATTAATTTAACTAAAAATAAACCAGATTGATTATTGATGAAAAAAAATGATGTTATTAATCTATGAAATAGTACTTTTAAAGTTATAATTGATCGCGTGGTGTAGGGGTTATCACGCGTCCCTAACAAGGACGAGGCCGCCAGTTCGAGACTGGCCGTGATCATTTTTTTATTTAGAAATTATTTTTTATTTTTTCTATCATTTCTCATTTAGAAAGTTTCAGGCTCCTAATCCCTTCTAATTTAAGGAACTAAAATCAGGAGATTAAAAAGGACTGTAAAAACATTATTATTTAAATAAATATGCTAAAAAAAAAAGGATAAAACAATTATTCAATCTTTTAATGAAAATGCTTATTGAAGAAATTTCTTTCTATTTTTTAATGGGAGTTTGGAGTATATATTATTGTGATAATTAATTTCAACACTAGTTTTAAAAATTACTTATTGTTTATAATTAATTATCAGACAAATTTATTCAAAATTTGAAACTAAAAATAACTTACCCTAAGGAGTCTTCTAAATTTATTTAATATAAACTAAATTTAATACTTTGAAATAATATAATAAAAATTATATTGTTCAAACGAAGATAAAGCGTTAATGCTATTATTAAGACATAAAATTAATAATAAGAGAATAATTAGAAATGATAACAGTATTAGTACTCAACATGAAAGTGAATTTCTAAATATTCGATTAGATATGAGTATAGAAACTTATATTTATTCATTCATTATGACTTAATTAAAAGATAATCGCATCAATACTGCCTATAAAGTTATATATTTTTATTATTTTATAAAAGAATGCAGGATAAGAGAAGAGTCTTAAGTGTTCCAATTTACTAATCTTATGAAGTTTACTCAATATTTAAAGCATTCATCATTCTCTATAGTAATATCTAACAAAGATTACTAGAGTTAGATTAGTAAAAAAATTGTAAAAAGTTAAGAGATTAAAGGATTTTGGATAGTACAATTTATGAGAAGAATAGAGAACTTGTAATTATCACATAAATAGAATTATATAATTTATAGATAATCGCTATTGATCATAGAGAATGAATGTCAGTGGATAAAGCATTGCAAACATTGAGTTCTTCAGAATTTTAAGATGTAACAATGATATTTTATTGAGATTATTAAATTAATAGTTCAAATTTAATATAGGAAAAATGAATTTTTTCTAGGGTAACCAGTTATCGCCCTTTATAAATCAAAAAGTAGTTAAAAAGGCTACAGTCCTTATGCAGACAAATCAAATAAAGAAGAGTCATGTTGATGCAAAGCCAATAAGATTCTTATAATGGGATGATGATGCTAAATAAATCAAATTATGTTTGGACCTTAAGAAATATGTATGCTATACCATTTTTCTTTTAGAACTCACTCTTTAGGACTGGACCTGCTTCTTTCATTGTTTATATAACTACACGTTCGGAAATAAATTAAATATCTAAGTTGAATTTGGATAAAAACCTACCTCTAATAGATACGACATTGCAAAAAGGCATCTATATTTGGAATCATGTTATATACAATGAACACAAGAATATCTAATTATATCAGCTGTTGTGCGTATTAAGTGAACAGTTTAAGGAAAAATAGTTGAGAAGACAAAGCCTGAACATGGTTGAAAATAGTAGCGTATTCATTCATGCAGATACAGTGCTGATGACAGTGGCCTCTATTTTGGCTAGTGAAATAGTGTTTCTTATAAACAATAACGATGATGAGATTTTAGAAAATTTTCATTAGATTACAAAAAATGATTAACAACCCTATTATAAGTTACAAGTCCTTAATTTTGTTGAAGGTTAGGGCACCAGCATTGACCAATTTAAATGGTATTAGGTATATGACAATATTAAAATAACTTTCATTGAAGAAACTCATTATCTCAATTCTTCAAACTCATCCTTTATTGACAATCCAGCTGACACTATAAATAATTGGGCCTTAGAACTTGAGATGTCATTGGAGAAGAAGACTTATCAATGTTATGAAATCGATTTTTTAACTTTTTTTTCTATAGCTGAGATAATCACCAAAAGTTCGATATCAGAGTTGGAAAGGAACAATGTGAAAGAAAATATGTATTTAATATCATATATAATTTAAGTTTCTTAAAAGCCATTCAAAAATAAATTAAATATGAAAAAGACTATATTGAAAGCACTTATTGTAAGGAAATAAGGGAGTTTTGCTCAATCTCAGAAGAAGTCACAGTAGATTCTTTAACCTACAAATTGAATTAAATGAGGGAGTAAGCCATGTCTATGTATTTTATTCAATTGGGTTAATTTTATGATAATCCAGAATTTGAGAAATGCTTACAAGTTATTTAATAGAGGATTGATTAATTGGAATTAGAATGCATCAGGTACAATTTTGAGTTGATGGATATGTATTTTAATTTGAATTATTTAGATCTCTTTAGTGAATTAAGCTAATAATTTGACAAAATCGAAAAAAAATATAAGGACACCTTTCCTGATTCTTATGCTTAGTTTTTGAATGAGATTCTTAAGTTTCGAGAATTTAGGGGATTAAAATACCAAAATTTCAAATCTCACTTATAAAGCAGCTATAAGTCCAAGTTGTACTCCTATGTCACAGAGTTTGATAAGGAATAGAAATTGCTCTATGAGAAACGCATGCAAACTTAGAATGAGAAGCAATACTAATTCCTGAAGAAGAGAGACAAGGAAGTAATGAGAGGACTTGAAATTCTCTAAAACTATACAGATTTAATGAGGGATGAAATTGGAACCCTCAAAAGTCTTATTGATGTAATTCATTTTGATGTATAGATTAGTTCAATAATCAAATAAATGTTGTTGTGAAACACAAACAAGAAATTAGAAAGTTGGATGATGAAATTAGATAATTATAATTATAAGCCGATAAAATTTAGATAAAAAAAAGCAATCGTGAATTTTGATTCTCAATTCTATATAAATTCAACAATTTATTAGTTAAAGAAATGTAGCTATACTTCTTTGTCCATTTAATTTCTGCGATTTCAGAAATCCAATTGCTTAGTTTCAAACTTAATTATTTTTGAGTCATCAATTTGTATGATTAATTAATTATTTGCTTTCAATTACCTTAATATGAATTTGCTTTTAATTAATTCATTATTATTAGATATTTTGATAAGGGACAACTTTATGGATAAGCAAAACTTGCACTTGAATCATTTCTTTCTGGATAAAAACAATAAATCAAATACATTTTGGGACAAAGATTTTAGAAAATTGATTTAAAATGAAAGTAATTTCACACTAAACAACGATAATTGCATTTGCCTATATAAAAAGGGAAAATATTTCAATAAATTCATTCCCAGATACTACACAATCTAAGGAACTTATTTGTTTTATGGAGATAAAGTATTATAAGAAGATATATAATCCTATAGGACTTAAAAGGATTTAGAAAGTTAGAAAATGTGTATATGTCATCTTCAATTGAGAAGACTTCCTGTCCGTATTAAATTTAACTTATGCATAATCACAATTAGATTACCTTATATTCAAATTCTGAATAGGACTTCACTTATATTAAGTTAAAGTTGGAGTAATTCTGCATCTTAATAGGATTTCACAATCAGTACACTATCATCAATCAGATAGGTTTCGGATCCACTGCTCAGGTAATATATAATATATTGAAGGTCTTTATCTCTAAATCTTTAAACGATGGTTCTCATTATGCAATAAAAAGAATTCGAAAAAATTCAAAGCTGAATCCTCAATTTCTGATGGAAGAAATCTAAGTAATGAACGATCTTTCCCATCCGAATATAATAAAGCTACATCGAGTGTTCGAAACTAACAGTATTTATAGATGATAACTGCATCTTAGGACATATAAATATGGTGTTACAACTTGTGGAAGGAGGAGAATTACTGAAAAATTAAAGGTATAGTATTAGGGATGCAAGAATCATTTTTAAATAGTTGGCAGAGTGTGTAGATTATATGCATCAGAAAGGTGTAATGCATAGGGACTTAAAACCTTAGAACATCTTATGCAAGACTAATTCATTAGATATAGTATTGGCAGATTTCGGTCTTGCCACATACATTAGAGCAAAGTCTTACATTTATTATCGATGTGGTACTACTGGCTATGTAGCTCCAGAAATATTACAATATAAGGAAGGTACTAAGATGTACACAGAGAAGTGTGATATTTTTAGTCTTGGAGTCATTTTATATCAATTGTAAATCTTATTGTCATATCTTGTTAGAGTATATAATTAGCATCCATTCAAGGATGTTTAAAAGGAAAAGATGCTTAAGAATAACTTGCTTGTTGAATATAAATTTGATGATTCCATTAAAATTCCACAAAGTTGTAAAGATCTCATTTCCCTCATGTTGAAACAAAATCCAAAATAGAGGCCATCTGCTTCTGAAATCCTCAAACATGAATTCTTTGATGAATAGATATTTGAACATTAAAATCAAACCATAATTTTATAAGAACCATAGTATAAAATTATAATTATCTTTAGATCTGATTAAAAACGTTCTGGACCTTCATTGAGTAGTTATAATGTCGATATGAAATTCTCAACTCTCAATAATGGATTTAAATTATTCGAAGATGAAGTTGATAATGATGAAGAACAATAGAATGGTGATTTCGTAGAGACATCTCCTCTTTGGTCTAAAAGAATTGAACTGCAACGATGCCAATCCTACCGCTCATAGGCCAGTTCTATTATTATTTAAAGATAACAATCTTAAGATTTTAAGACAAAAAAATTATCAATATTCAGATCAGAATTAAAATAATAGTCTCTCTAAGTTCTGCAACCCCAAATGGATAAACCAATTTATGAATCTCAGGATTTCCATTAAACCCCATATATTTCATAAAATAATATGCTTTTGGTTCATAAAAAATAATATTATTGAGTTCTGAATTCTCTATATGAACTATAAATCAAAATTTATAATTAAATAAATAATTAATCTCTAAACTCAACTCATATAAATAAAAATACATATATTTTCTTAATAAATTATTAAATCAATACTATTAATTTTTAAATATTCCAATCTAATAGAAAATAATTTCGCTTATTAAAATAAATTTTAAATTCCATCTTAAATGCCTTATAAAAAGCTTATTAGAAATTAAATCTAAACTCAAAATAAAGTCCAAAGAAAATTGTGTTGAACATTAAATGAAATCAGTATTAAATCAAAGTAAGAATTTTGTCTATATTACTTTTGATAACCAATTATTTTAAATTTTTTTACAAACATCAAAAAATTGACATTGTAGTCTAAAATAAGTAAAAAGTCAGAGGAAATTGAAATAAAAATTAGGGTTAGTTCCTGTGCAAATTATTACAAAACAATTTAATAAGTTATATTTTACTTAAATTCAGATGAATCCAATTATTTTAGGGAATAATTTCATAGCGACATTGTTTAAAAATCATCTATATTTTATTATTGTCATGTATTAATAAAATAATTTTAATTTCCTTAGTTCTTTGTAATTTCACTCTGTCATTCATTGAATATGAATCTCAGAGATTTTAATTTCTTTTATGAACAACTTGATAATTAATATTCATAGGTAAATCCTTAAAAATTTTCACTTATAATTTTACAAATCATTTTGTATGAGCACAAAGTCTCATAGCAAGAACAATAAAAAAGTATCTACTACAAATTCAATTGGTAGTCAAAAACAACATATAAACAGTTAGTTTGAAGTGAATTTATTATCAGATAAAAAGTATATGAGAATCTATATAAATCTCATCATTGCAAGAGTGAATAATCATTAAATATATTCGAAAAAGGAGAACTTAGGTCAAATAAATTTAGTACCATCATTGACGAAGCTAAATTAAGATATCTTAATTCAAATCAAGAATCGAAAAAATACAATCTAGAGAAGTAAAAGAGCTCAATAAAGTTAATAGCTGATTAATTTAGAAATTAAAGAAGCTCCAAAATATCAATAATCTGTTTACTTGTAGTATTTGTTGAATTACTAAAACAGGACTTGATAAATATATGAACATATATAAAATACAATATATTTAATTAATCGTTAATAAAAATGTAAATTATATTTTAATTAAAAATTTATCTTGTTTTAATATATTAATTAAATTAGGGATTTAATTTCTAATATTTTTGGACTATTGGCAAACAAAATTTCGACCAAAAATCTCAAAATTTAGAGCATCTGGATAACATTTTAATAGAGAAAGAATTTTTCAAGTTGAAATTTATTTAGTTTAGATTTTAATTTCTGATTTGATTTGGAATATATTCAGATAAAAATGTAAAACTATTACATTTGTTTATTAAGAAATCTAGATCATCCTCTATTTTTATGCAATAAACAATACAATTAAAAATACTAATTTCTTTATTAACTTTCTTAATTTATTTTATAAAAAGAAAAGGCTGTAAAATTTAAGAAATTAAGTGTTTTAATAAAATAGTTTTATTACTCATATTTGAGGATAAAATTTTGATATTTCCAAAAGAATTATTTTCATAATAGATAGTTAACATTTTCAAGAAAAATTAATTATAAATAATATATTATTTTTCGAATAAATTATTTTATTTTTGACCTCAGAAACTTTAAATACTTAACTATTGAGTTATCTTAATATTATCAAAATCTGGAGTCTATGGGTTTTCTTCAAAATTAATCAAAGAGAAAATATGATGATATTTTTAATAAAGAATTCCTTCTTTTATAGTTATTCAATATTCATTAAGTTTCTATTTGATATATCGAAATAGCAGCTAAAAGTTTACTTATTTGGAAACTTAACCATGATTTAAAAATTCAAATAGGGACTAGATCTCCCTTGATTTCTAGCTTATTAGTTAGAAGAATGCTTTCAAGATTCTTTTTCATTCGCTCAGCAAAAATTTATTTCTGAATATAAAAATGTCTTAATAATACCCATACACTAACGAATTAGGTTTAGATTCAACATTATTATAATCCTTTAATTTAATACAACTTTATTGATTTATATAAATAAATAATTACCATTAAATAATCATTCTTTTATAAAATAAGGTAATTACAAAAAATTATTAAATGATAAATATCTTCTTGAACCAATATTATTTATATATTAAATAAAGATGGTTCCAAGGGCCAACGAAGGACATTCACTAATACATCAAACAGATTCAAATTTCAAAGCTTAATCCACTACAAGACCATATTTGAAAGAAATCACAAGAGATCTATTGGATAGATAAATTGAATACGATAAGATTAATAAAATATACTGTTCACTAACCTCTAATAGGCCAATAAGCTCAAAATAAAAATAAATAAACTCAAAGTTTTTTACAATAAAAAATGCTGTTCGAGAGGCAAGATTAAAATTTTTCGATAACCAAACTTGTTCTCAATAAATAATATCAAAAAACGAGAATAGATATATTCAATAATAAATACACTCAATAGCATTGATTGCATAAATTTTTCGAAATTAAAAATCAACCCTTGGCTTGAGATCGAATCAACAAAATTAACCAATAAAAAAATGGAGCCTGTATTTAATTTTAAGCATAACTATCCCCATGATTTGCCTACTCATATTAATGTTGGAATTAAAGGAAAAATAATAATGAGAAATTTATAAATTTTAGGGTTTTTCAAAATTAAATCACTTTTCTCATTTTCATTGTTAAATAGTATAAAAAAAGTTTAATTAGTTCTATTATCCATTAAAAGTTTTGACGAATCTCTAATTTATCTATATTTATGGGAATAACTATAAATTAAATTAATTTATTTTTAAATTATTAGCAAACATAAATAGAACATTAAGAAGATTCAATTTGTAATTCCTTATTCCAATTTATAAAAGGACCCTTTAAGAGCAACTAATGTTTAATAATTACCTTGTTCTACTATGTTACCATTCTCAAATACATAAATAACATCGGAATCCTAAATATAGATTTCAATAAATACCTTGATTGTAGATATGCGATGGGCTATAGCAATGGTAGTTTTTCCTTGCATCAATTTATTAATACTATCTTAAACCAAATGTTCGCTAGTGGTATCTAAAGCACTTGTAGCCTCATCTAATAATAAGATATTAGAATTTCTTAAAATCGCCCTGGCTAAGGCAATCCTTTATTTTTGACCCCCTGAGATTTAAGTACCTTTGGGACCGACCTATCTTTAAAATCCTTATCCTCTTTGCTTATCCGTGCCTTTTTATGTTATTTAGGTCTCTTCAAATTGATTTGATATTATAAAATCATATGCTTTGGCTAGCTTAGATGCATTTTCTATTTATTCAGTGGTTATATTTGGTAAATTGTATTAAATATTTTCAGAAATGGTTCCATTAAATAACACTGGTTCTTAAGAGACAATTCCAAATTGTCTCCTCAGATACCGAATATCATATTAAGTGATATCGATACCATTAATAGTAATACAACCTTGATCTGGTTGATAAAATTACATTAACATCTGCATTAAAGTTGATTTACCACATCCAGAAGGTCCAACAAATGCTACTTTTTCCCCTTATTTAATACGTAAATTTAAGTTCTAAAAGATCTTCTTATTTCTACCTTAATATTAAAATGTAATATTCTCAAATTGAATATCTCCTTGAATAGGAATAGTTAATTTTTGCTTTTTCAATCTTTCTTCTCTTTAAAATTCATCCTCACTATCCAAGATTTCAAATATGTTTTTACTGGCATTTTTTGCAGCTCCAATATCTCCTGCAAAGGCAGCATTATTTCCAGCACTCATAGTGGCAAAAGTGATTGCCAAGATAGATTTAAACATTCCATTAATAGTTATAATATCATCTCGACATAATAAAGCACCAACATAAAATACGATTGCATTGATAATGAACATTTACATTTATGAGAATCCGAAGGCCAATCCTGCATAGATTCCTCTTTATCTTGCTTTCATTAAAGGCAATTGCACTTTATTTGAATACATTCCAAGTATAACTTACTCATTTCCAAATGATACTACAGTACGGATATTAGTGACTGCTTCCATAATAAGGTTCCCTGAATCTTTATATGCTTCATCTGTTAGATCAGAGAACCCTTAAACAAATCTTGCTTGTAGAACTGCTCCAGCATATGAGAGAGGAGAAAGTGCAAACATGATTAATGTAATTTACCAACTGGCTATGAAAGCAAGCACTAAGCCACAAATTAATGATCCAACATTGGCTATGTTAATTCCTAATATGGATGAAGTGAGTCCATTTATAACTTTGCAATCTACTGAAAGTCTACTAGTCAAAGTTCCAGCATTATTTTTTGGAAGATCGAAAAATGGAATTGGCATCCTTAATAATTTTCTATATGTATCTATTCTTAACTTACAAGTGAGTTTCTCTCCCACATAGGAAAGAGCATAAGTTTGAATAAACCAAAAAATCTGAGCTGCCACTCCTATCAAGAAAAAGGATAATGCAATTCTATTTGCTTTTGAACTCACTTCATCTTATAAATCCTTCTTAACCATATCACATAAATCTTTACTTGGATTATTATATGTCATGTGACATTAATAATCTGCAAAGGAGGGATTAGATTCAACCAAAACTGTAATCATATCTCCCAAAAACAATGAAAATATAGGAAATATGCATCCATTAGCCAAAGCTGCTAATATTCCAATCACAAATTAAATTTTCTCTTCAGAATTATAGGTAAATAATCTGCCTATTTAAGCATCCGGTTCCACTTTCGGTTTATTTTCCTTCAAGGTTCTTTGATTCTCCTAATCTTACAATGGTGCTATGCTTTTTCCTTCCTCAACCTTGCCTGAGACCTTCTTAATTAAAGTTGGAACTTCTAGCTTCTTAAACTTTTCCATTTCTTCTTTAACCATTATTGCTATATTTTATTAGCCTGCTATATTCATTTTGACTTGAATAGATCTTTGAGATGTCTCTTTATTTGGATGCACTTCTTAAACATCCCCTTCAAGCTCCTCTTTCATCTATGTCTATATCTAATTTTTGGCTAATTTCTCAAATTTACCAAGCTGATTTATTAATTCTTCATAAGTCCCTGATTCTGCAACTTAACCGTTTTCAATAACATAAATCAAATCTGCATTTTGAATAGTACTCATTCTATGAGCAATCACTATAGTAGTAATTCCCTTAGATATTTCATCCAAGGTTTATTAAATTAACCTTTCATTCGTTCTATCCAAAGCACTTGTGGCTTCATCCAATAATAGAATCTAAGGTTTTTTTAAAATTGCTCTGGCAATTGCAATCCTTTGTTTTTATCCTCCACTTAATTAACTTCCCCCAATGCCAACATAAGTATTTAACCCTTATTCCATTTTTGAAACAAAATCCCAGGCATTTGCCTTCTTCAATGCATCTATCATCTCATCCTCAGTGGCATCGATCTTTCCGTATAATAAATTTTCTTTTATACTAGTTGCAAATAATACTGGTTCTTGACCTACCAAACCTATTCTACTTCTCAAATCTAAAAGAGTTAAATCTTTAACGTTAATTCCGTCCTCCCCTCCAAATAGCACCTCTCCTTAATCACAGTCATAGAACCTCTCTATAAGTTGCATGACAGTTGACTTACCACAACCGCTTTCTCCGACTAATGCTACTTTCTTACCTGATGGAATAAGTAAGTTTAACTTATTTAAAATCTGCTGATCAGGACGATTTGGATAGCTGAAATGGACATTTTTCAGTAAGATAGTCCCATTAAAATCTCCTAGTTTCTTGGAATTCAAAGGATTCAAAATCTTTGGTGTTCTATTAAGAATGGCAAACATCTTAACTGCAGCCTGTCTACCTTTTGCAAAGTGCTAGACACATGGCCCAGCCTATCCTAATGAAAACCCTCCTGTAACCACCGAAAAAAATATGATCATTACATTTCCAACAGTATATGGAGCTCCCATATTGTGATTGAGAGTCTAGTGTATATCAGATATTCAATACCTAATCAGATATTAGTTTGGCTCCATACCAGAATCCAAGCGAGTAAGCCCACAAGAATGATGCCCACAGAAAACCGAAGGCTATACTGACACCAAATTAATATCTGATGGTTGTTGCAGTGGCTTGAAGGAGGTTGTTTTTATACTTCTCAACTTCAAAATCCTCTCCATCAAGCATTTTGATAGTCTTAATTGCATTTATTGCTTATTCAGCTAATGCACCTGCCTCAGAATAGACCTTTTAGGTTGCATTCTCAGAAGTTTGAACAATTATGGCAAAGATGGCTGTTGCAATGGAAACACCTGGAAGACTAGCTGTAACTACGAGAGCTAATTACCAACCACTATAAATAGTGATTCATAAATATTACTAGATATATCCGATTAAAAATCCGAAGAATGTCATTGAAAATGTCATTATAAACGTTGGAACCTTTTCTCCTATGGCTCCTTAAACAGCAAAGGTCTCGTTAGCTACTTTGCTGTTCAATTCGTTAGGATTAATTGTATCAAACCATCCAATTTCTTAGCGAAGAATGGCAGCAAAGTATCTCTTCCTAAATTCTATGCTCTGGTTCTCTCCAGTAATCATCCACGTGGCAAACATTATGAAAGACATCAACATAGTTCCACAAGCTACAATTATGAAGTATCTAAATAATAGGTTTAAATTACATAGCATTCAGACCAGCTTAATGAACCATCTCATCTCCTGCCTCTGAAAATGAGTCTGTCATATCTCCTAAAATGATAGAAAAACTTGGAAATGCAGCCCCATTGAGGAAGGCTGCCAGACCACCAATTATCATTAGTAGTTTGTCTTTTTCAGTGGCATACCGCAACAGTTCAAAATAAGGGACCTATTGATCTTGGTTATTGACGGCAGCTTAATTTTTGAAAGTCTAACATTCAGTAGATTCTCTATTTTACATTTAATATAAATTAATTTGTTGATTAGAAATTCTTGTGTTCTTTAGATTTTATTTAATTAGAAATTCTGACGATTAAAATTATTTGTGTTAATTATTTTCTCCCTTTAAAATAGTTCAAAATTATTTAAAAAGACTCTTCCATTCTTCAAAATAAAAATATATAATTTTTTAAAAATCTTTTTACAACTTTTGGATCAAAACTCTTTTCAAATTGAATAACTTGGATTTTAAAATTATTATAGTGAAAAGTCAAATGATGATTATAATTTTTATATATTTAATATTAAATGTAATAACGACCAATAATTAATAGGGACCTACAAGAAAAAAAAGATGTAATTAGATATCTTACAATTAGAAAGCAGCAAAATCTTTACATGACTATAAAAAGAGCGTAGAACTTAATTATTAAGAGTATGTCTCATAAACATCTGAATAATAATTGAACGATCTTGAAAGTATTTCAAGACCTTCAGTAAAGAGCATGCCTGTCAAGACTAGAGATTTGCTTAACAAATACAAGGCACAACTTGAAATAATACCAAAATTTTAAATAGTCCCTAAACCAAATCCTCAATTGCTCAAGAAAAACTTGGAACCTGAAGAACATCTCTAAAGTGTATCTTCCCAACAGTCAGAACCCCCTAAGAATCCTTTTTAAGACAGTCTAAGAACTAAGCAAGATGAATAGCATATGTCTTTCAGTAGATAGAAGGAGGTTGAATTGCCTGATAGCCAAATTCAAGAAAATATTCTTTAAACTGACTTGGATGGACAAAAGAACCCTTTTGAAAGTTCAAGTGTAATGCATTATACATAAACGTAAATGCTGGACCCTTATGCAAAGACAGTTTCAGATAGAAATCAACCAAGTCATTATAAAAGTTAAGAGAGCAGCAACATTTAAAATTTAAGTTAAACTTAAGAAAAATCATTAGATTCTGAATAGTTCTATGACACAATTGAGGAGTAAGGACAATTCTAATAATCAGGCAAAGTCAGCACAGGGACTCAATTATAAAAATTAGATTAGCAATCATCCAGAATTCATAATAGTATTAAAGAAGAGATATTAGATGAATCTAGTAGTATGACTCATTCATCTCATCAAGAGGAGAAAAGTCATATTAATTAAAATCCAATTTATGACAGCTTTGATTAGGATTCATAATTGGTTGAGAAAGCGTAACGATGGAATTAGTATCAAAGTATTCCATAGAACACAGCAGAGTTTAATCCTAATGTGTAATCAACAACAGCGGAAGTCAAATGTGAATAATAAAATTCATAATAAATAAAATAGGATATTTCTAAAAATAACATCAGTTATGGCCAGTCATTTGAATAGACATAGCAGCAATCTAGTTATTTAAACAATTAAGTTAATTCAAACCTCTTAGATAAAGATTCAACTAAAGATGGGATTATAATAAATAATCGTATTATATATAAGAAACTTTCATAAGAATTAGTAATTGATATGGAAAAATTTGAGGAAAATAGCCACTTATTGAAAAGCATCAACAAAACCTAATTATTGTTTATTACTGAGAAATATTTTGATCTTATGATTCAATAAAACAATAGGAATTTATTGTAAGATTTTCGATTATTAAAGAAGTTACAATAACACATATTTAAGAAAGATAGTGTTATTTTAAAAAAGTGTATGAAATAATTTCAGATTAATAGGGATAGATAATTAGAGAAATATGAGAAAGATAGGAAATCTAGATAGTTTTTCTTTTCAAAATAGAAATAATTACAACGATATGTATTTTAAGCAATAAGATAAAATAAAATTGCATAGTAATAGTTTTTATAGAATGTTATTCGATTGATGAATAACCATAAATAGAAGGTTTTGCTGATGAGATGGAAGACTTAAGTATATAAATAAAAAATGAAAAGGCAAATGGATCTTTAATATAAACAGTTTTTATTCAATGGTTGGCTAAATGTAGTTAAAAGGGAGAGAAAGGCTAAAGATATTAAAAGTTTAACGAAATACTATTTTTCAACAATTAAGAAATATTACTAAACTTGGAAATGTTTCACTTACTAATAGCAAAGACTCAAATCTAAGTTTCTGAATGCTTAGAGGAATATAAATTTGATGAAGAAGAAGTTTATAATGTTATAATGGATCAATTTTATATAGGAAGTGAAAAGAGAAAAGGAATTTGAAGCCTATGTGAAACAGGCCAATGAATACATTCCTGTTAAGGTAAGCCTAAAACCCTAAAATATAAAAATCTATAATATCAAATGAATTAATATTTATTATTTATCACTAATTAAATCATATAAGTAACACATAAGCCAATTTAATTTGGCTTTTCATTAATAATAATATGCTATATAATTTTGATTTTCCATAACAACAAAGTCCTGTTTTGTAAATTAATTATTCACAGTAAAATAATAAAACTTAGAAGAATGTTTCAACCTAAAAATCTCTGAGCCAAATCTCGAATTTCGAGTTTCAACAAACTAGTGATATGAAAAATAAGTTATTACCCCTTTTGAATAATAAACTAAAGTAGAGAAACTCGATCAAGCATGGTGCTCAAAGTCCTAGACAGACATAATTCAAAAGTGAGAATTCATTAGATGATCAAAGCAAAATAACTATTTGCAGATAACTACCTTCTATATATTTGAAACAAAGCAGTAAGATTATGAAACCAACTCACTCTCAAGATAAGTTGAGTTTAAGTCCTCAGAAATAGGATTTAAATCAATAAAGCAAACGAATTCTTACTGACGGTGCAGATATCCAACAATCAGATAGATTAAGCCTCAAAAAACTTAATGAATTGTTGAATAGTCATAGTGTTAAAATGCCTTAACCTACTACAATATAACATTTTCCTGAAGTTTAGGAACTAAAAGATTTACCTAAATAAATTGAATAGATTTTTAAGAAAAATAACATTAATCCAATAAAGATGAAAGCCAGCTTGCAGTTTTATAGTCCAAGAGAGTAGAAGAATAAGATCTAATCAATTGATTCTTTAATTAAATTGTTAAAAAAATGAATTTAACTTATAATAATTATCGTAATTCTAAAAAGAAATAAATCATATCAATACGATTCGAATGCTATTAACTAATCTTAAAATAACTTCTTGTGCTAGAATATTAGAATGAAATTTAAGCATAAAGAGTTTAATTAATTATATAAGTAAGTAATGCTTTAAAAGGAGATATAGAATCTAATTTAGGAAAAAAATAATGTGCAGATTAAATGCAACTATTAAATAAGTCTCTTAGTAAACTTAAAGAAAAATGAAAATACAAAGCAATTTAACATGAATTATAAGTTTAGAATAATGATAAATTCTAAGGAAGAGGAATTTCTTGCAAAAAATACATAATATATTTTTCATAAATTGTTCGTAATTCTATTCTTGGAATGGCAACAAATTGTTAATATGTATTGTGAAATTCTCCAATTTTGTTGGAATGATGCCTAAGCTAACAAAGGAAAATTAGATAACCTCCTAAAAATTAGATTAAACATAAACAAGTGGAAGATCTAAAAACTATATTATTAATTTAGGATCCCTCAAACTTATTAATCAATTTATAAATTTTAATTATAAATTATTAATCTTTATTACAAATAGAAAATAATTATTAGTTAGAAAGTATAAAATAAATGGGGACATTTTTAATTTATTAGAAAACCTTGATTTATTTAAAATATTCAATTGTTTAACTTTAATTATTTTACTAAATCTTGTATCAATGAATCTTATTGTAGTTCATCAATGATTCTCAAAATATTTTCCTTTTCATTTGGACTTAATTAAAAATTATATTTCATTTAGCAATTATGCAAAACAAACATAGTGTCTATCTAAAAATAGAATAACTATTCTTACAGGACATATAGGAAAGGCATAATTGATTAGGTTCTTTAAAGCTTCCAATTCGATTTCTGTTAAGAGAACTAAATTAGCTATTATCACTAAAAGTTGTCTTTAGATTAAAGCATTTGAAGCTGGGAACATATTGAATAGTTAATTCACATTACAATTTGCAGGGATTATTTATTAACCTGTCAAATTAGAGTAGATAAATAGTATTATTAGTTACAATTCTTGACTGTCTGTTTCTTTGACTTGTAGTTATGCAAAATCAAATGGAATGGCTTAGGATAATTCTGCATACAACCAATATATTTGTATTAGTTGATTTTTATCAAGTTTATTTTCATTTTTCTTCACATATTAAATTAAGTATTGAGGCAATTCAGACTGACCTATCTTTACTAAGATCTAATTCAATAATGCGCTTTCATTGTGAATGGCATAAAGGATATTGTTTAAAGCCCAGATTGCCTAAAATAGCAGTCTTTTTTGTCCATATATTATCTAATATTGTAAGATATCTATCATATTTGCTGAGAATGCACTTATAAATCCATTGTTACATGAAATATTACCTATTTATTTTAGATTAATAATTACCAATAAATGCTAGTATTTTATCTAAAATTTAGTAAGAAAGTGCTTGATTAATATGATTGTTATACTTATCCATTAATTTGCAGAGAATCGTAAGCATGTTGAATAATTCTTAACTTGAATTCTAAAATAAACTCAATTTGACTAACACGTTCAGGCATTCATTGTGCAAAGCAGAATTATCATCTTCAACTTTTAACTTAAGGAGTGTTTCAATCAATTAAACTAATCTAACTTCTTATTCTTAATTAAAGTGATTAAAATCATTGATTTGCTTAAAGTAATTTTTGATATCTTTTTTATTGTAGATTGTAATTGCACCATTTAGAAGATGAAGTGTCTTATCAACTTCAACCTCATTGTTATTTGACTGTATCATTTTTTTCCTATTATTTTAGAATAGAGTCTCTCTATCAATACGTTTAACGTTCAAAGCAAATAGCTCTCGTTTTTTTTACAAACTCAAAGTTGTGTTATTAATCATTAATTAATTAATCATAGAATAATTTGCCGCTTGAAGTTTGTGAATTATTTTCAAATTAAAATTATAATACTTATTCATTTGTGCATTTCCCTCTGACATTAAAATCATCAAATAAGATCACAATCAAACTAAAATCCATTTGTAAAGCAGCAGTATTTGTTTTCAAAGTATCTTTCAACAAATTAAAGGTAAGGTTTAGGGTATTAAGTTCTCCCTTAAAATAATTGAATAAATCAGGAATGTTATATTCAAAGTTTAAATCTTTTAAAAATAATTGAGTTTCTCTAAATATCATAAAAATCCGATAAAATTCTTATCATCCTATAAAATTCTTAGTATGGTAATTATTATTAATTTTTTCTAACTAAATTGAATTTTGGGTTGTGTTATATAAAGCTTCTATTCCAGAATTTTATCCTGATTTCTTAATGGTTAAATTTGTATTTAATTATAAATCGAATTTGATTAAAAATGCTTTAAAGACATTCTGAAACTATTGAGTATATGAGAGAATGCTTCAGATAAAAAATCTTGAGAGACCATAGAGAGGCTATCTTCAAAAACAAAAGAAGGCCATAGGAGTGCAACAAATAAGGTATTTCGAGGAATGATTCTTTAAATAATTAATTCAATTATCTATATTTAGGAGAAACACAACATACTAATGAAATATAAGTAAACACATCAAAAAAGAAGGAATAAGGGTTGAGTATTTAATAGCAGATGCATTAAATATTAAATGTTGAATTTATTAATAATTTCAAATTAATTAATTTAGAAACTAATCTATTAATTTCTTTGAAGTAATTTCCAGCTTTATGCAATGATGAATAGTTGACACTTTGGTTCTAATTAATTGAATCGGTAATAATGCAATCTGACTTTTAAAGCATCATTGTAAATATTTCAATATTAGAATAAATTATTATTTAAGCAATCTAATATAAGAAATTTGACTCTCCTTTTAGAACTTTAAATTGTCTTTTGAAATTGGTTTAATTGAATGATATTAGTATATTGAAATATTTTGAATGCGAGGAGATGTACAATTACTTAATTTACGCATTATAAAATTAATAATTGAATGCAATTGTAATTTGTGAAAAGATATTGGAAATCTCTCAATATGGAACACTTTTTTTATTAAAATAAGGATTATTGGATTATATTTACAATTTTTTATTGGAAAACTTTGAGTATAAGAATTTTTTTATAACATTTGTATCAAAGATTAATTGTTTAAATGTGGAGGAAGCAGTAACAACCTTGATACGATCAAAAATATTTAATGAGATCATAAATCTCCATGGAACTGAGATTGATGCTTAGGGGTATAGATGCATAGGGGTTCTGATATCGAACTTAATCTAAAAAGTTAGTAACAAGGACCAGCTGAAGTACCTGATATATAATTCAAATTTGATGTGCATGTTATAGTAGATTTTGAGTTTGTACCACCACGAAGATTTGATATTGATGGGGATCCAAATACTGCAGATGATTTTCAGTCAATAAAGCTATGAGTCTGTGTAGCAGATCAAGAAGGTACAAAAATGATCATTATTTAAAGGATATACCTTCTGTGTTGCTCCAATTGTACTTTTTGAAGAAGTGTTGCGTGGAGAATAGTATGTCTGATAAGATAAATTAATTAATTGAATATTGATGAAATAATAAGGATTTATTATAGTTAATGATGTTCTGAGAATGAGTGTTTTTATATAAAGGGGTGGCAATTATTGAGGAGTGAGTTTTTCGATTAATTTAAATAATGTTTGGTCGGTAGCAATTGAGATCGTATTTATATTGTGTAATCCCAGGTATCCCACTGAGTCGGCGGAGTTCTTGGAGTGCAAGGCGAATAACCGGATGTATGCATAGGTGTTGGCTACAACGAGAGAGTCGAAGGAGTCGGCGTTGTTATCAAAATTGGTCACGTTGAGAGAATAGTATATGGAAATGTATATATGACCGAATAGAATTTCAACGATAGGCAGTCCTCGTGCAACAGTGAAGACATCGAGAGGGATGTCAGACCATGTAGGTGCTACTATATCTCCACGTTCTTTTGGGAGGAGATTGGACGAGAAATTGCCGATGAAGGAATTGGGGGAGATAGCGAATTACTTTAATACATTGAGAGCTGAACAAGCCAAAACGTTGTCGAGAAATTATGTGAATGAGATGGTGCGTTTGTAGCAGTGTATTGAGAAGAAGTTGAAAAGATGATGTTGTTAATAAATTAAATTACCAATGAATCAAAAGCCACTGAAGAGTATTCATTTTCGAGTGGAGACGCATATCGACTTGTCGTCCAAAGACAAGATATCTTCTGTTGAGAGTAATTCTAAGCGTTACGGTTCTCCTGACAACTTGCCTTCTCTTCAAAACATCTGCAGAACCATTCAAGGGGAGGATGGAACGGTAATGAATGAGAATGAGGAGATCATAGGTCTTTGCCATGAGATCCCTTATGAGTAGGGCCAACAATGTGAGTAGCAACCGAACCACAAGAACTAAGTGGGCACTTGAATTAAACGAACGCAAGGATCTTAAACAATTAGAACAATGGACAGATGTATATTAACTTTAGTATTTAGTTAATGGTTTAATAATTATAATAACAATAGTATAGCAACATTCGAGATTTCTATGAAAAAATGGAGTTGGTCTACACTGGTTCCATAACTTAGTTAGGTTAGTAGCTGGCTGTTAAATGCATTGATTATTAGAATATGTTGAACAAGATATGGTCATCCTACACTCATGCAGTGAAAGAGATAATCGAAAGACAATCAGAAACCAATAGAAAATTGGAGAAGGATTGTCTATCAGAAACAGTCAAGTTGCATCAAATGTACTAAAAAACACTGAATGACAAGGGCACTAAATTGCAAGAGGCTGAAAGATATTTGAAATAGAATTCTGATTAAAATGATAAAATGATTAAAGAAGGTAGATATTTGAGAAAGAAATGTTAAAAATTAGAGTAAGAACTCATGAACTTAAGAAGAGAATCCGACTTTCTTAAATTGCAGAATACTGATCTAACCAGAGAAATAGATGCAATGAAAGTTTTCATTAATCATCAAGTTGATCCTTCCATCTACATTCATCAGAATCTCGTCAATGCTTAATAGATCGAAGAGAAGTTTGCAGATGAATTGTAACATGCTAAAAAGGAAATGTTTGATGATTTTAAACATCAGTTTGAACAAAGAACCATGATATATGAAGAAATGTATTAAAAAAAATTAGATGAGTTAGAAAGGAGAGAGATATAGAATCAAAATTAGGAGGATGAATAAATACTTTAGGATTATTAATAGACTATATTTAAAGATGAGTGTGTTGGCAGCTCAATCACTTATAAGACTTAAGAAACAGACACTCTTGATTTACTTCAATTTTAAGATGCAACAGTCCAAACCATCTAATTCAAAAAAAAAGTATTTGATTGGAGTACTCAAACACCTACTGTTGTTACATTTAATCAATCCGTTGAAGCCAACTTCTCTATGATAAAAAGAGAATGCATTCCGAGAAACAAAGAGGAACAAACCTATTTGGAAATGTCCAAATATCCCATTCAAGTTTTCATTGATGACTATCATGAAATCAATATCACCTATAATAAAAGTACTTTTAATTAGGACTTAAACAATTTGGTTGAGTAACTTGGTCAGAGAGCGACATAGTTGTTTAACATATTAACAATGAAGGAAGAGTTCCATTTGGATGATTTCTAATGCGTGAGTTAGTATGTGATAAATAGTTATAATGTATTCATAAAGCTAATTCGTAATTTGGAATATCTGATAGTAGAAAGCAAATCGAATTTAGTGGAGAACAAGATTTGTCTATATGAAACATAGATAGATTCGAAGCAATCATATCGAAAACAGATCCATGCTGAGAAGAAGTTGGATCTCTTGATAGCCAAACACTAGTTAACATTGAAATAAGTGTCATTCCTGCAAAAACAAATCATTCGAGTTCACAAATATCTACCGCACTTCCAAATTGAAACTATCAAAAGATAAGCCATTAAAAGGAAGATATTCTTGGAATTCCCTAAAATCCAATCGCCTGGTCCCAATCTTCTACTACCTCCTGAAAAATCAAATACAATCTTCTTTTCTTCTTAACCTTAGTTGTTGATACCTCCACAAATCAATCAATCTACGAGTTCATAGGTTCAGAGATCTGCTTTGGATATAGCCTAGAGTGAATCTACAGAGCCTCAGTAACTGAGAAGAGATTAGTCGGTCGACCTATATCGAGAGCCCAGAGAAACACCTCCAATTAGTCCAGCCAAAAAGCATCATCAAATATAAATATGTAATAAGAATGCATTACATTTACTTAGTTTTCTAAGATGCATTAGTACCACCTGATGACTCTTCATCGGAAAGTGATTAGGATGTGGACATAGAGGCGTAATTGTCTCCCATAAAAAACTTGTTATCAATTGAAAAGAAGCTGTTTGTGAGCAAATGTCCCTCCAAAAATACACAAACAGCCACTCAATTGTTATTGCAAGAGATTCAATAGTTTCGAAGAGATCGGATAGATAATATAGTCACTCGCTAAACTCTACAACGATATTTGTCTAGTTTTGTGTGTTGGTGTGTGAAATATGGAAAGTACAATTATCCTCTGCACATACAACTCTATGAATTCTATCAAATCGAGAATTTCCAATAGCCTCCTCAGGTCTGGTTGTAGAAGTATCAACGAATAATTAAGAGCATCATCTACTATAAGAAGAAGACGACTTATGCTAAGTTGTTCCATTAGATGTTGATCGGAGATTAGAGTTTTAACATTTATTTGAGTGTTTTGAATGGCATTCAAAATAAGGAGTTTACAGAGAATGGAATTATTGTCCAATAATTATAACTTTCTGATGCTATCGGACAATATGTGAAGAATACTATTCCAAAGTACGTTCAGCTGGTGGATTACGATCAGGAGATAATGCCATACATGCAAGGGATGTTGGATTTCAAAACAAAGGAGATCACTCAAAAATATTAGTTAATTTTGACTTTGTTTGATTAGGATCGATTCACGGCTCTATAATTTAGATTGCTGCTATTGGAATTGGATGCTTAGAGAACTGAACAGTAGATAATCAATCTGTTCATTAGTGAATGTGATTTAGAATAGAACAGTATTTAATATATGTCACATAAGAGATTCTCATAAATGTGTGAAGAACACAATTTGTTAGTTAATCTGAGTGAGTATTTGATGAGGAATAATGCTCAATATTTTAATGATTTGTAGTTATGGAAGATGAGAGAGATTGAATTGAAATTGATGTTGATCAGATCATAGAAGTACGACACCACTGAGAGGGAAGTGTTTTATCGGATGAATCAATTGAATTCAAATGAGTAGAGAATATTGTTGGGGAGGTACTTGGAGAGAAGAGCCAAAGAACTGTTGTTGGAGTAATATGCCTATGAATGTCTACCCTAATTCATGCAGATCATACTAAATTCTTAATGATTTATTTCAAATCAATTAATAGCTTATATATATATATATATTTGATAAGTTCTAAAATATTGATTCAAAAATTAATATGGCTTCCAAATTAAATACAATCGAGGCAACCAATCTAGACCATCAAATCTAACATTTATATTAATGTAAACCACTTCCAGAATAGGATGTGAAGCTGATATGTGATAAGGTATGTTGAGTTAATATTAACACACCCCTTAGGCTAAAGAAATTTTGATTGAGGAATCTAATGTGTAACCAGTTCGTGCACCTGTTATAATTTGTGGTGACATTCATGGTCAATTCCATGATTTGATGGAACTGTTCAAAATAGGTGGCAAAGCACCAGTAATGAAGTGATATTAATTAGAGGATACTAATTATCTATTCATGGGAGATTACGTCGATCGAGGACATCATTCTGTCGAGTGTGTAACTCTTCTTGTGTTGTTGAAAGTATACAAATCTACTAATCAATTTAGATTCGTCATAGAGACAGAATAACCATTCTCAGAGGTAACCACGAATCGAGATAAATCACATAAGTCTACGGTTTCTATGACGAATGTTCACGTAAATACGGTAATAGTAATGTTTGGAAATGCTTCACTGAGTTGTTTGATTACTTACCATTGACAGCAGTAGTTGAATCATAAGTAAATTCCTCTAATCTATAAAGTTCTTCTGTCTCCATGGAGGTATCTCACCATCCATTGATACTTTGGATCACATTCGCCAATTAGATAGAGTTTAAGAAGTACCTCATGAAGGCCCAATGTGCGATTTGCTTTGGAGTGATCCAGATGACAGATCTGGATGGGGCATTTCTCCAAGAGGTGCTGGATATACATTCGGATAGGATATTTCAGAATAATTCAATCATAATAACAAATTAAAGATGATTGCAAGAGCTCATCAATTGGTGATGGATGTACACAATTTGAATCATATGTTTTTCAGGGATATTCCTTGGCTCACGAGAGAAATGTAGTCACTATATTCTCTGCTCCAAACTATTGTTATAGATGTGGCAATCAAGCTGGCATAATGGAAGTCGATGAGAATCTACGTTAAACCTTGTATAAATCAATGTATTTACTGTTCGTAGCATACAATTTGATCCAGCTCCAAGATCTGAAAATGAATCGGTCCCCAAAAGAGTACCAGATTATTTCTTATGATTCATTTAATATAGACAGGAATCACGAATTAATATTTATGTTTTCCTTATTCTCCTACTCTATTTAAGTAATCTCTCATTTTAACAAAAATAAAAAATATTTTTAATATCAGTTTCTTACAACAATGAACCTTGATGACATTTACAACTGGTATCAACTATCCATCCACCATTAGGATTCTCCAACATCCCTAGAACTACCCAGGAAAACAACAGGAATCACAACCACGAACTGTGCAATCTTACAAGCCTCTTGAACCAAAAGCCTAATTTCACATCATTATCAAAGCCACTGCAGAGTACATCAAAGAGAAAATGCTCAATGGAAATGTAACATCCAATAATATCTTAAGGGAGTCAATATGAAGGAGTTGGGAGCATTTACCATGGAAGTCATTTCTGATTATGTGAAACCTCTCCAACATTCAGGATTCAATATGACTCAAGACCTAGCCATTCAGAGAGCAGACAGAAAACATGTCCATTAAATCAGGTACATCGCTCTCAATATTTATGTATAGACCTTGCTTTGTCCCTGACAATGCCTTCAAATACTTCTTGGCTCGTTACCCAGGCAAAGAGGAAATCACCAAACCTTTGAGTCAGCATTCGATCTATCAGAAAGGATTCGGTATGAACTTCTGTAACGCTGGTCCAATTGCAGCATCAAGGTTTGTAAATTTTAATTGTAATTCAGCTATCTAGGCAAAGATGTTGTGTAATCAGTTCACACTTCGTTGATTAAAGCCATTCATGATCTAACCAGACTCGGACATGATCTCAATATTGATTTTGGATTCATCAAGATTTCCGTATAAAATAGAGACTTAAAATATAAATACGATCAATCATTCATTCAAAGACTCAACTAAACAGATTATGAATTAAAAGTAAATTATCTATCACTATTCGAGATGCGCAAATCTGATTTAGGAACATCACAACATTGGACAACCACCTATTAAGAGAAGTGGTCAAAGAGCACGTAAAATCCCTTATTAATTATCTAATAGCTTAAATCATTTGTTGACTAGACCAAATCCAAACCAAGTCCAAGAAAACTATGAGAAATCTATGGCCTTGAAGATTATGTCATTGGATTTGAATACGGCTGAACAAACCAATTATAGCAAAAAGCAAAAAGTCTAATTACCAACACTTAATAAATGAAATGTCTTTTATTAAATAAGTAGATTGATTAATTTTATTAATATTAAATTTATAATCTCAGAATTACCCTAATCTTTGATCTTTATGATCAATCCTTTATTCTGTATTGAGTGTAATTCAACTAGTCTCTACCTTAATCTTTAATTATATGTAAGATAATCTATAATATTGATTTGAACTCATAATTTCAAGAATGAATTCTATATATCCTAATTACTCGAGAATATTCATAAGATTTGAAGGATTGCGAAAGATTAATATTCAAATTCCAATATAGTTATATTATTTTTAGATTAACTTATCTAATATTTAAAGATTAATTCCTTTTTATAATTGTTTAAACACAAAGTACTCATTTTAATGCACATATGTTTAAGTTCGATACCAAGAAAATAAGGAAATCGTTTAGTTCTAAGTTTTCATAAAATATAAAATTAATACACACCTTAATGACTATTTTTAATAAATTTATTTAGTCATAAATGTAGTGTGATTATATGATCCAATACTTAACAGAATTTGCTAATTAAACCTAAATCATTTTCATTAATCAGTATCTAAAAAAGACTGCAAGATAGAAAGTGTATGGAATATAAAAATAATAATATTCTTTATTAGATTTATTATGGTGTAGATCAATGCCATTTATTGATGAACACATCTCTTCTTGGTGCTCTTAATTCTTCTGGATATTAGGTACCTTCTGGATCTGACAAGTCCTTCTTGTTCAATCTAAGATCTAAATTCTCGTAATTACCTATTTGCATGCACTTGCCATAATTATTCAATGTGATCATGATAATGAATGAATGTATACTCGTTTGCAATTGCAAATGGAAGCACAAGAGTGTAGAGATATTATCTGAATAATCTGTGGGTCTTGAAGACTGAGCCGTACTCTCTCAAAATGCTCAAGACTTATCCTCTTTTAGCGTATTAATAAAGGAAGGTCCATGAAGCTCCTGTCACGATTGCAGCAAGTTCTAAGAATATATTGAATTCGATATTACTAATATTTGAAGTCCAATCTTCACATAATTCTTCCTTTGTTTCTTTGACGATTCTCTAATATGGGTAGAACTTGTATAGAGAGTTCAACTTTCCATACTATGAAAATCTATTAAGTCCATAAGAAGCAAATAATCCTTTTACAGCTCTATATTGTACACCATCGAAGAATTGTCTGCTGATATCGCCAGAAGGAAGTGTATTGAAATACTCTTCTGCAAGTCTAAGGTTGATGGGAGTATAAGTTGGATGCACTGTGTAGAGACTGTGATTCATTTAATTAAATAATGATCATATCCAAATTATCATTAAAGCAAATGATAAAATTAAATCTGCTCCTGAATTCCTTATCTCTATTTGCTTCTCAACCTCAGAGGATTCAATCTTATTTCTAATATCCTCCTCAATAAACTTTTCGATCGTTACATTATTCAAACTAGCGCCTAGAATCAATTTCATTAAAATACTTACTTTCTGAATTTGTATCATTCTCATTTGGTACATTTTAAGGATCTAACTTAATTAATAATACAATTACCTTTTGAAGTATTGTCATTTTATTAAGGATTATTTGAATTTTAAGTAGAACTCTCCTAATTATTATTTTCACTAAATCAAAATATAAATTTACTTCCACTCCTCCGAAGAATCAACAAATTAAGGTTCCTATGGTACTTCTGGTTCTGATGGCTATTAAGGTTTTTATGGCTATTAAGGTTATTACGGTTATTAAGGCTATGATGGTTATTAAGGCTATTGTGGCTATTGTGGCTATTATGGTTATTAAGGTTATTATGGTTATTAAGGTTATTATGGCTACTAAGGTTATTAAGGCTACTATGGTTATTAAGGTTATTATGGCTACTATGGATATTAAGGTTAATATGGATATTATGGTTGATATGGCTATTAAGGTTATTATTATGTCTATGTATTAAAATTGATAGTAATACTGAAGGTTGATTTTATTATTGATGATGAGAATTTTTGTCATCATCATCGTTGTGATTTGAACCATGGTTATGTTCTTAACCATTTCGACCACCATCTCCTCCTTTTCCTCCATTTCCTCCTTTTCCTCCATTTCCCCCTTTTCCTCCATTTCCTCCTCTCTCTCCTATTTCATTTAGAATTCGAGATTATTAGTAGGTCTGTAATGATAACTAAAAAGATACCATACACCTCTTTGAAATTTTATCATAATAACATCGGGATGTTTGACAATTTAAAGGATACGAAGCATCTATTTCTAAACATAATTCTGATCTTGGCAAACATTGACCTTACGAGATTTGACATTGCTCTTAAACATTCAAATTAAGTCTCAAACATTGTTCCTTTGTTCTTTCTATACAAGTAGCATTTATTAATCCAATTATAAAAATTGCAAATAGCATATATTATTTAATTATAATAATCAAATAAATAATTTAGCTAAGAGAACAGTTGCCAACAATCTGATGGAAGAACTTGTATTGATGACTAAATCTTTTTCATCCAAATTACCATTGAGTATTTCATTTTAATCGAAATCAAATTTGGTCATTTCAAATGCTAAAATTTCAGTGGAACTAGAGTTTGTTGATGGATCAACGGGTACAGTGTTATTAGAATTCATGGTAGAATTGGTTTCAGGAGGGATTGGCTAAGTGCCATTTGTAGTTATATTATAAGTAGGCATATCTTAAGTTTAATCAGGATATTGTCCATTTTGTTATTGATTTTATTATTGATTTTGTTATTGATTTTATTATTGGTTTTGGTTTTGGTTTTGTTATTGGTTTTGATTTTGATTTTGATTTTGATTTTGTTATTGGTTTTGTTATTGTTCATTTGAATGTTAGTCTTCAGAATCTTACATATTCTAATCCCTGCTATCATCCTGATCTAAAATTCTTCTTGATTCCACATCCCATTCATCCTCATAAGGCTAAAGATTAAGATCACTTATTACTTAACAAATCTTTAGTTCGAAATCATAATAGCATTAGATTCCTTAGCAATTATTTGGATTTGAGGCATCAATATCCTCGCATTTACTTGGCCTATTTTAGCATTCTTATTTAACAATTTAACATTATTCATCCTAAAGGCAAGTTTAAATAGACCTTAAATGGCATGATGAGTGGACTAATTTGAAAAGTAAGATAGTATAGAGAATAGTGTTCATGATAATTAATTATATAATTTGTTGTCTAAATATTCTATAAATTAGTAATTTTGTATAGAACAGTATACATAATTTTATAAATAGTTTAAAAATGAATCATAATTCCTATTTATTTAAATCTGAAATTCGTTTTAAATAAAATTAAGATAGTATCCGATTTTAATTTATTTTATGTAACAAAATTCAATTTTTAAAAGAATTTATATCAAAACATTAATTTTAATTTTTATTAATGATTAATTGTAAATCATTTTGAAATCATAATTCAGATTGATATTCAATCTTTTATTGTAATTTATGCTAAATTCACTCATAATTCTCTCATTTTTATATATCCAATACGCTCATGTATTCCAAAGTTCATGGTTGTCTTCATTCGATGTTGCATTAATAATTTCTATTATTTTATATATAAAATAGTTAATTCATATGCAATAATTGTACAGCTATTGAAATTATTTAGTGTCGAAATGAAGGCTGCGACTTGGCAAAAAGATTCTCACGGGCTTTTTGATTATGAAACTCAACTTCTCACAATAGAAAGGCATGCCATATTGAAAGAGCGGAAGGTTTACCGATTGGGTATGTTATACTATTAATTATTTAATAGGTTAAGAGATCAGTACACATTCTCCGGAAACTGAATAACAAGAGTGTCAATAATATTTAACTGCAGTTCAAGAGAAGAACGATAAGTTTTACATCAATCCTAGTGGATGTGATGAAAATGAAAATTTTTTAATAGTTAGAAGTTTAAAAAATAGTTAAGGAGCACAGAAAGTATAAGTTGATAATAAAAATGAAAGGGATATAAAATGGAACCTGGAGAGATAATAAAATTGGGGAGGATGGAATATGTGATAATAGAAACCAGGAATCAAGATAACTTAATTAATAAAGCAAAAGGCGAAATGCTAAAAGTATAACTTGAATAAAAGCTCAGGATTTGTTTGAAATAACTGCTTCGTACGTTACCAATAATTAAGCAACATGTCGATTTTGCTTAATGGAGACACAGTCGAAGGAAGATCCCTTCATTTCTCCATGCAATTGTAAAGGAAGCTACGAGTTCGTTCATTTTCGTTGTTTGAGACAATGGATTGAAAGCAGATGCCAAATAAAATAGTTAAATAGTGCACAATCATATCGATGGAAATAGTATAAATATTGACATCCTAGGCAACAATGTGAACTCTGTGAATCCTTATTACCTATGAAGATAAATATGGAAGACAGGGAACTTTCATTGGACCTCATACAGCGACCTTCATCACCCTATTTGATAATGCAATCAAGACACAAAAAGGAGAAGAAGCACGGCAAAGCTGTTTATGTGATCTAGTTTTAAAATTGTGAACCTATAAAAATAGTAAGTAAGACATTAATCAATAGGGAAGAGGTCATCAATGTGATATACAGATCTCAGATATCTCAGTTTCTAGATTGCATGCTTACATGAAATATTAGGATGGTGACTTCATCATTCTTGACAACAACAGTAAGTTCGGTACACTTGTGAGATTGTTCTAGCCATATAAAATTGAGCAAGAGAAGGTTGCTGTATAAGTAATATTGTTTCTAAACCATAGATTGGACGTACAGTCTTAACATTTGTAGTAAAACAGTAGTCTATTGAGGATAACAATTGATTATCTTATTGTTTGTTATTGATATTAAAATATTACTTCGATAGTTCCATGCAGGGAGACGAGGTCTGTTGTTGGTTCTCTAATAGATTACGGAGAGAGTATATGTGTTGCGTGGTGTATAGATGAAGAGATTATGAATTAATTAAATATATAAAAAAATTTAAATCTTTTTTTAATATTATGGCTCACAGAATTCAAGAAAACGCAGGAATGATCAATGATGAGAAATAAGTTGTCGATATTTATGTACCAAGAAAATGCCAATATACAAATATGATCCTCAATAGCAGCGATTATTCCAGTGTCTAAATCAATGTCGGATAAGTATTGATTCAATTTCTAATTCAAGGTTGATGAGACCGGAGTTTACAACAAAAAGAATAACACTGTCATCTTGGCAGGATATTTGAGATAAAAGGGATAAAGTGCTGCAGCTTTGGAGGCTATTCTTAGACAAAGAGGCGTTCTCCCATTCGCATAATGAGACATATATAATATATACATATTAGTACATTAATAGATAAAAATCACAAATTGCAAATGCTACTTCTATAATACTAACAAATCTGATCAGCACAGAGGATTAAATTGGCACCCAATTTTTCCTCTTGCATAACCTATTTGATTAATTATACAAACAAATTAAAAGTTTATTCACCTATTTTTAATGGGCTATGAATAACTCTTAAATCATTTGATTTGTAAATTGTTGAATTCCTGAAAATAAACCCAATAATCTTCTTCACATGAGATTTAAGTTAGTATTCAGCATTTCTGAAATGATCACTATAAATTTCATTGTCCTGCAGATTCAATTAAACTTTGAATTGCACTTGATCCAACCCTTGAGATCCAATAATGCTTTCTATACTTTGCTAATTCGTAACTATGAACCTTAATTAAAACCACAAATCAGCATAATCCTACAAAATCAGTCTATCTAAATTATAATTTTTAATTAATAAAAAAAAGTTATCCCTAAATCCATCCATCCACTCACTTTGAATAACGCAATTCTTATGCAAAGTTGTGAGATCAATTTGTGTTAAAAGTGGTTGATGTTGGTGAGTGATGAACTTCAGTAAAAAATGTGCATGTCTTAAAAGGGTGGGTACATTAGGAAAATTTCGAAAGCGAGGGTCTCTTTATAAAAAGACCTCGTATTTCTTCACTTAGACTTTAAATAGAGTTGGAGATTAAAAATAAAAATCCAATAAGCAATCTTGATTTACAATGCAACTCCGATAGCCATCCATTCTTTTGGTTATCAATTCAATTTGTCTTTCTTTTAACCCAAGTTCTTTCATGGCTTCCACCAAATGTTACTTGAACAAAGTGAAATGGACATTTGTTAAATTCATTCTTTGATGAGATTTTCTTAAATAATTCAGTACATAATCAACACCGCAATTCCAGCCCATCATTTAATGCAAGATAATCCCTAACTTCTTGGCTTATTCATCCATTTAAATGCCTACAAAATATTCACAGAGAGTCTAATCTTCTAATATTTTTTAATAGGTGAGATCTGCTAAGTGGACAATACTTTAAGGTGTCTCATCCTTGTTATTCTCAGTCCGTTGATTATAAATCTAAGCAAAGGTTTGTTCTGAAGTTATGATACAGTATTTATATTGTTCAATAAGTGCACTGAATTCAAATATTAATTCAGGAGGCCCTTTATTGCTTTGAATAAAACTACTCTTTCTTATTATAATTGATTATTTACAATTAGGTAACTCTTAAATTGATTGTATAATGCATGATCAATTTTTAAGGGGATATGTTTTTATTTTAGGGCTTCAATGTTGAAAAATACTGGTTTGCCCATGATGTACTCAAGAAATGTTCCGAATTTCGATTCGTACATTGCTGGATCATCAATTTCTCACATATAAAGGAATAGATTACTCTAAATTATGGGATGAATTTGAGAATGCTGATGAAATAATCTAGCTATTTCCTGAATGACTTCTTCACCACCAATTTTAGTAAGAAAGATTCCATCATCTTCTTCAAAGTTAGATTTGATGTATACAGAACTCTTCGGAGTAATTGTAGATAGTTTTGTTTATTTTTGGGGAGGCAGAGATCTTCGAGTAATCGAAACGGGAATTCCTAATCTTGATCTTGGAGTATGTGAAGTAGAATGCTATATATAGCTTTACGAATGGTAAGAATGTGTAGTGGTTTTATTGAGGCTTAAAACGAAATGTGATTTCATAGTCTAGAGATCTGGCATAACTACGTCAATCTTCGGAAGAATGCGACATTTCTATATTGTTTCAGTATGATGGCGATGATTCTTTTTTTATCCTCCTTCCTTCAAAGCATTCACATAATCTGCAAACGAAGGAGATTGTTAAATTAGTTTCACTTTCCCCCTACACAAATTACTCTCAGACTTGGTTAAGAAATCGTACTGTCCTGTTTATGTTTATCTAAACGGACAGTTCAGCTAGAATTGTCTATTCATTATAATTATTAATAACTTAATCAATTAGTCATTGCTTTAATTAATCAGCAAACCTGTCTCTTAACAGTATCATAAATTCTTGGTAATCAATCTATGATAGGAATAATTGCAGTACCTCTCCGTCCTTATTAAGATCAGCCTATCTGATTAGTTCTTCAATATCTATATCTTTAATGGAGATAGTGTCAGTATGAAAAATATCCATCAACTCGTTCTTAGAAATCCTGCCACTATTGTCTTGATCTATTCGTTTAAAGGATTCTTCAATGAATCTTTCATTCTGGAATTGGGGACATGCCAAAAAAGCAGCAATAAATTCACTATAATCTACTTATCCACTCTAATCTATATCCATAGCCTTAAACAATTGGATCAGGTAGTTCTTATCCATATTTTTATGCTTCAACTTTTTGAATTCTGATAAGCCCTCAATCATTTCCTCCAAAGAAATCATCCCATTCCCATCCTTATCCAAAGATACGAATAACTAATTCAATTATTTTCATCTTACCTGTCTTAACGACGTGATTTCACTTTCTGGAATGAAAGTGGCCAAATACAACAACATAGTCTTTTTCATTTGTTGAGCACTGATCATCCTATCTATTCCCTTAATTGCTTCATCATGCAATTTTAAATTCATCACTTCATTACTAACCTATAATTAAATCCAAGGATGATTGTATGCCTATTTTGCACTGAATCTTCTCTTCGGATCCATCACTAGGAGCTTTTAGATTAAATCCCTAACCTCTTTTCATAAAAAAGCTTATACCTCTTCACTTGCTCCCTTAAAACCTGATTTCGAAAATGTGAATATTCCTTTCTAAATATTCTTTAACGTTTCTTATGGATTTCTACCTGGGAATGGCGGTTACCCACTCATCATGACATATAAAATGACCCCCAAAGACCAATAATCTACCTCGTATCCATATTGTCCCTTAATAATCTCTGGAGCCATATAGAATAAACTTCCATTAGGTTAAGTCATAACTTCATCATCTCTAAAAGTTCTGGCCAACCCAAAATCAATAAGTTTTATGGAAGAGTCATCTTCCTTATTTTTTAATAAGAAATTTTCTGGTTTCAAATCTCTATGCACAATCTTATGTTCATGCAAATAAGCTATTGCTGTAAAAATTTATCTCATAATTTTTGCAGCCTGTAATTCTGTCAAATGCTATGTTTTTGTTATATAATAAAAGAGCTCGCCTCCCTCGCACATTCTATGAAATTTAAATATTGATTATACTCAGTTACTAAATACAATGTCTTTTCTGTCTCATAAACTTCATACATTTTCAGTATATTTGGATGATCCTTTAAATAATCTCATAAATATTACTATTTTTCTTAAAATAGAGAGTTCATTCTTAAAACTTTCTTTATCAACAACTCTATCCTTTGCAATTGCTTTGATGGCTCTTTTTAGCCCTGATTAATCTATCAATCATACCACTCGACTTCTATTCTGTTTCAAAAACCACTCCAAACCCTCCTGCGCCAATCTCCCTCAAAAACTTATAATCCTTTTTAATATTAGCTACAATGTGTTTAACACTTTACTTTTGATGCTGGAATTAATAAAGTGCGCTTTTTTTATTCTCATTTGAGGGTCCATATAAGTAAATTATTTTAAGCTATAACAAATATTTATTTTCCTTGTGAAATCAACGATTTAAGAGTTGACTCCAACTTAGAAGCTTCTCCAAAATATGATAAATTTATTATAATAAAATAGATATGCATAAGTACTAAATTATTCAAATGAGTTATTCTGCCGTAACTATTCTGCGCAGTTCCCTTTCATAGTGATCATTCAAAAAAATGGTTTGCAGTGGAAAAACCAATGAAATAGCCTTAGTTTTACAAAGTCTAAATTTAAAACTCTGATATATTCTAAAGTACACTACTAACATCAACAACAGAGTGAAAGTCAGAGCAAGTCCATTTATAATCTAAAATTATTACATACTTATCTTACATCATAGGTCTATTCCAACTCAATTGATTGTTCCTAAATATCCTAGGCCATCTGCCTAGTAATTGTGGATACAATGTCGGAGCAAAAATAAACAGCTTCCAACTCTTCCTTTGGAGGTATTTCCCTTGACATTGGAAAGTCGATTTCCAATTAATCTTTTAGTATATTACTGAATGAATTTAAAGTTGTAATCAATCCTAACTTCAAAATACCATTTTACGAATTATAACAAAAATAGTCAAAATCAAAATATTTCGTGCTATTTAAAAGAAGACAAAGGTTGTTCTTTTCATAGAACTCGTAATTGTCCAAAAATTAAGGAGAGAACTATAAATCATCACCGTCTATTTTTAAACTTAAAAAAGTATCGATCTTCAAAACTGCTTTTTCAATCTATTCAATAAAAAATGCTCTATCATCTTTGGTGAAGTATGAAAAGTACGAAAAATAATAGAGCATCTCTTTTTGTGAAAAGGCAGCCGGGACATAGACACCAATGTCAGAGAAAGACTTAAAAAAATTAATTGTATCTGGAAACTTTCTCATATACTTGGCTCCCACATAGGTTAATGGTCCTGCAATAAGGGAATATTGCAGTTAAAAGAATACGATCAATATAATTAAAGGTATCTTAGTAAACTTTATACTGCTTTTTGTACTTCTTATTTCGTTCTAAATTTTGTTCTTATCTTTCACATGAGTTTTTCTTAGCATTTCCTCCTTTCCTACTAGATTAAACTTGTATCTATGAATTAAATCTGATCCTTATTTTAGAGTCTACAAAATAAAGAGTTGTCTTGCATTATCACTTTCAATAGCTGATTATTCGACAAAGGTATTTAGTGCAAAAAACTTTTCTAACAAATGGTTGAATAGATTATGGTAATATGCTAATAGGAGTACTATTGTCGATATTATGATAGAAATGGGGATTACTAGGACTAGCCATCTAGTCACAACCAGATCAATCTACACAATTGATTCCTCGTACATTTAATCAGATATCTGATCAAATATAGTAACAAACAGGATATAATTTATGTATTGATAGGTGTTATGGGGATTGGTTCCTCGAGTAGGAGAATTGGTGACGTAGATTTGTTACTACTTATAAAAAGCATCCAATAGAATACTAAAAGCGTTGAACAAGGTAACATTGTATTCTTATAGTTTAATTGGAGAGTAATGGTAAGTCTATTGCCTTACTACAACATATTAATCTTTGATGAATGAGGAGAAGCTTTCATCTTGAAAATGATCTTAAAAGTTTTATTTAAATTCCTCAAAGGAATCTATTAAGAGTGGCATTATAAACTTTAGATAGAATTACAATTCAGTAGAATTCAACTCGCCATAATATGAAGTGATTTAATAATCCTGTAGCATGTACCGAGTTAAAAAGAATTTTTACATGGGTTCAATAAAGTAATGGTTGATTTAGATGGACTCATAATAGTAATTAAGAGATTTGAAATCTTATTTGGAATAGATAATATTCTACATATGATAATAAAATAATTACGATTACTAAAAATATGAATTGACTAATTAAGATTATAAACAATAATCCTACTAGTTTTAGGAGCATTGGACTCCTGATATTGTTCTTATTGAGTATATTTATGAGAGAATATTTTCTATAAAAAACAGATTTCCTTAATCCAGCCATTGAGGATGCTTAGGATCCTCCAGCGATCCTATTTTCTTAATTTCTTATGTCATTCTCATAGATATTGCCTAAGACCTATACTGTTTTATCTTCCTATTCCGTAAAACATGAATCACTATATTCATGCATGATTTCATTTTTACTGTATTTAATCATTTAATTTCTATCTTCAGTATCACTAAATATCTTCATATCCGTTTTTCTTTGAGTATCAAATATTATATTATTTATGCAGGACTCTTTGGGAGACACCATATTCCCATCATAGGGGTATAGAATGGATTCTTCATCATTGATAATGAATAGTTTATCATTTATGCTTTATGCATCCATTGAGACTAATTATCGGAATTATCCAATTTCTTGCATTTTTTTGAATTTCACTATTTTATAGTTACTCCTAAACAGAATATCACAAATGACATCATAAGTGTTTAGATTAGCATCGATTTTCTATAAAGATACCTTCTACTGAACTAATTATAAAAAGAAAGATTCTTTGGGAAAGCTGAATTAAAAAGAGGCTGTATTGCTATTACTGTTTAATACGTTGCTTGGAAAGAAGTTGGTAGCAGAAATGTTATAGAAATTTTTCTCAATTTACAATGCTTCAATTGTTTTTGGATTGAAGTTAAGTTGTTTAAACAATTCCTTATTAACCCCTTGAATTCTGTTGTTAAGATCAATCAAAATTGTAGGATCAACTTATTCGATTGTATTAAAAAATGCAATGAAACGAAAACACTGATTGCTATCAAAGTACAAGTCATAAAAGAATTCAAGATTTTGCAGCAGTCCAGATTTTAATTGGCAAATTATTTCAGCTTTCTTCCTGAAGAAACTCCCCTTCCCATCACATAAGAATTACTCTATATAACCATTGTGATTGTCTCTAATAATCCTGGGAATCAATAAATCTGAATTAACAATATTATCAAATGCTTTATTTTTATATCCAAAGATTTATGGAGCTCTCTTGGAGAATGATCTGATTTTTAACTTTCTTTCCTCAAAAGAGAATATCACATATGACATTTTGTTGGTTAATCTATTTATATCTATGTCATTAGATTGATCTAATAGTTAATTATCCAGAGCATTTATCTGCAATTAATCAAAGGCCTTTTACCAATCATACTTAATTTCCCCATAAAAGAACATAAGCTGCGATTGATTCTTCTAACCTATTTTAATATGTACATATAAATACTTGGAAATCTTTCATATATCGTTCGTAATGATGTTTCTTGTTTGTCTATTGACTTAATCAGATCGAAGTATTAAGTTAAAAAGTCATTTTGCCTTTGTTATTCTAGAAGGATTTTTGAGAATTCCAACTTTCTTTGAATTATATTTATTAATCCATCCTTTATGCTTTGATTGAAACTTTCTGATTGAACAAATTGATTAATCTTGACTTATAGATTTGACTAATCTTTGCTGTAATTTTCAACTTTTGCAGTGAAACTATTGTATAGATTTTACTTGATAATCATAGTAAATACTTTCCATTTGATCCTTTGTACTCTGCTCAGATTGTCTAAGATACCTTTGTTTTCAATTTTAGAGTAAATCTCATACACTTCTCCATGAAACTATTAAGCAAATAACACATGACAAAAGATGTAAATATTATCTTTTGACTATTATTAAATCGATTTTTTCAAACTCTTGATCAGAGCGAATTTAATTTCTTCCTCAATAGTATCCGGAATTATTCCAAATTATTCAGATTCTGCCGAATAGTGGTATTAATTGTGACAAAAACATTCAACCTTTGAGCATTTTAAAAGGTGTTTCCTCAATTTAATTGAATTAAGTACACAAGTTTGATGGAAAGAGGACTTCTAATTTGAAAGTTTTCTGCAAATTAAATTATTGAGGTCTAACTAGGATAAGAGCGAGGGCTCCGCATTTTCCATCTCAAATAATGTACTATGATATTCAAATAATCCAATATAAATTAAAAATGGAGTAAGTAAAAATATGTAAATTAAAGGTTTCTCAATATTTGAAAATATACACAAAGAGATGAATATTCCACATGAATGAATCGCGATCAAAAGATATATTTGAGCTTTTTGTGAATATACCCTTGAGATGAAAATAGAATGTAATTCACATAGGGTAATTAATAAATAGATAATTGATTGGGCATAATTAACGATACTGGGTGAACAAAAGGTAAAAATGTAGGGTTAAGACATAATTAATAGGTATGTAATATAGTCTACAAAGGAAACTTACAATTTCTTGTAGGAGCGCATTTATATGACCAGCGCGCCTTCTGTTAGTAAAAAGTAGAGTATTTGAGTAAAATGGATGTAGCATAAAAATAACATATCGTTTATAATCCATAAGTAGAGTTGATTTTACAATGAATTTTTTATGTTATACAGGCCAATAATTAATAAGGGTTGTATGATTGTTACTTTTATAAATGAATTTAAGAGACAGAAGACTCTCATGAAAATAGTATTTATATTTTACTATTTCACCTTCTCATCAACTCTCTCTTTTTAATCATAATTAAGAATGATACTTATTCCAACTAGTATAGTAATTGCACAATTAAATATCAACGAAAAATAATGTTGTATTTTGTAATTCCCAAGTCCTTCATTTAACAGTTCGATTTGTAGTTACAACAATGAGTAGAACTGATTATCCTTTGTTGGATTTGTTGTATGCTGTAAATCATCAGCGTAGCTATGTGGATAGATCACAAACAGTAATGAAAATAATCGACCTACTGTAAAAAAAAATGGGAGCAAGGGCAACTTAATTTGAATTTCAAAATATCCAACTTGAATACAAATTGATTCTAGCAACTGAGCTATCATGCTTAATATTTAAAATAATGAAGCTATCTAAAATCTGAGATTTTTAATAATAGGTTTTAAATTGATGGATTGATATATCTCTCTTGTATAAAAATTTTATATAATCAATACTCAATACTCGATAAACTCATTTAATTATAATTTTCAGAATTTAATTACTTCATGATTACAGGAAAAATATTTAATCATATCAATTTTTGTTTGCTAATTAAACTATTTAAATCTTATATTTATTTATATTGAATTTATTTGATTATAAAATTTGATGTTCATTCGAGAACAACCCATTAACTCCTAATTTGATTCAAGTCAAAAATCTTATTCATTAACCTATTCGTTCTCATATCTATACAAAATATCATGCGCTAATTAATTAGTATGTGAGAGTTTGACTTATAAATAAAAATGGATTTGATATTGATAAAAATAAGTATTGAATGATGTAGTTCTTACCTAATATAGAGAACATTGAAATTCTTGTTCCAATCATATGATTAAGGAAATTCGAAAAGAGAGCTGCAAGAAATTCCTGACTAAGATGAGGAACTTCATTTTCCCAAGTTCTTAGAACTTTTCACAAGACAATATGGATTAGTGGCTTAATTTAATTAATATTGAATAGATTGTTAATTTTATTTCAAACTTCAATGCTATAGCTAAATATATTTAATATTATTCAAATCATTTTAATTTAAGAACTTTAAAAATTACAAGGGACGCCAGAAAAGGTAAATAATTTCATTAAGAACTCGCCAACAGCATTTAGCGATTCGATATCATTCATTGAATATGAAAATTAGATTTTTAAAATATCAAGAGGAAAAGTTAGCCTACGCTTTTGGTTGCTTGATTATGTTTTATATTTTATAAAGCTAATTTGGGGTGAACTTTTCTGTTCTTAATGGAAATATTATTGAATGAATTATAAATGTCTTATAAATATTGGTTTATCTATTTAGAATAGTTGAAAACGACTGATCTTCGCAGGAATGCATTCATCAGACTCAAAGAAAGGATCAATTACGATTAGTACGTTGACAGTAAAATTTAATAAGGAAACGAAGGGTCTTCGTGCGTAATTTACATTTCAATTTAAATAAAACTATTAGTAATCATAACTTGATTATAAAATTTGAACACCATATTATATATAGTCCTCAGAATATGCTTATGATGGTTTTGTTGCCACTACTTTGCTTAACCTTTCTATACAACTACTTAGTTTGAATCTTTATTTTATCATTAATTAAAACAATTAAAAGGTTATTTTTCAAAAAGTAAATATTATCTTCATGTTAAATTATTCCGGGATGTTGCCGAAAAGTTAAAGTTTATATTTTCATCCACCATTGCAAGTACTAAGTACCAGAAATATCTAAACTGAACCTGAGATCTCAAAATAATAACATAGTACGTATTATTTTTAGCCACAGAGCCTCATAAGAAATATAGTGTTATAACTGATGAGAAGAGGAATTTCCTCATTAAATAGGTCTTAGAGGAAGGGGTTTCAGTCAAATAAGCAGCTTAAACTAGTGAAATTAAATTATCGACTGCCAAAGCCATTTTGAAGACTTACAAAACCTAAGGGAGGATTGGCAAAAAGAAAGAGCGCTAAAAACGACCAAAGTTGAACAGAAAAACTGTCGAAAAACAATTAGATTAAGCAACATTAATTAAGAAGTAATTGCCCAAACTTGGTCAAAAGTATTAATTTAAAACTAAGTTAGTTTGATTTACTACCCATACAGCTATTAACCTCCCCCACTATTTTATAAAATAGAGTATTCTAATGAGGTTAAAACAGAAATTTGATGTATAATTATACTTTAAATATATTGCTTTTATTCTTTATATATTAGAAATTTTTTCTTGATCGAAGTGCTCTTGCTCTGAGGCCTCTCTTCAGCCTATTTTATGAGTTCAGTCGCTTGATTTCCGTAAGTATGTCAGACTATTTTTGTTTTAAAGTCAAATGATTAATTTATCTTCGGAAAATTTCGTATTATTGTCCGATAATGATACTTTATTATTACAGTCGTTATTCAAGTTCATTTTCAATATTATTTCACTAACCAACAAGCATAGAACTGTGCAGAGATCACGATCTTTAACTGTAGAAGTTCCCCTTGTAAAAACAAGGACAGAGAAACAAGGCTTAAAAGCTACGCCTTAAAAATCCCGCTTCAATGGATGAGCTAAATGAAGAATCGGATCGAATTACTTTCCGTATTCGACATACTATAAGAATAGCAATAGTAGTCAATAGTTTTTAAGAACTTTCTCATTCATAAATTTTTAACACAAGACCTTATACTTAGAAAAAGCCAACTATCTTCATATAATAAATGTGATATACGTTAGATGTCCACCAAGGAAGATAGTTTTGGGAGCAATTGCTTCAGGATAAGGAAATATGAGGGTTTTAAAAAAAAGGAAAATTTTGATTTTTCTGCTTTGTCAATACAAGAGTAAACATAAATGTTAAAGAATAAAAGAGAGTGAGATGCAAGAAGACTATTTGTTTATCAATTGACTAAATATTGCGTAAAGTTTGGGTTTTTAAATATAATATCAGTAGTTATTAAGAAAATAGATTTCTAAATTATCTCTTTTTTATAATTGTATTATATTTATATAAATTGAAATATACATAAATATAAATAATTCATGTTGAGGATTGTTCATAAATTAAGAAGTGGGTTTGCAAAGATGACAGTCAGAGAAGCCATTAACAGTGCAATGGCTTAAGAGATTGAAAGAGATCCAAATGTTTTTTTGATTGGTATTTTATGAGAAATTACAATCTTTAGGAGAGGAAGTGGGTTAATATCAAGGTGCTTATAAAGTGTCTAAGGGTCTCTATGATCGTTTTGGAAAGAATAGAATCTGGGATACTCCAATTACTGAGGCTGGATTTACAGGTTTGAGTGTTGGAGCTTCTATGTATTATTTACCTCATCTTTTTAGGTATGGATTAAAACCCATAGTTGAATTTATGACATTCAATTTTGCAATGTAAGCCATAGATCATGTAATCAATTCAGCAGCCAAACTGCATTACATGAGTGCAGGCGGTCTGAGAACATCTATAGTATTTAGAGGAATTAATGGGTATGAATTGTGGATCTATTTTTAATTTAGAGCAGCAGCAGCAGTGGCTGCTTAACATTCACAATGTTTTGCTGCTTGGTACAGTTAGGTGCCAGGCTTAATTGTATTATCTCCCTTTGATTGCGATGATGCCAGAGGTCTCTTGAAAGCAGCAGTCAGAGATCCAAATCCAGTTGTTTTTCTTGAGAATGAAATCATGTATAATGAAGCATTTGAAGTCCCAGATAATGTTATGGATAAAGATTATGTGATACCAATTGGAAAGGCCAAAATCATGAGGGAAGGAAAAGATGTGACAATTGTAACATTTTCTAAAATGGTCAAGTATGAGAATGAAATAATTGAGATTTTCAATGTTAGCTGCTGCAGAACTAGAAAGAGAGGGAATTTCATGTGAGGTTATCAATCTCAGAACCTTGAAGCCTTTGGATAGAAACACAATTGTAGAAAGTATCAAGAAGACTCACAGACTTGTTACTGTTGAAGAAGGATGGGGACAATGTGGTATTGGAGCAGAAATCTGTAGTGTCATCAATGAAAGTATCAAAATATCATATAGTAAGCTAATGCATTCTTCCATTTGGATGCTCCTGTTGTAAGAGTGACAGGTGCTGATATTCCAACACCATACGCATTTAATTTAGAAGAGCTTAGTTTCCCTAAAACACACAACATTGTAGAGGCAGTTAAGTTGGCATTAAAGTGATAAGTCATGCATTTTATATAATAAAAGATCCGCCTCCATTTAAGCATAATGTATTTTTCTGATTTTCATTCTCACAAAAACCGATTTGGTTTGAACCAGATAAACAAATCATTCAGTGAATTTTTCATCTAAAGGATGATATGGTTTCTTTTAAATATTTTATAAAAAATGATTAATCGTAATTTTTATAAAGACTTAAAGAGAAATCATTCCAAAAGAAATCTAATCTCAAGGATTATTTTCATTTACACTTCACTTTTTTTATTAATCTAGCTTATTATTAAAGTTGTGTTTCTGATTTGCATTTTCATCAAACTAATTTTATACGAACCATTAGCAGTTAATAATTTTAATAAATTTATTGTACTATTGTAGTAGCCATTCACATTTATTAAATTGTAAAAAAAAGTTAAAAATTAACATTAATCATTAATAAAATTTATACTAATATCAGAAAAATTATACTTTGATACTCTGGATTATTATTAAAACTAATAGAAATGATAATTGAATTCAAAATTTCATAATATTATTGAAATTTAATTTTAAGGATGTTAGAATTTTATATAATATTTTTAATCCATATAATTAAGCATTTATTAACTGAAATGGAGAATTAAGAAATACCTTTTAGTATTGAGATATCTCACACATTTAATGTGTAATAATAACAAATAAATGTAGAAATTTGTCTAATCTTTTATGTTGAAAACTTAATAAAGACAAGACTATCAAAAATTATGATGTCTAATCAAATTAAAAGTTGAAAAAAACTTCATACCACCAATAAATTGTGCAAATGGCATCCTAGAATTTGAAGAATATCTAACAACATAATAAAATATATCCATATATTAAATAATGATATCATAGAAGCATAAGAAGAAATTAATGTATAATATGGTTGATAATTGAGTTTTACCATCAAATCTTACAAAACATATATGAAAAAACCTACAAATGGATTCCCATCTTTTTATTAATATATCCAATTAATTATGATTATGAAAGAATGCATTATCATTTAAAATGAATTGAATATTTCTATGTTGTTCACCAAAGAATGGCTAGATTTGTATGTTGTCCACGAAAGAATGGCTAGGTTATGGTTAATGATATAAAAATAAGTACTATTTTTAAATTAAGTTTTAATTGCTTTAAGATGAACTTTATTCCTTCTTCTTAATTGTCTTTAGAACGATTTTCAAGTTAGCAATTGTATTAGAAGTAAGTAAAGGATATGAAAAGGAAGAATTTAGCTGGGACACTCTGGGAAATAGTGAATAAAATGTCAAGAAAAAAAGAAAAGAAAGATAAATGGAATGAAAATTATGTTAGTGAATTTTCTTAAAATATCAATCGCGGGGCTCTATCATGTTTTACTGAGCTTTGCACTGAATTGGCTTGCAATAATAAAATAACGTAAGTTAAGTTTTTAAGAATAGCGAAGTCAATTTGTCTAGATGTAATATCAACATCTATTATGCTATTGAGTTGGCTAATCTGGTTCAGAAGAATACAAACATATAAGTATTGTAATTGGCTGGATGCAATTTGAATTCTTTCTCTCTAAGTTGTATATTCAAATCAGTAATAGATTAACCTTTATATAGATGATAGATCATACAGGGTTGACTCATTTGAATCTCTCAAACAACAAGGGTTTCACTGTGACATCGGTTGAGGATTTTTGTAAATATGTCTTAAAAGGCAAAAATCCATTACTTGAAATAAATTTAAGCTTTTGTAACCTTGACAACGCTTCTCTTTCGCTCATTTTACCAAACCTGAAGCATTTGAGATCGTTAAAGTATATTTCTATTTAATTCCTTAAGACGATTCAACATTTCCCTGGTGAACTTTAATTCCTCAGAGAGTATTCTAGCTTTGAGTAGTGCAATAATCAATTATACAGGTAATAAATCATTAGACTACTTGGATGTCTCATGGAATTGGATAACAAATCAGGGTCTTGAACTCTTGAGTGTAGCCTTATTTATGTCAGTAAGACAAATAAATATAAGATCGTTGAATTTGGAGTATAATTAATTGACGCAAGAATGCATAGAATCTTTGGAAAATATATTGTTGAAATTGAATATTGAGGAAATAAACTTATCGAAAAATAAGATATCTGAATTCTAGAATCAATAGGTCTTAAACAAAAAGATGAGTAGAGTGGATTTGTCTTACAATAGATTTGAGGAGATCCCGACTAATTTCTTTTTGAATGTCCTCTCTCTTAATTTATCTAATAATTCCATTAAAACTCAAGGTGCCTATTAAATTTCTTAGGTTGTGAGTTCCAAAAAGGTGATGTGGATGGAATTGAATTTGAACAACAATGAAATTGGCACCTAAGGCTTTGTTTCTTTGATATATGCCTTGATAGAAAACTAAAGGTTAATAAGTTTATCAGTGGCGAATAATAACATTAGTGGTGAAGGTATATTGGTTTACATCTTCAATCATGAACAATTGAATTTGTAGTATTTAGATTTATCATACAATTATCTAAGGTATGACTTAGTCTATGCATTAATTTCGATGATGAAAGAATGCCAATTAAGAACACTGGTATTATCAAAATTAAGATAAGATGAAAATGACATCTGTAGTGGAAGGGAAGAACTGATTGAAATTAAATGTACGAATTTAAGACAACTTGACTTCTCTGAGAATAGTTGTATGATTTCATCCATTCTGAATTCATTATCAAAACAGTTCAATAGGATAGAATATTTGAATTTGAATGGTTGTGAAATTAATTAAACACCTTTGGTAGATGCACTCACTTCCTTTCTATCCAACACTTAGACCCTGCAAACACTATTATTGGCAAGAAACAATTTGGGTAAGATGGATGAAAAGAACTTAAAGACATTAAATGATGGATTCTTCAAAAATAACTCTATAACCTATTTGGATTTATCGTCGAACAAATTAAAAATTAAAATATTGTCTCTAATCCCTGGATTGTCAAATTGTCGATATCTAAAATATTTGAACATTAGTAACAATTTAATTTATGAGACTAAAAACCTTATTAATGATTTCCCTAAATTGCTTTCTAACATTAATTTATAATTTTTAGATATATCTAGAAATTAAATTGGAGGATAGACTCTGCAATTGGCACGCAAGAAATTGTTAAAATAATGTCGTTAATTCCCACAGATTAAGATGTAAAAGCAGCAATTCACAGCTGATGATTTACACGTAATCACCTAAATTATCTCTGAATCACATTCAATTAAGAGATTAGAGTTGTAAGATAACGATTCCTTAGATTATATGAATAATGTGATGAAGTATGGAAATGATGTCAAGGTTGAGTCGCTTTCCATAAACAAAATTTTATTTCGATATGATAGTTTCAGGAATTTGATAAAAACAATTGAAGAAAATTATAAGCATATTCGATTTTTAGAAATATCAAATACCTTGCTATTTTAGGAATAACTAATTGAATTATTTTCCTCCATCAAATTGATAAAGAATTTGGTTGTTATCATTCTAGACTATTAGTCATTCAAAGAGAAGGATGAGAAGGTCTTGGACACATTGTATAGTTGTCTGAACTGCTTTAGGAATGTCAAGCATTTTAGTGTAAGAAAATCTATTTTAAGTTATTCGTTCTATGTTTTTGTATCTGAATTACTTAGAATATCTTCAAAATTAATGGAATTAGATCTAAGTGGCAATGTTATTAATATTAACGATTTCTAAGTGTTATGCGATGGACTTTTTTCAAATTCCAGTGTGACAAGTAAGTATTATTTTGATAATTCATAGCTCTCAATTTAAAGAATTGTAAATTGACTGATGAATCTATACTTCAACTAATTCCTTGTTTACATCAACATTCTTCAATTAAAAATATAGATATCTCCCAAAATGAGCTTTCTTTGAGTACTTTGAATCAAATTGAGAAAGTACTAGGTGGTAACAGAAGTTCAATCTAAACATTGAAATTATAGAATTTATAGACCTTCTGGGATGTGGATACGATTAAACATCATCATCATGTAAACAATCTTTTAAGGAATTTAAAACATATGGATCTATCAATGAATTCTAAATAGAATGAGAATATCATTTAATTGTTGGATCATTTCATATAAATGAAAACAATTGAAAACATACAAATCTTGACTCTCAATTATTGTGGTATAATGGATGATTAATGTGAAACTTTGGCTAAATTGATTGAAGATAATAAAATAATAAAAGAAGCTTCTTTGATAGAAAACAGGTTTACTTGGAAAGGTTTCAAGCTTATCTTTGATCCTATACTAAACAATAAGAGTTCTTTAATCAAACTAAATATATCAAAGTAAAATAATAATATGAAATTAGAAACTTTATTGATGAGTAATATTTTAAGGATTTAACACCAGCAAAAATAATACCATTAACTAACTTTCGTTTATTAATAATAGATGGAAATAAGTTCAAAGAACATGCATAAGGAATTGCCCTATTATTACAAAAGAATCCAAAACTCTACATTTACAATAATTGGATGAATGTGACAGAGGCCTTTGCTTAATAGATCATTAATTAATATGTGTTATTTGCAAGTGATATTAATTTAACCAAAGAAGTACCTCATTATCTTACACAATTGATAATTAGAAACACATAACTCAGTGATCAATTTTTTATATGGTTCGGATCTCAATATTTTAAATTTCCCTATTTAGAGTACATAGATTTCAGAGGAAGTACAAAACATATGACAAGCTTGAGTAAAATGCACATGTACATAGACATAATAAACGAAAATTTTGTAAATTACAACATTATCGAAGTGTGTTTTGATTAGAATTAAGCTGACTTGTAAATATACTATTAAGAATTAGGCCTAATTAATTTGATGATGGATTGTTCAAATATTGGTTACTCAATCTAAAAGTCTTCTTATAGAATAAGAATCACATTTCATTGTAGAAGATGGGGTATATCGTAAATGAGACTGAACAAGTCAAATGGGGTAAAATTGGCAAATGGTTAGTACATTTAATCAACAAAACACTTAATTTAATTTCCGGTCTCAGTTAAGATTTCAGATTTAGCAGTTCGTTGCAGAGTTATACAAGGAAGAAGTTGACCAAAATCAAGGTATATATGGCAATAGGGTCAGCATTCGAATTCATTAAAATTATGTTGGGTATTGGGGCTCTCTCTATGAGAACAACTATCAAAGATAACTTTTTTAAATGTGAAAACACATCTAATAAATGTTTTCAAAATGATCTTCACCAAGGATTTTTTGGAGAAATCTGCGTTTTCTTTATATTGATTCTCTCCTAAACTTTTGCTAGCCTGCTCTTGGCTATAAATATCAGATTAAAGGCCACTCCTGATTATTGCATTCAAACTACGGAAATGGTAAGATTTCAACGATTCAAATTTGCACATAAGAATGAAGTGTGGCTCTGTATATTGCAGTTTATTGTTTCTTTTAATTACTTTCTGGAATGCAGAATTATAGGATCGAATTTAGAGATCATTTCTTATATTAGAGATAATGAGAAAGATAACCTAATTGGACTCAAAAATCTTATGATCATCGTTCTTAGTTTTATGGCAACCTTTTTATTACTAAAGACAATTTTTTAATTGTATATCACATTCAAGTTCCTCTTCCTTTTTTTATAGACTCCTAATGCAGATTAAGCTAACATCCTCCAATAATGCATGCTCAAAGTGCAAGCAGATAATATGTTTAATATCGAATAAGTGTTAAGCAATTTCTGTCCATAATCAGGAATATGTATTAAAGAAAGACTGTGGAACTATAAGTAGATCTTTGAGTTAATTCATGGATTCTTGGAGTTTGCTATATTAGTTGATGTTCTTGTTCTTGCAAAATATAGAAAAGACTTCTTCATTGAATAGTAGGTATCCAATATGTTTACATCAACTGATATTGTAACTATTATTTACGAGATTGTCACAATCATCAAGATTCTTATACATGTCTATTAGGCCTTGTTATCAAGACCCCCATAATTAAAAGTCTCTGATCTTAATGAGGTGTTATTATTAAGAAGGTATGAAAAATTAGGCAATTCCTTATAAATCATATAATAAATACCCAAAAAAGAAAGAAAACAATCATCTTTGTAATCTATTACTAAGAAGAGTGGTCAGGATTTTAAATTCGGATCAGTTATGAAAACTAAAAGTGAGAGAAGCATCATATTACAAAAAAACAATGTGTAGTAGTTTGATGAAGAATTAGATTATATTCAAGAGAACATATAACTTCCTATGGGAACAATTAAATATAAATCTATGAAAAGCATTTAACTAAATACTTGATTTAATAACTGTAATTATTATTATGCTAACTAAATATTTCTTATTATTATTAATATAAAAGATCTCCTTAATCTTATAAACATTAATATAGATGAATCAATTATATTTAATGACATATTAATAAATTTTAATATATAATTTTCTCCATATCTTTTTTGATTGGGTGCTATGAACATTATGAAGGTTTGTTAATTTTTAATAATATATTCTTGAATATTAAAGTTTTACTCCTTGAGACCATCAATATTTCATTTTATTTATAAGAGTCTAAAGCTTGCAATTTGGATTTGGTTTTTGATGTTAAGTGAATCTTCTATGACAATCTAGATTACATTAATCCATGCATAATTTATAACTACAGTTAGCCTGGCAAACAATAATTCAACCTTTAGGAATTATGTATTCTTTTTCCTTATATCAATATAATGTTTCTTTCAATTTAATTAAGTCTTGGAACAACAAACCTAAGTTCAATTTCTGTGAAGATATGAGCTTTAAAATTCACAAAAAATAGAAATTCTTGTCATTTAGTACTGCTGCTTGTTTCTTTTTCTGATGAAAATCCGATTAGCAACGTATGAACTCTATGCTAACTCTATGACTATTTCTTTACACTTCTAAATATTCAATCCTACAACCATTTAAAAACCTAGTTCTACAATTTCTTTTGTATTCGTAATTGTTAATATGTCATATTTTAAGATTAAATCTTTAAATTTTGCCTATTAATTTGACAAATTTATTCTTAATAATCATAAATGATTATTTAGTTCAACATTATTATAATAAAGCCTGTTAATATCTTTAGCCAATAAACTTCTTGATTATCATCAACTTATCCTATTTATATCAAGAGACAGAAGAATCATCATAAGGATGAATTTTTTTAATAAATTAGATTCAGTTACTCAAACTAATTACTATAACATATCTGTTTCACATTTATGACTTTCTAGAGATTTTCACCAGCCAAATTTACTACTTTTTGATTAGCTTAAAAATCAGAATATACATACTCAATTATTATAAAAAATTAACTCTTTTTTGTAAAAGAAATTATTATAGTTCGTTTTCGAATTACAAGTAAAGCCAATATTTTTATCCTTTTTTGAGCCTTTCAAACCTGTAATTTATTGGGATAGTTGTCAATTCCCTGATGATTCCGAATAATAAGGAATATCTTATAATTGGAAGACAGTTGAATAAATAAATTATATATTTTTTTAATAATCAATGGATAACAATAACGAGAATGATGAGAATCAAGAGCTTGTCAACGAGGAAGAGGACGATGACTTTCCTGAATATGCCAACGAGGCAAATAAGGAACTCAATGAGAAGGTATGTATACGGGTATTTTGAATTTTAGATCAAATTAAAAAGACGCATCATTCGAGACATCAATTCTAAGATTGAGGAAAAGAGTGATAAGTTGAAAGTGCTTTCGGAACACTTGAAGAACATCCAATAAGAATTACTTCACACTTAGGCTTTGGTATCAATTGAATAATATTTAAGATCGACACAAAAAACAAGGAAATTGAAACTGAAGACCATTTGAAATAAATAACAGAAAGATAAATTGGTCGTCTTCAAAATGAAATGACCAAACAATAAAAGATGTATAGTATTCACACACTATTATTTAAGAATGATCGAGTAACAAGAGAGATTGAATGATGTTCAAAATTCCATCTATCGAGGGAATGAGAGATTGGACAAATACAAGATTGAGATGAATTGGAATCAAGAAGAATTGGAATAATGGGTTTTGGCTGCAAGGTAAAAGGAAGAGGACTCTCTGACCATGGAGAAATATAAGAGAGGAGATGAAGCCAAAATTAAAGAACTCAATCTATAGATAGAAAAATTGACTGTTGAAGTTAGCAGGAGACAAAACGAATTGGATAGAGAAATCACAGAAACCTAGACAGCCTAAATCGAATTGGATAAGACAGCAGAAGAATTCAGAAGATAACATGATGAACGTCATAAACTATTTCAACAATGGCAAGAAGTGACAGACAATATAGCACGAAGAGATCAAGCTATTAGAGATGAATCTGAGAGATATGCTGATATCAAGGCTTAGATAAAAGCAAATCAATAAGATTTAGAGAATCGAAAGTCTTAATTGATGAATGAGAAACAAGAAAATAAATCAGTTGAAGTTCAAAATTAGCAACTTGAGAGAACTATTATTTAATAGAGGTAATCTAACAAAGACATTGAATTGGCAATAGATAATCTCAAGGCTGATGTTGAAATTTAAAAGAATCAACTATCTGCTTTTGCTACTGATTTATCCAATAAGAGAAATAAATTGGCCTAGATGTCATAAGAACTTCTCATTAAGAAATAGAGATTGAATAATGCTCAAAAGAAATATGCTAGTGAGAAACAGAAATTGAAGTTGGAAGATATTCAACATCAAGAGTTTGAAAAATAGAGGAGCATGGCATCAGATAGATATAAGAACTTGGAAAAGTAAAGGATTGATTTGGATAAGGAAATCAAATTACAGAAGGAAGTCTTATTCAAAGCTACTCAAGATTTATTTAAATTGAGAGAAAATGAAGCCAATTTATATGGAGAAATACAAGCAAATGTGAGTGCTTGCCGTAATTATTAAGCTCATATCAATAAATTAATCTAAGAATTTTAAAGATAATAAGAATTATTGTATAATGCAGAGTATTAGATATAATTGATGGAAAGAAGAGTAGCAAGAGCCAAAGGAGAACGTACTTTGGAGGAGAAGAAGGATTTGGAAAATGAAATCAAGGAGATTGAGGAGAAGGTCAATTTATAAAAGAAGGAATACAAAACTTTATTGTAGAGTTTGAAAAGATTGGATGATGACTTAAGAGGAACAGATAGACAATTGACTGGTACCAAGGCATCATAAACTAAATTGAAATAAACAATTGATGAATTAACCTTAGAAAATGATATGACCTATTAGGACTTGAGCAAGATTGTTAAGTCGAAAGAGGAAGTGTTGGTTTAACATGATTTTATGAAGTTAGAAATACAAAAGATTTAAAAGGTAGTGACAACTGCTGTTGATAAAGTGTTTAACTTAGAGAATCGTAAATATCAATTGGAAATGGCTATGCAAGAGAGGGAATAGGAGATTTAAGTACATAAAGATGTATTGGTGGCTGAACACAAGGCAGCTGAGGAGGAAAGACACAAGATTGCGGTTGAATTGGCTGAGAGATAAAACAGAGTGAAGAATCTCAGAATCAAATATGAATCTTTGGTATAGAAGAACAAATCCTCGAATGGAGAGTAGGACACCTAAAACATAGAGGAGCATTCATAAGCATATTATATCATTAAGGCCTCGTAAGAAAGAGAGGAATTGCAGAGGAAAGGTGATGAATTGAATGCTGAAATCATCAAGAGAGACTAGGAATTAAAGGCTTTAGATAACACTCTATCTCATCTTAAGAATAGAAACAGTAAGTATAGGGACAGTTTCTTAAATAAGGGTATCTCTTAGAAAGAAGTGTCTCATAGAGATGGACTGGAGGAATAATGTAGAGCAGCATCTGAGAACTTATTTAAGAAGAAAAAGGAATTGCAACGATTGTAATAGGAGATAGATGAGGATATGAGAAGATTGACTGAAATATAAAATAGAGTATTAATGATCTTTATTGTAGATTGAAATTCTGGATAATCAAGAGAGGGAAGTGGATATGCAATTCTAAAAGTTGGGAAAGGAGTTGCAAGACTAGCAAGACAAGATTGATAGAGCTGAGAACATAATGAATTCAAAATTAGCAAAAGTTTAACAAAAAAGAATTGTGCTTGATGAATCAAATGCACACATCTCAGCCTTAGAATTGGACATTTAAAATAATTTAAATAAGACACTAAAGACCTGCATTTTGTAACAATTTCTATACTATCAATCTCTTTAGTAATTTAGTGTAGGAATTTCCAGAAATGCAAGCCATAATAGATGCTGTCTTTTAGGAGAAAAATGTCACTGTTCCTAGCAAACAACCCTCATCTGTTGGAGTCCCCTCTGTTAGGTCGTCTGTACGTTCAGCTTCTTCTCAGGGCAGAAGATGATTATGATGATATTAATAAGTAATTAAACAAAAAATGTACCTTAAAAGTATAACTCGTTTAGAAATGTAATCTCGAATTGATGCACTCAAATAGCATCTTGAGTATGAAAAGTAGATTCACGACAAGGAGTTGAAGCAACTTAAACTTGATGGATAAAAAGAAGTAAAAATGCTCACATTCTAAAGATTGCAGTACTTTAAGATGAACTAAATTAGTTGAAAGAGATGATTGCAAATGTTGAATTCTAATAGTATATCAAAATGAAGAGCGACAATAAGAATTTGATACAAGAGAATACCATTCTGCGTGATATGTTGAGAGCTAGCTAGATTACAGGTTCTACAAAAGAAATAGAACTTAAAAGATTGAAATAGAAAATGCATAGATATGATAGTCATTCATTACAATTGAAAAAGGACAGCCAGGTACTGGAATGTAAATAATAATAGTCTAAATTCTTGGAAGGTCGAAAATTATCACACCACAGAAATCAAACCCAACCTTCTCTATTGGATTCCACAGCAGAAACGTCAACTAGGTTGTTGCCAATAAAATTTAAGATTAATTAATGATAACTTAATATTCATCTCTAAGAATTTATTCTTCCTTTCTATATTCTCTATATTTCTTTCAATTTCAATTATTTGAATAACTAAACTAAAAATTTTAATTACATCCTATTTTTATTATAAATTTGTGCAATCTATGTCTGGAGATAATGACTTTGAATTTTAAATCATAAGCTTTGATTTAATAAAGTTTTCAACCTTCTATTCAAAGCAAGTCCCCCTCTCCAATTATGAAGATCTTTGAGTAAATTGTTTCTTAACACAATTCGATTCTAAATTTTATTGCGAATTGCTGATGCTGGTGTTGGAAGGAACTGTCTATTTGTTCGTTAAATTGAAGAAGAAGGACTACTAGGAATTCCTTCTGGAAGTATTTGCATGATTACTTTAAAACACTCTTTTTGGTTATTAAGAAGACACAGTAAATTGATCATCAGATCTTAATTACTTTAATAACTTCTTGTAAATCTTCTGCGAGTCCTCCTCTGGTTGAGCAGACAGTCTCTTCTTCTAAAAAATTGTCTATTTCTAATCATGCAAATTAGTCATCGCTCTCTACCTCAATCTTGATGTACTTGATTCTTGAAGATTGCTAATTGATTCGATCTTATCAAGTGATTTGACCTGATGGAGTCTCACAATGTCTTCAATTGAGGGAAAAGCTTTGAATTCTTACAAAAGAGAGGGTTTAGAGTTGTCCTAATCGAGAAGGTGAAATAACTTTTATCCAGCTACTTCAACATATAATTTGGGCTGATTGCTTTTTTGTTATGTTTCCTCTTTTAATTTACTCAATTCTTAAGTCAACCTCTCTGAATTTAATTTTGAGAATTCAAACCTTTGCATAGTAAGCTTGTCTCTTTCTGAAGTCTACACTCTTAAATCGACAGGATTGTTATTTTTCAAATGAAAACTATTATCTTGTTTATTAGCAATATCAATAGTAAAACCAGAACCTAAATCAAACTTAGCCTCAGCTGCTCCATTATACCATCCGTTAATTGCTCCAGATAGCAATTTATTCGTCTTCATGATTCTATAATCAGCAGGACCATCAAATTTTCTAGTACTATCAATTTTACACAGTCTTCGCATTCCAAATTGTAAAGCTGTCTTTCTGTCTACATTCTAAGTTGTGGAAGAATGAAGTAACTTACATTCTCCTTCAAAAAGAGGAAATGTATTGCTCTATCAATTGGAGCAGGATCAGTTGGTCTCTCTTTGAACTTCGAGCATTATCCAAAAAAGGCCACCTTTGCTTATTTGCATCAGATATACTTCTTCTTTTGCTGCTACTTTCAACGCATCCTCATAATTCATTCTTTTCCTCGTAGGAGCTTTTTTTTTCATTTAATAAAAATATGAGTTCAGAGTATGGTACCCTAAATATATCAAAGAACACAATCTAAAAAGGATTCCAAATCCCTCTTAAATATTGGTTTAACTGGACCTAACCAAAATCAAAAGGTTCTCCATTTTCCTTAATATCTGCTACTCTAGCTTCATGAGTAAAAGAAGGTTGGATCAATTAATGTTACGTGATTATTTTCAAAGGGATATTACTGTATACCGTGTAATCTATATTCTACCTTGGTATCTTGTATATATAAATCATAATTATAAACTTAAGGTGTATATCTCAATTAAAATGTAATTTTTATTCAATAGTAATTTTAAAATTAAATTTGACTGAATTCACTAGTCTCCAGCATCGCCAGATGATAATTTCGATAATTGTCACATAAAACTAGTATTTAAATTAATGGGAGAAAAATCATCTGATTTGTAATGGAGATTTTAATAAGCCAATTACATATTAGATGATTCAAAAAAATTAATATCATGAGTAATATCTTTTATGTACTTAGCTTTTTATTTGTAAACTTATAACAATCATTCTTAATCTTTTGATCTCTTTTATCATTTCGCAAAGATTTCTATTAAGAATTTCTTGAATTATTAATCTTAACTCGAGACTTCTTGATTCCGAATTGTTTTCAGCCAAATAAATATTATGACCTACATTACAGAATCAATATTTGATTTCCTTAGTTTCTTAAAAAATCCAAATTATGCTCAATTAATTGAATGTTGATATAAATGAGATTTAGTGTTACTCTATGAGGTATATAGATTCAGTAAGAAATAGCAAATTAATTCGCTATAAATAAGATGATGCTTAAATACTGAAAACCTTCAAATATCCCAACCAAATCATCTTACTGTTACAAATATGGATATCTTAAAAATATTTCTGCATCTCCAAAATAAATGTTTCCATCATCATTCCAGAAAGATAAATATTTTTGAAATATTAGAATGTTCCCTGAAAAAAAATAGAACATTAAAAATATTTGAATTCAAACTCCTCTAAGATAATTTCATATTATACAAATATAATTTCATATTATAGAAATATAATAAGTAATATAAAATTCAGGTTAGTTTAGGTTATCTTCCAACATTTGCTTTTGATTAAGGATTGTGGAAAGTAATAGTGTCTCAATAATCTAGGTTACAAGATTTGATATATATATACCTGGCAAGTAATTAAATAAGAACAATAATCATTTAAACTTTATATAGAATGTTTATGTATGCAAGTAACAACTAGTTATAGTAATGTAATTAAATTCATTTCATAGAAGTGTTGCAATTGAATGGGTGTAAAATGATCTAATTTATAGTTAATAATGATTTAATTAGAATATATTAATTTTCATGAATTTTATAAAAAGTTCTAGAAAATTCTCATTGCTAAAAATAATATCAATAATCGCCTTTAATGTATTTTATTATACTTCCTTAATTTATCTCTTGTAAAATCAATCTTACTGATGGAGTACACACTTTTCCTCACTATTTACCATTAAAAATAAATATTTTTAAGGTATTTAAAGTGAATAAATGTTCTTTGCCATTATAAATTTTAATAAATACTTGCTTAATATGAAATCTGAGTGTTTATACAATTCAAATCGAGATTCTTTGTTAAAAAGTCAACTACATAAAAAAAAAAGACAAACATTTACCNTGACTGAATTCACTAGTCTCCAGCATCGCCAGATGATAATTTCGATAATTGTCACATAAAACTAGTATTTAAATTAATGGGAGAAAAATCATCTGATTTGTAATGGAGATTTTAATAAGCCAATTACATATTAGATGATTCAAAAAAATTAATATCATGAGTAATATCTTTTATGTACTTAGCTTTTTATTTGTAAACTTATAACAATCATTCTTAATCTTTTGATCTCTTTTATCATTTCGCAAAGATTTCTATTAAGAATTTCTTGAATTATTAATCTTAACTCGAGACTTCTTGATTCCGAATTGTTTTCAGCCAAATAAATATTATGACCTACATTACAGAATCAATATTTGATTTCCTTAGTTTCTTAAAAAATCCAAATTATGCTCAATTAATTGAATGTTGATATAAATGAGATTTAGTGTTACTCTATGAGGTATATAGATTCAGTAAGAAATAGCAAATTAATTCGCTATAAATAAGATGATGCTTAAATACTGAAAACCTTCAAATATCCCAACCAAATCATCTTACTGTTACAAATATGGATATCTTAAAAATATTTCTGCATCTCCAAAATAAATGTTTCCATCATCATTCCAGAAAGATAAATATTTTTGAAATATTAGAATGTTCCCTGAAAAAAAATAGAACATTAAAAATATTTGAATTCAAACTCCTCTAAGATAATTTCATATTATACAAATATAATTTCATATTATAGAAATATAATAAGTAATATAAAATTCAGGTTAGTTTAGGTTATCTTCCAACATTTGCTTTTGATTAAGGATTGTGGAAAGTAATAGTGTCTCAATAATCTAGGTTACAAGATTTGATATATATATACCTGGCAAGTAATTAAATAAGAACAATAATCATTTAAACTTTATATAGAATGTTTATGTATGCAAGTAACAACTAGTTATAGTAATGTAATTAAATTCATTTCATAGAAGTGTTGCAATTGAATGGGTGTAAAATGATCTAATTTATAGTTAATAATGATTTAATTAGAATATATTAATTTTCATGAATTTTATAAAAAGTTCTAGAAAATTCTCATTGCTAAAAATAATATCAATAATCGCCTTTAATGTATTTTATTATACTTCCTTAATTTATCTCTTGTAAAATCAATCTTACTGATGGAGTACACACTTTTCCTCACTATTTACCATTAAAAATAAATATTTTTAAGGTATTTAAAGTGAATAAATGTTCTTTGCCATTATAAATTTTAATAAATACTTGCTTAATATGAAATCTGAGTGTTTATACAATTCAAATCGAGATTCTTTGTTAAAAAGTCAACTACATAAAAAAAAAAGACAAACATTTACCTAATATACCACTAATTCTGAAACGAAGGAGGAATTCATGAGCAGATAAAAGATTTACGAGAAATTATATAAATCCTATTAGTATAAGGAATCAATCCAAAAGGAATTAAAGTAATAAAATCCAACTAAAGAAGGAGATGGAATTAAAAACTAGATTCTTCAAAAAAGAGAAATTTATGCAAACTATTTCATATATAAAGACAATCAATTAGAGCAACAATAGAGATCAATTGAAACAATAGCTGAGTTTCTAAGGAACTAGAAGAAACTTGCTATGGATAAATAAGTTCCAATTGAATGCAAATAGAAATAATATAACTTACTAATGATCCTAGTGATTGCCCTACCTATCTTATGCATCTTGACAGTTTTAGCGGAGCTTTGAAGATTAATATATATAAAGTTATATATCTATAATAATTATTTATTTCTAAATTAATTTTTAATCAAAAAAGCCCTTATAAAAAGAGAATTTTAATAAAATGAATTATTGAAAAGAGTTGTTCAATATCTAAATAATTTAATTTTTTGGCTCTATTTGTTTTTTGCATGTGAAAACTATCATTCAGCATTTGTGGGTCCCAAAGTTTTAAATCTAGTTAATTGAATTTATTCTTTTATGAGTCAACCATAATTTAATAAACAAAATTAAAAAAATAAGTTTATTAACCTAGAATCAAATGTTAATTTTAATTTTATGCTTAAATCAATTAAAATATTTAAATTGAAATAAAAGATATCACCTTGATACAACTTAGAACACGGGTTAAATGGTTGAGTTGTAGTATTTAAGATAATAAAAACTATTATTAATTTGAAATCAAGAAAACTCTTTATTAAAGAAAACATAAACACATCATTTCCAATTTGAAGGAGGCATGCCTTTATTTTTTTTAACTCTCATTTCAGGTTAAAATGTTGCTATGTATCTATTGTAAGTGACTTCATCCAAGATGACATCGTATTCAATTATTGTTGGATCTCCTTTCTTGATGGGAGGTATTTACATTTCATTCTTAACTCCTGAAATGTTACCATTCTCATATAGCCATTTAAGTCTTTCAAAGTGCTGGTCTATATTATATCTAATTCTGTATAATTTCTTATTCAAAATTTGATTAGATTTTTCCTCCATAACTTAAAGCAACTTTTTGATATTCATATTCATCAATGCACTTATAGGCACGATTGGATAATCCTAAGATTCAATAAACTCATGATCTATGGGGTAGTTCATCAAATCGATTTTATTCCATACTTCAATCTAAATTAATAGTAGGACATACCATTTTCTTATTGTAGAAATCTTGATTAAATCCTAATTCCTTAAGGACATCAAGGACTACTTATTTTTATTACTCTGTGCAAGGATGAGAGATATCTCTAATGTGTAATACAATATCGGCATCTTCTACTTCCTCAAGAGTAGACTTAAAGGATTCTACTAAATCATGTGGAAGATCTGTAATGAATCCAATGGTATCTAGCATAATTGCTTTCTACCCAGAGGCTAATCTAATAGATTTTGATGTTGTATCTAAAGTCTAAAAGAGTAAGTCTTTACTCTAGACTACATCCTTTTGTAATATACAGTTCAATAATTAAGACTTACCAGCATTAGTGTATCCAATCAATGCGATTCTGGGAACTGTGTGAATGAGCTTCTTGCGTTTAATTTTGGATCTTTATAAACATTCTTCTTCAATCAGTTTTTTGACTTTAGCAATTCTATCGTCTATAAGTCTTCTTTATAATTGTAGTTCGCTCTCTCCTGATCCACTCATTTTACCTAAGGCTCTTCTTTGCTTGGCTGATACAACTTCAACATACACCTCCTTAGCCATCATGAGATCTCCTTTGAAGATAGATGAGAGTGATACAAAGGCACTTCCACTTCTTACTAATTTAGTTTTTGCAAATTTAAGAAACGACAATTCGATCTATAATCTAGAAACACCTTGGGTGGATCTTTTGGCAAATATCTATAAAATCATAGTGAATCGATCAAACACTTTTACAGAGAGACCTTCAAATTCACTATCGGAATCAATTTCATCTGGTATATTTTCGGTGCTTTCATTATTGTCATTGATGTCATCCTTAATGGCAGATGTTATTTCTCCTTTTGAATATTGAGTCCATAGTTTTTCTAGGTTTCTAGTTTATAAGGATGTTAATTCATGGTTTATAAAGACTGCATTAATTCGTTTGGATTGAATGTGTTATCCCAACATGGCGAGTTTACCTTTTGTAAAGAATGTGATTGAATGAATTCGAGGTACTTTGACAAGTGATGATTTTGCAATTGAATTTCTGATAATTTTATTTCTCCATTCATGACCTAGATCATCTTCATTGATGTGGAAATCTTGTGGTTTATTTTATTGTTGTGATTGATCTCCTTAGTCTTCTTAATCTTCATCTATTTTGCCTTGACTTCTTCTGATATCTTGAGTGTATTCCTGTTTCCAGAAAGGTCCTTATTCTAGAGTCCAATTCAAGGATTTTGATAAGCCTATTGCTTCCTCAGCCAGATACAATTCCAATTCAGGTCCTTTGTTGGGATAGAAGACTGGATGTAAGACCATACAATTAACGGGCTGCGAAGTGAGTTGTTACTTGGAGGGAGTAGGTTTTGCCAAATCGAGGGTTTCTTTGGAGAACCTATACTTAGCAATGATGTTACTTAATCTCTTGATCAGCATATATTAATTAATGAACAAATTAAAATTTCCTACTGATAACGAGAATAATGAGTTCTTTGACGAGGATGCCATTTCCAAGTCAACTATTTAAGCAGTGAATAATTCATTCGACAAAGAACAATTGGACGAATAAATTGAAAGACCCTTCACTCCTGTGGATGCTTAAATAGAGATGATACCGAAGGAACAGTGTCCTCATTGCAAACGCCAATTCTTCGAGGGTCGTTTAACATTACACTTACGTAGTTGTACAGCTCAACATCCATTTGTAAAAAAATCCAAGAAATAAAAAACATAAGAATTGCACACACAGCCCACCTTATTGCCATGTCCATATTGTCATAAGAAATATAGAAATCTAAAGGCACACACATGTTAAGCGAGAACGAAAGCATTGGACAAATACAAAGTGGTCGCTTAGATAAATGAAGAAGAAGAGGCAGATGAAACTTTGATCTAGGAACTCTCCTCGAGTCAACCATCATTTCTACCCAAAATAAAACAAAGAGTTGAAAGCATATTATCACGTTCAGTGCCCATAGCCAAGTGTCCCCAATGTTAGAAGACATTTGAACAGAAAGCATATGAAAAGCATATCACTCTCTGCATACGTATGAACAGTGGAAATAAATTCCAACGTAGTATCTTCTGCACTAATTGTGGCAATAAATTCGCCAACAATCACAAATACTGTGGTTCATGTGGTAAAAAAAGACTATGATAATTATATAATGACAATTTGTTTTTATTCTCACAACTTAGCCTTCTATTTTAATCTCTTATCCACAAAATCAGGAAAGATAGGTCTCACATAAACACTCAAATACGCTTTAAACGGAAAGAAGATCTAATCAGAATAAAAATATATGTACTTTCCGAGCCCTCCTGTCTGCTGCATCTAAAATCATAGACACACACTCTGATATCGTAATTCTATCCTCGCTCTCATCCTTAGGCGAATGCTTCTTTAATAAATCATGATCCCTCATTGGAGTCCGAACACTTGGAGGACACACTATTGTTATGGCGACATTGAAATCTTCCAATTCTGTTCTAAGTGCTTCAAAGAACCCTGTAACAGCAAACTTTGAACTGCAATATGGTACTCTGTAAGGTAGTCCAATCTCTCCTGAGATGGAAGACATTACAACAAACTGGCCTGAACTCCTTCTTATGTGTGGTAAAGCATATCTACATGAATCTCAATTGCACTTACTTAGTACAATACACGTATCCATAAAAATTGATATCCATTATCTTCTTAAAAACTGATAAATCTTTGAATTCCTCAAAAAATGAATGTGCATTGACTCCAGCATTCAACACCAAAATATCGATTCTATTGAATATTCTCACTGTCTCCTCTATCAACTATCTCTCAATCTTAAATCATTCAATACTTGCAGTCCTCTTCTTTAGATACATCTGTGATCTGATAATGAGCTCTCGATCCCAGTTATTCGCATAATGCACAAACTTCCTTCAATTCCTCCTCTGATCTTGCAGCCAACATCAATCTAATCCAATTAACCATATTTATACTTGACTCCTCTTGTTGCATATTGTAGGGCCAATTCACGTCCAATTCCACTTGATGCTCCAGTAATCACGATCACAGAGTTTGCTATACCATAAATACACTAGTTTACGCTTAAACTATTTAGTCTTAGTCAATTTCAATATTTGCTATTGATTACCCATTCAATTTATAATTTAATAATTAAGAATAATGTTTAATAAAAAGTCTTTACTTTCCATATATATTATAAAGTATACTTAAAATTAATTATTTTGTGATTGATTATTGTTTATATTCTTTAATTTATCATTTTCACTTAAATTATTTCATTATTTTGCAATTCTCCATCTTTCTCCAATTTCAGTTCTTAGCTCTCTCCCCAGATTTCACACAATCCTCTTATAGATAATTCGCAATTAATGAATATTTTGTCATTTTTATAATAAAAAATGCAAATTATTAAAGCAAACATAAATTGATTATTTAACAACAAAAAATATGTAGGTATAATGTCTATTTTCTTAAGCTAATGGGGAGATGTTAAGAGTGTAGAGAGATTTCTTAACATTTTGAACGCTTAGAATATTGAGGGGTTTTAGGATAGTACATAATTCTTGGATTAACACTTATTTGTAGAAAATGTTAAGTGTGGGGGATTCATGAGTTTTGAGAGAATTTACTATTTTAAATGAGCAATATAATTTATGTTAAGAAAATTCATTCATTTATAAAGGAAGTGTGGGAAATTGATTATAAATATTATTAATATCAGTGAAATTAAGTTTGATATGAAATAGAAGGTGATTCTGAATCTTGTGATTGGCATCCAGATGATTGAGAATACTTTGTTCATAAATGACTGCGTTTACTCGATACTTTATGAGCATTACGAGGTAGTTCAATTATAATATCAGAGTATGTTGCCATGGGTATTTTATGCGCATTTATAATTATAATACTGCTTTTCTTATTGGGGAACACGAAAGGTACGTATGATTCTTGAGTTAGTGACTATATTTAATACGAAGCAACTGAAGTTTTAGCAAGCCTGTTTGGGTTGTGGAAGGGCGAGTAAAGATTTCAAGTGCAAGGAGTGCAAAATTTGTTTGAATTGCAATAGTAAATTTCACTCAATTTTTTTGAACAAATGTTTGGATAGCAATTAATTACAGTATTGAATGTATGATAATGAAAGATACATTTAAAAGAACATATGGTTGTTGGTACTAAAATGTTTATTGTGTATATTTGTAAGGATATATGCAATAATATCTTATTTGGATGATGACACCCAACTATTTCTTGTAAAGATTAAATCTAAATTAGCTCTTCTACGTGAGTTTGTGTGGGGGTGTGCTGTTGGATTTGACCATTTCAATATTCCTAATCATAATCCAACAGTTTTTGTCAAAGGAACAAAGCAGTACTCAAAATTTGGTGAAGAGAAGTGACGAGGTATTGGATGCCAAGATGGATTCTATAAGATAAGGTCGTAGTTCTAGTAGTACTCAATTAAATAAATAAATGAAAATCTTGGAATTCCTGGAGAAGAAATTGAGTCATCGAAACAATTTTGTAAATCCCAAGAAGATTCACGAAACTGAACCAATGCCCATCATGTTTGATGAGAACGAAGAGGACGTGGTTCAATCTCAAATGTAATAGCTAAATGGATTCGTTCCATTGACTTTGAGTAATATAATTAAATAATAATGAGTTCTTATCGTAAAAATTGCTCGAAATCAGAAATCTCTGTGAATGACACGGCCAATAATGTTCCAGTCTTGCAACAAATAAACTCCCTGAATTCTTAGCCTATCATGCAAGTTCGAAGACCTAGCGATTTAAATAGTTCTTTCACTCCAATCGACTCTCAACATAGTATTACAACTTCAATTACAATAGAATAGGTACTCATAATGTGTAGAAATCACCACTTTGTACATCGGGAGCACAAGATGGCAGAGCGACGCCATTGAATCTTATAAATGAAGAATCGAGTGTGAATGAACATTCTGACAATAAGGCATTTGAGTCTCTAATAAATAAGAAGGTGCCTCCCCAGATCAATGAGCTTATTTTCAAGGAACCAGTACATTGGAGTCAAATATTTACTCATTAAGGTACATGTAAGGAAGATGATTCATGCAATAAGTATGGATAATATTTGGGCGACAACACTTTTCCTAAGGAAAACGGCAAACCGGAACCAGAAACAAATATCAAACCCATAGTAATCATTATTCAAGTCCTCCTTTATTTATATTACATGTATTAATTTCCACTTCTCCTGTATGGAGTGGCTTACTCAGACTATAATCTAACATACTAGTTGCAAACCTAACTGCCCTTGCTCTTTTTAAACTTCCTATTGTTTAGTCTGAACAGATAGAGGACTGCTAAATTTATCCATTATTTGCCCTTGGGTGCTTTTATTCCCTTTATTTGCACCTTAATTGATTTCAAGTATTAGTTGCAATTATCATAGATAGCAAGTAATATTCATGTAGGTCGTTCACGTTGTGACATTCTCAAGGTTCTATTAAATGTTCAAGCAGTTGTTCTAACTCTCCATATGTTTCAAATAGTACTCCATTTATTTCTTCACCTTAAGAGTATCTTAAATTCATCTCTTCCAAATTATTTGTGGATTCCTTATCGAAATCACACAAGTCAATTAAAATCCTTAGAGTTTGAATTCAGATGCCAACCCTTAGAGTTTGGATGAATTCTTTTAAAATCAGTGCAGTCTATTCAATATCCTTCTCATAGCAAACAACAAATCCTTCCTTATATACCCAATCAAAATCATGGTGCTAATTTTTATTGTTTATCAATTCACCATCATAAGCAATTAGATCAATCATATATATCGAAATCAAAGTACTCTGATATCAGGGTTAATTGAGTTCTCAAAAATTATTCAGCAATTGCCATTCGATCTCAGGTACGAAAGTGTGTAGATATCAAATAAATAAATTCAATCCAGACTGAAAACTAGGAACCTAATTGATTACGATAGATTACCGAATTCATTGTCTACTAAATTGTTGAATGCATAGTACTCGAATACTTTGAGGAAGATACCACTGATAGACAAGTGTTTGAGCAAAACTTCAATAGCAAGTATTTTAAAGAATGCAACCAAAGAAAGGATTCTCGAGCCTAATGAAGTTCTGATTGATGCTTAATAAGAGAATAGGTTCTTATATTTCATCTTATCCGGAAAGGTCAAATGCTACTAGCAAAGATAAAACAGATAATTTCCAATAGCTATCAATGAAAATGGAATTTATAATCAGAATGGGTTCTTTTTGGAATAACAATGTGAAATCGGTGTTTAATGTGAAACTTGTTGCAAGATATTGGAAGTTAATCCAGAGGAGTTTTGGAAAGAGGTTAGAAGGAGTATCACTGAACTTGAGAAAATCAAGATGTGTTTAGATAGAGTGTAATTCAATTAGGAATACAAATTGATTGGAGTATCTTGTTAAATTTGCAAAGGGAATCACAAGATTGACAGTTGCAAGAAAGTTCATTATGTACCTTCGAGATAGATGCTGATGGATTACATCTACTTTGATGAGATCAACAAGAGATAACCATTCTAAAGAGTATATAATTGTAATACAATAGAGGAATCACACAAGGAAGTTCAAATGTATGAAGAATACCAGCATGGTTGAACAAGTAGTCTGCAATGTAAGACATCTGATGTTACTCTCTTCTGAGACATTCAAACGTCCCAAGACAATCACTAGTCTAGGAATGTAATTAGAGTAATAACACTCTGATCATTCTGAAGAGGAGGATCATCATAAGATGTCTTAGTATGTATAAAACTTGAGTCCTGTCTAATACGCACCTTAAGTGGGCAGTAGTGCTAGTTCTTATGTGCTGAAGGAATTGAAATAGGCATAACAATTAAAATCACCCAAGGATAGTTTCATGGTGCATCAAAAGAGATACCAAGAGAAAAGGTAATCTCATGTGACCAAAATAGAAAGAGGTTTGAGTAGTTGCCATATTTCTAGATTTAAGTCCGTCGATTATTAAGTATGCTACGATTTAGGATAAAAGAAGTCAAAAATCAAAATCAATCATAAGTGAAGATCATGGCAATGGAATCTTGTAAAGTTCAGATCATCGACAATTCTCGAAATATGGCATATAATCATCTAAATTTACCAATGAAACAGCTAAGTAATTTTAGAATAACCCCTTTGATTTGCCCTTATACGATCTTAATCAATCCATCGATAACAATCATAGCTACAGTGATTATTTTCCAAGAAATAATATAGATTAGGTATCAACCTATTCTCTAATTACTAGGCTCTATTCTCCTATAAATAATACCAAGACAGTATAATATCAAACAAGAGCAAACAGAACAGCTGATTAATTCTATAATTGTTTATAATAACAATAAGCATTTAATTATCTCGCAAATCTTCCTTGCACTCAATAGATTCTATTAATAATGTATAATCATATTTAAATAATCTTACAATATAATGTATCACTACGATGGAAATGGATAATCTCCTAATTATTGCCAACAGGAGAAACTCGTCGCCAAGGTAGTCAGGAAAAATGCCCAACAATGTCCTGCCATCAAGAACCACACATCTGTGCATTATAAGAATTAAATTATAATTTTTGGGGGGTACGATTCTAAGAAGAATCACAACGATATTCACATCTACAGAGATGGACAATGGACGAAGTGTAAAGCTAATGGTAAAATACCTGAAAGCAGAAATGGCCATTCAGCAACTGTAGTTGAGAATAAGATGTTTGTGATCGGAGGGTGGTTAGGAAGTGGAACTTATGCGAGTGGAGAAGTCTATGTTCTAGACCTCGATACTCTGACATGGACTTTGGTGAATTCGATCGGAGAAGTAATTGCAATTATTAAGTAGATTCCTGGCCCATGCAATATGCATAGTGCAGATCTCATTGGTTAATTAATCTACATCTTCAGGGGTGGAGACGGCAAGGATTATCTCAATGACTTACACAGTTTCAATGCAAAAACCAATATTTGGAAATTCATACAAACTCCCGAAAAAGATAAACCTCCTCCAAGAGCCAATCATAGTTCTACCGTTTGGGAAAATAAACTCTTTATTTTTGGAGGATGGGACGGCAAGAAAAGACTAAATGATCTCTATTGTTACGATACATCCTCCAATAAGTGGAGTGAATTAAATGCTGCCTACTCACCCAGTGCAAGGGCAGGCATGTGTATGACAACTATGGATAACAATATCTATTTATTCGGAGGTAGTGGACCATAAACAACCTGTTTTGGGGATCTGTAATGTTATGATCCCATGAAAAATCTATGGACCATCGTTGAGTTGTAAGACGAAGAACACTTTGATAAAGCCAGAGCTGGTCACAGCATGACAGCCATGGGTAATCTAATCTATATTTTTGGTGGGTCTTGCGGCACTTAGTATTTTAAAGACTTCTTTATCATTGATACCATCACTCCCCCCAATATTCATATTCTGGATTTCAATAACATTTAAGTGAATAACTATTTTAAGTAATTCTACAATTCCCCTAAATACAGTGATCTCATCTTTTTAGTCGAGGATCAGTAATTTTATGCACATAAGCTATGTAAATTTCCATTATATTACAGTATTATCTAGATATTCGAACTTCTCTAAACTTTTCGAATCTGACTAGCAGAATGAAGAATAGAAAATATAAATCAAGGATACTTCTGCTGCAGTATTTGAATAATTATTATTGTATATTTACACTGGAGAAGTAAGTAATCAAACTTATTATTAAATAGCAACCAAGTGATCAATTTTCAACCTGCCTACAATAAGTCAAATCCTTGTTATAGACTGCTGATTACTATATGTTAGTAGATCTGAAATCCTTATGTGAGAAGATTCTTTGCAATTTCATTGATCAAAACTCTGTCTCTCAATTAAAATCATTTGCTGAATTATCGAATGCTACTTAACTATACAAGTATTGTGACTGGTACCAAACTCATCATCTGTGAGGCTCTATATTATTTATGTTCTTAACTATTATTTTTATATCTTTTCAATCTCATCATTGTATATACAAATTAATTTCTTCCGGATGGGTTTCAATTTTGATAAGATTACTTGTGTATCTTTACAGAACAATATATATGTTTATATTTATATCGAAAATTATCAGAAAAACTCTAAAATTTATACACATTAGAAATAAGATAAAGTTTAACAAAGAAATAATTATTAAGTATAACAATCAATATATTTTCATTCCATTAACATTCCAATTTGTTTCTATTAATAGAATTCATCTCAATGATTACTATTATACTTAATTCAATATTTAAGATTTTATAAATGGATTTCCAATTAGTTAGAGTGATATTTCTCTTTTAAGCCATCTAAATTTAAGACTCCTCTCCAAATAAATTTACATTCCTTGAAAACAACCATATTGAATGGCCAAATTCCAAAACATTCATCAAATATATTTTCAGGATATTAATCCTAATAGATCTCCAAATCTTCAGGAATATGAAATTGTTCCTTTAACCTCTTAGTCATCCTCTATCTGTCTTCTTGAGATTTATGTTATGGGTATTCGTATTCGTAGTATCCAATAGGCCATCCATCTACAAACTTGCCTTCCTCATCTCTCTCCACAAAATGAGCCTCTTTTACATATGTAATAATGCATTTGCAAATATCCTTGTATTTTTATGCAAATGCAATATAATCAGCAATAGCTTCACGATATGGAGGTCATGTGATACTTCCAGAATAAACAACTAGAAGTCTCTTCTCTTTATGACACTGTAACATTAATGCTTTAAGAGAAACCTTTTAACTTTCTGAATTGAATAATTGAATTTCAGGTGGTTCTTGTTTCAAAATAAGTCTGCATCCTTGCATTACATTATTTCTTCAATTCAGGGTCATTTCTACATTTTTGAGTCAAAACATAATATAATTTCTGATTTATAGGACAATCATCATATCCAAATTGTTTAAACACTTCTGAACGAATAATATCCTCAACGTTTCCAGAGTAATTCAGCTATCCATACAAGTCTTGATAGTTTTTATCCAATCTCATTTACTAATTATATGAAATATATATAACTTATTCTTTCAATATTATCTCAAAGAATTTATCTTTATCATCTGGAATCAACTTAATATTTTTGTTCTTGTTTTCTAGTTCAATCTCTTCATAAGTCACAGTTAATTAGTATAATTCAGATTTATTTGTTTGACCATCCCTATTATTTTCATCCTGCTTTTCCAAAGAATCCTAGGTTAATTAAATCGTAATACATCTTTATGGACTAAGATCTCATAAAATTAATAATTATATTAATTAAAAAGATAATTATGATTTGATTTATATAATTATAAAATAATATCTTTTTGAATGGCCACTTATTTTTTATCAAATTGTAAATCATAGTTAACTATAATTAATAATGATATAAGTGATACTATTCAAAGGATACATTAAAGGTATTACTTTTTCTTAGTACAGTAACAATAACAATTTGATGATGAATTAAAATTAACACAATATAGCAATTTCATTTTAACTTAAATCTATTTGACCTGAGGACTATGATGGATTTTTGATGTATTTATTCTACTTTAATATCAAAGAATCAGATAGTATTTAATTAAGAATGTGATAAATTGCTTATTGAATTCTTACATTTAAACTTTCATTAAACTTTTCATCTTTATTAGATGTAATTTTCTATTCTTTTTTGAGTTTCAAAATCTGTTATTCAGTTTGATAAACAATTGATTGGATTTTTGATTTATATTCTTTGCTAAATCCAAATTTGAAATAATTTTATTGCTGTTATTCATATTATTCTTCAAACTGTAAGATTTTATCAAGGGAATCAAGTTTGCTCACTTATTTATGCGATTATTTTAAATATTAATAATATTGTATATTTTATGATTAATTGGGCTGCGAATGATGTTTGTCAAAATGATCATAAACTGCAGTGGGTAAAGAAGCATATTTCAAAATGTGCTCAATGTGGCCCAGTCGACACTATGAGCAGATATGGATGCGTTTAATGCAATATATATTATTGTGTAAAATGCAGACAGCCTCCTGTGATGGGAGAGTTTTGTGGAGGAGGACACGAGTATATAATATCAATAATAGATTGAAATACGTTCCTAATTTGAAATATCATTCTTGCGATGTATGTAGGGCTTCGATTGCAGGAGGAGCATATAGATGTTAAGAATGTGATTATGATGTATGTGAAAACTGTTGGATAGTAAAAGAAGATTGATTAGTATATTATAATTATTCACTTAACCCTAACTAAAGAAGTGATTTAATCTTACAGGTTTTCATTCGAGTTATTCTTATATTTGTATCTATCCTCTTTTAAACGATTAACTATGTTATTAAATTCTCTTGTTTTATGTAGCATATTAATTCGTTTCTGTTGTTTACTCCTTCAATATCTTTCATCTTAAAAGTTAAAACATCCTTATGAATCATCCTGGTTTTAAGGATATTCAGATTAATTATTTTCACTTTTTTGAAATATTCTTTTTTTGTAATTTTGAGTTTGTAATATATCCACTTATGTTTAACCAAATCAGTCTAAGAAATATAAATAGAGTTACATTGTTCCTATCTTTTCTCTCTCTTTCTAAACAACTAGTTTAGAAATTCTCATCCAAATAATCTATTGTTTTAGATTCTATTGATTGCATTTATTTTAAGTTGTTACTATATTGTATTGGGCAAATCTCAAGAATTAATTTCTACTTTTGTCCTAAGTTAATTTCTATTACAAAGAATTGTAAAGCACAACAGATTGATTCATGAGTTCATGAATCAAATCGAGCTTTATAGTCGTCAACAATCATTTCTTCAATTTAGAAATGGCTTAATCAATTAGAATATTAGGTACATCAACAAAATCAAATTCAATATTATTTCATCCTTTAGTTGCAATATTACTCATAGTTTCATTGATCAGAATTTACAACAAGGTGGTATCTAAACGTATTAATAAATCATTAAGAAATAGTTATTTCTTGGATATAACATAAAATTTTGGTTTTATAATTATATTGAAANAGATGTAATTTTCTATTCTTTTTTGAGTTTCAAAATCTGTTATTCAGTTTGATAAACAATTGATTGGATTTTTGATTTATATTCTTTGCTAAATCCAAATTTGAAATAATTTTATTGCTGTTATTCATATTATTCTTCAAACTGTAAGATTTTATCAAGGGAATCAAGTTTGCTCACTTATTTATGCGATTATTTTAAATATTAATAATATTGTATATTTTATGATTAATTGGGCTGCGAATGATGTTTGTCAAAATGATCATAAACTGCAGTGGGTAAAGAAGCATATTTCAAAATGTGCTCAATGTGGCCCAGTCGACACTATGAGCAGATATGGATGCGTTTAATGCAATATATATTATTGTGTAAAATGCAGACAGCCTCCTGTGATGGGAGAGTTTTGTGGAGGAGGACACGAGTATATAATATCAATAATAGATTGAAATACGTTCCTAATTTGAAATATCATTCTTGCGATGTATGTAGGGCTTCGATTGCAGGAGGAGCATATAGATGTTAAGAATGTGATTATGATGTATGTGAAAACTGTTGGATAGTAAAAGAAGATTGATTAGTATATTATAATTATTCACTTAACCCTAACTAAAGAAGTGATTTAATCTTACAGGTTTTCATTCGAGTTATTCTTATATTTGTATCTATCCTCTTTTAAACGATTAACTATGTTATTAAATTCTCTTGTTTTATGTAGCATATTAATTCGTTTCTGTTGTTTACTCCTTCAATATCTTTCATCTTAAAAGTTAAAACATCCTTATGAATCATCCTGGTTTTAAGGATATTCAGATTAATTATTTTCACTTTTTTGAAATATTCTTTTTTTGTAATTTTGAGTTTGTAATATATCCACTTATGTTTAACCAAATCAGTCTAAGAAATATAAATAGAGTTACATTGTTCCTATCTTTTCTCTCTCTTTCTAAACAACTAGTTTAGAAATTCTCATCCAAATAATCTATTGTTTTAGATTCTATTGATTGCATTTATTTTAAGTTGTTACTATATTGTATTGGGCAAATCTCAAGAATTAATTTCTACTTTTGTCCTAAGTTAATTTCTATTACAAAGAATTGTAAAGCACAACAGATTGATTCATGAGTTCATGAATCAAATCGAGCTTTATAGTCGTCAACAATCATTTCTTCAATTTAGAAATGGCTTAATCAATTAGAATATTAGGTACATCAACAAAATCAAATTCAATATTATTTCATCCTTTAGTTGCAATATTACTCATAGTTTCATTGATCAGAATTTACAACAAGGTGGTATCTAAACGTATTAATAAATCATTAAGAAATAGTTATTTCTTGGATATAACATAAAATTTTGGTTTTATAATTATATTGAAATAAAGACATCATCATTATTTAATTTTTGGTAATTGTGTTTGACTTTGACTTAATGTCATGCTTTATTAATGTTAACTGGATTCTTTTTCATTCTAACTCCTATCCTTATCTAATTTTTCTCTGTTAGATTTCAATTTCTCTTGCATATTTTTATACCCAATTCCGAACTAAGGATAGAATCACAATCTACCTTGCCCATCCTCTCAGGGGAGGTTTCTTTAGGAGGGAAGACTGCCCAATTTTTGAAATCTCCCAATTATCCTTTGTATTTGTCTAAATCCTTGTCACAAGAGGCACAACTCCAAGAGAGAGGTTTCTTAACAAACAATGAATCCTAATCTTTGGATCCATCTCCCTCTAGTATCATAAATATTTAATTAATCTAATTAGTTATTCTAAGATACTTTCTATTCCAGATATATAAGTGCCTTTTTAGTTTCTTATTTGTTGGCCAATGTTTTGATAAGTTCAGTGACAACCTTTTGTAATTAATCCAAAAATGCTTGATTCAAATCTTTGACTTCCTAAGCATCAGCTTTTCTGTCAATGCTCAATTTGGTTTCATCTCCAATTCTTTGGATATCATCTCTTACTTATTTGATTTTCGGATCAAAAGTTTAGAATAGTTCATCCTTTGTTACAATTGATTCAATTTTCTTTCCGAAATTGTTTATCTTTATTTTATTCTAATCTTAATCGCGTTTAATTAAATCCATCTATTCTCTTTAATTCTGGAGTTCAATGTAAATTTTATCAGTCTGGATGCCTTGGATCTTCTTTTCCAACTCAGCCAACTTCACATGAGTTTATTGATTATTCTAATTCATTTATGTTTTATGAATTAATAAATCACTAATAAGAGATTAAATACTATTTACTTTTCAATTTCTTTTATCGATTGTTACAATTCTTTAATCTAATGTAATAATTCTTTCTCATTATTCGAGTGCTTCAAAGGTGTCTCAATTTGAATTGACGATTGTCTCTATTAAGATTTTCCTAATTACTCTCTCAACTAACTTATGTCCTTTTCCAGTTTTGCAATGTCAGTCTGTTCTGCTTTCTTGTCTATTTTACTTTTGAATTCCCTTCTTGCTTTTTCTAATTCTTCATCTGCATGATCTTACACACTCTTCATTTTCATTTCCTTTTTTGTATTTTCATTCTAAAAGTCTGTTGTTGTACAATAATTTTATAATTGATCTCTTAATTTATTTATTTCCGCTAAGATTAAAGCAACCTAATTCTCCTGCATATCTTAACCTTAGCCAAATGTTGCTAAGTTTAATTAAGTCTACAAAGCTTCAATTTGTGATTGCAATTTCTTAATATCATTTTTGATCTAATTTAACTCCTCACTCGAAACATCAGATTATTAGTTATTGTTTTAATCCTTTAATTTCTGTCTCACACTATCTACTATTTCGAATAAAGATTAGATCTCCTCTTCATGACCATCCAATTTCTTATTGATATCCGATAAGTCAACTGGAGGATTTTCTTCAGGAATTTTAATTTTGCTAAATGCTTCCTTTAAATCTACTAGTTCTTATGATAATTATTCTTATTTTTATTCTAACTTGATATAAATATTTACTTAACTCTTGAGTTATTTGGTTTAATTTGTTTATTTATTCATCATTACCATTATATTGAATAGGGAGAGCCATAGGTTAAACCAGAGCTTCCTTGATAATTTCTTTTTCTACTATAATCTATTCTGGTTTGCGTTCCTCCACTTCATGCAACTCATCTTAGAAACCATTCATCTATCTCTTGATATTTTCAATTTCTTGATTCAATTGGTTTATCAACTGGGATTATTGAGTTTGAGTATTATTTAGATCATCTATTTTCTTGGCTTGTGCAGTTTATTCACTTTCTAAATCCTACAAGGATTGTTCCTATTATTTTACGATTCTATCTAAATGGAATGTAAATCAAAGAATTACTAAATTTCTGGGTTGTCTAATCTAATTCTTCCTTAGTTGCATAATCTTTCTAAATTTCTTCCTTAGCTGCCTAGTCCTTCTGAGAGGCTTCCTGCAATTCCTATAATTTTGAAGTGATTTGATCAATTGTGTCTTTGTTCTATTACTTGGTTTCAGGAGTTTCACTTACTTCTTTCAGTTTCTTGTAATTTATTCAATTTTATACCTATACCCAGTCCGAATTATCTTGTACTCTAGAATTCAACAACACCATTCCCTTATGCAATTGTTTTAATATAGATATCAAAACTGCAAAATTTTTTTGTAACAATTCTTCTGAGAATTAGATACTCATCATTTTATCCATACTTAGGTTGGCCAATTCTTAATCAAAAGATTAGAAATTGGGATCGAATATTACATTTATGAGTTATTCTTCCATTTTAAGATATTAAATTAATATAATATATAATAAGCATATCGATTTTATTAATTTTAAACCAGGGTAATTACTACTACATAAAGTAAGTTTATTTGTTAACATACTATTGAATCACTCTTAAGAATAATTTTTATCCTTGATCTACTTAAGCAATTAATTGTAATTATATCAATTATAGGAGTTTGTAAACTTTGGATTAAATTCATTAAGTGAAATAATTAATAAACCTTATTTATTTATATTAATCAAATTAATGGTGGAAGTACAGAACGACAAGTTGGACAATTTAATTTGACATTCATCCATTTAGTTAAGCAAATTGAATGAAAATGATGACCCTAAATTAGCAACTAATTAATACACAAGGTGTTTCCATAAGTTTGTGTTAATTCTAACTAATGATTTGAGCAATAAATTTATTCTCTGATTAAGATTCAGTAGGAATGTCAGTTAATTAAGTGATACAGATGGCACAATCTCCCTCTATGGGTTATTCAATGAAGTATTCATGAGTTTTAGGTCTGAGACATTTGGGTATAAAGAATCTGGGTCCAATTTTACATTGATAATAGTACAGGACTGCCTGAGCAACAAATAAGAGAAGAATAATAGTGACTGATAAATAAGACACCTTTGCATGGAGAATATTGTAGGGACAACCTCTGAAATAAATCTAAATGATTAGCTGTATATTACAGGTATGAATAATCTGGTTGACAATAGGCCGAAAACAAATATTTTATCAAATTCTACATATTGTCCTTGATATGCCACATGAATTATTTAAGGAATTAAATATAGGTTCATTGCAATCAAGAAAATATTATAGTAAACAAAATAGTAGAGTAGTAGTACTAACATAATGGCAAGCAAGTAAAATTTAAGATGAAATCTGTAGAGCTCTCTTCTTAAATTTAGGTTGTCTTCTAAATTGATGAACCTTTCTTGCCAAATGTGTTTAGCCAGTTTTAATTCCAAGAAGAAGAACAATACTAATTCAAGGAAGGCAGGTGTTAGAAAATACTAAATAAAGTAATAATTAAATTTAATACTTCACTTTTTAATGCAAGAAAGAAATGAACAATTCCTAAGTATCCATCAAAGATCATAAGAAAAACAAAAATAAATAGACTGAATTAAGTGGCAATCCTATTTTAATTGATTAAGTCTCTCATCAATCTTAGACAACTGATAAATTGAATCACACTTAGAACAGAAACGATCGTGGAATAAATTATTGCTTTATTATCTATCTTAATATAAACATAAATTTTTACATTTATAACCCCAAGATTACAACTGAATGAAAATGTATCTGAGTATAATTTATAATGTGCATTCAAGTCTAATGTAATATCATCTATGGTCTCACTTTCAGTATCAAAATTATCTAAATTCATTGTCAAATTCGCATAGATTTCAATGCTAGATTGATCTTTTTCAAAAACACTAGATCTTCTGTAAGACCCTCTAACATTCTCAAAAACTAATTTCTTATCTTCAAATGGATAAACTAACTACGAAGAATTTAAATAAAATGAGAATTGGTTATAGTAATCTTCTAGAAATTAACCTTCAATGAGTTTTAATTGTAGTTGAATTTGAAAGCGATTTTAATAGGAAGTTTTATAAAAAGTGGCTTCTGCTAAGTTATTAGATAAATTTTAAGAATCTGTCCATTTTCCTTAAAATTAAGAGATTAGCAGCTTTTCTAAGATTTAAAAATGCTGTTGGATTTGAACTAAAGTTGAATTGGTCTCCGTGATATTGATGGCTCCATTTGTGCCATTATTTTAAGAATATGGAATTTGATTTGATTTATCAGCATATTAATTTGGTTGAATGAATACATAAAAGACAGACATGAAAGCAAATACAATTAAGATAATCCTTCTTCTTCTCTATCGTTACCTTGCCCTTGCATATTGTAGTTCTAATAAATAGTTTTAATGATTATTTTCGATGTCCAATTAATGCATATTAAAATATATTTAATATAAATTATTACAAAGATGCATATAATTCCTTCCATAAATTAAATCTCTGGATCAAAAACCTTTTCTAGATCAGCATCGATTTTGGTTACTCAAGTTTGATTGATGGCTTTGATGATTACTCTTGTTAATTATGTACTAAGATGGCAATTAGTGCATGAAGAAGCATCTTGGTAGAACAAAGATCAGAATCTTTAATGCCATTAAATTAGTTGAATAAACTTCAACTTTATAGAATATTAGATTTAATAACATTTCATTATAATTAGATTTCTATGATACAAGTATCAATAATTCTTCAAATGAAATTTACAATGTATTTGAGACACAATAATTTAAATCTGATTTTCCATATAAATTTATAAAGTTGAATAATTGGAATGACCTGATTCATCTCCATATTCGCTTTTTTTTAATTATTTGATTATCCCCACTAATCTTCAGTACTTTCTTATTACATTATTCACTTCAAACTTTTTTCCTTGTCATGATTGTTAGTTGATCATCTATTATGATATCCTTCTTTCGATATTCTAGTTACTCTTTATATAAGTAGACCATTGGTTTACACTAAAGAATATAATTGATATTCCCTTATTTTAAGAAGTTATCATACGTTTTACAAAATGTTATCATTTACATATTACTATTTAATTATTAAATATATAAATAAATTTAAGTTATGACATCCTTATTGGTTCTATAAAAGAGGGTAATATCCATTGATATTGATTATTTATTCTAACATCAATTTAATAGTCTTATGAGATTATAAGAATAAGAAAATACTACTCAACATCTAAGTTCAAATCCTCTGCTACTACTATCAATTAATATTCCTAATTATTGTGAATGTTTAAATATATAATATCAGTTTAAATTCATAAATATATGGTTATATGTTAGTCTTAATTTTGATTAAATTCTGATTAATGCCAGATTTTGATTTTCAAGATTTTATTACAAAAACTGAATTATATAATTAAATGCAATTATTTTAATAACTTATTTTATATTAACTGACATCTCAAGTCAATATAGAACAACTTTCTTCTTAAATTAGGGGTTTAACAACTCAATCTTACCCTAAGCTCTATTTTTTTAACTTAGCGATAAGGTTTAGAATTAAATAGAATCTTAATTTTCTTATTTCTTTTTTTAGTTTAAATATAATTTAAGAGGAATTTAAAAAATGGAAAAATAAACCTTTGAATTTAAAAAGCATACAGAATTACGATTTTTTAAAAATGAAAAGCAATTCCAAAATTGCATTCACAATAAAGATATAATAAGTGTATGTTACTCAGAGATACTTTATAGTTTTTAAAAAATAATCAAGTATATTACTTAAAATAATATATGTTCAATTTGTATTTTAACCTTCTATTCTTGCCATTTCAATAATTACTACCAAAAAGCATAACAGTGGAATAGAAATAATCAAAATGAGATTTAGGTTTAATTACTATTGTTTCTTGAGACTATTAGCATTGTTTTTAAGTTTGACATTATTCACTTTCTTTTAATTTCTCAATTGTTCTACAATCTCTGTTATCGAGTTTTATTGTAATTTTATGATACTGTTTCTGATATTATTTGGTGATGAAGCATATTTTAATTTAGCAGACTCCACAATGTCCTTATATTTACTTTGTTTCATTCCCTTCTCTAGTGTAATAGAGTTTAGGCTTTCACATTTTATTTGATTAGTATTGTATAAATCATCATACAATTTTTATCGGTTGAAAAATTCTTTATTGCTGAAGGGTTAACAAATCGAAATACGTTCCATCGATTTATAAAGTTGGTACTGATCCTCCATTTAATCTTCAGCTAGTGTACTTTTTTAGTGATTTTTGGATTTCATATTTTATTTATTTATCATGACGAATATTTTTGAATTCTAATAAAGCTTATGAGAATATTTTTAATTATTTAACAGAGGATATTTTTATTTATCTCCTTTAATAAACAAATACATAATATTATAATTGTCTTTATTGTCATCACTTATCTTTTATTTTCATTTATTTATCCTGAATATTTTTTTGGCTGATTACTTCTTATATATTATAAATATGTTACTTGTAACTTTATAATAAAATGTTAAATTCTAATAGTTATATCTGATGAGGAAAAATTATTAATATTGTCTCATCTTCATATATTAAAAGATAATCAATCATTTTAAACCCTTTAAATTCAATTGCGCTTTAAGATATAAATAATTTAGATACCTAATCTAATTTATTGCTCTGCCGAAGATTACATGAATTCTAAAATTTATTCTATCCTTTTCACTTTTAAATTTAATTTTAATTTGAATATAAATTTGATAATTGTAATTTATTGATAAAAATTACCAATATAGGTAGATGTAATAATCAATGCAAGATTAATAGGAGATAACATTCTATGTAATTATTATTATCATTTTTATTATATAAATGCTCTTAATTATGGAAAAATAATATAAATAATATAAATTATATTAACACGATTATTATTCTATTTTTTTTAATTGCAACTAGAAAATTAAAGAAATGGCATCGCAATTATTATATTTTTCTAGGTTTAAGGTTTGAATTGACAACTTTTGAAATCTGCACTTCTAAATTTTAGGGGACATCTTTTGAATTTTTTTGATTAAATTAGAAATTAATCAATTATAATGTTTTATAAAGGTGATTAAATCTTATGAGGATCTATTTTTTAATTACAAATGAAATCAGCTGCTAAAACAGCTTCTATGATTGTGACAATGTTCACCCAACAGAAGTATCATATTATCTAAGCTGTAGCCAAGAATTGCAACTTGTGTAAGCAAGGAAAGAATTTGATTAACTCACAAGGGAAATAGCAGAGAGAAGAAAGAAACTGCTTTCAGTATTTAACAAGGGTAAGGCTAAAGAAAAGGAGAAGGTAGATGCAAACAAAGCAGAAAAATTCAAAAATATGGTACTTAAAATTTTTAAAAACTAAGGATGAACACAAAATACCATTGGAAGAACTTGAGTAGAGATATTAAACAAGTTCAAAGGATGGATTAACTAAAGATGTGGCCAATTAAAGATTGTAGGAAGTTGGAAAAAATGAATTAACTTAAAAAGAGAAATCACCTTGGTATATAAAATTAATCCATGAATTAACATCTATGTTTTCAATGCTCTTGTGGGTTGGATCAATCTTGTGCTTCATAGCTTATGGATTGGCTCCAGAGGATCCGTCAAATGTAAATGTTGTTGTCATATTCTAGTTATATCTGGGTATTGTTATAGTAGTAGTAAATACATTGACAGGAGTGATTACATTTTTCTAAAATGCCAAATCAGAAGCAATAATGGACTCTTTTAAGAATTTCATACCTCCAGAGACTTTAGTAATAAGAGATGGTGTATAATAAAAATTACCAGCTTCTAATTTAGTACCTGGAGATGTAGTGATTGTAGAAAATGGAAAAAGAATTCCAGCTGATATTAGGATATTGGAGAGTAATGAGATGAAGGTTGACAATTCTAGTTTGACAGGAGAATCATTATTGCTAATGAGAACTTTGGAATGCACAAATCCTGTGAATCCTTTGGAAACGAAAAATTTGGCCTTTTTTGGAACACTATGCAAAGAGGTAGTTAAAGATCTATAATTTAGGGAAACGGAAAAGGGTTGGTTATATTTACTGGAGATAATACTGTTATAGGTTAGATAGCTGGTTTAGTAGAGAGTTCTGGAAGTGAAGATACTACTTTAAGAAAGGAACTTAATAATTTTATAAAGAATATAAGTGTAATATCAACAATATTTGGAGTAATCTTCTTTGTTTTGGGCTTTGCAATTGGATATCGTATAAATACTTTTAATCTACTTAGCTCCAATTACAAATCTTGTCTTTGGAATAGGAATTATAGTAGCAAATGTTCCAGAAGGGCTTTTGGCCACAGTTACAGTTGCCTTAACATTAACAGCAAAAAAGTTGGCTTATAAGAAGGTTCTAGTGAAAAATTTAGAGGGAGTTGAAACTCTTGGATCTACGTAATAAATTTATTAAAATAATAGTTCTTGCGTATGTTCTGATAAAACAGGAACTTTGACTTAGAATAAAATGACAGTTGAAAATTTATGGTATAATAACAAGAAGCATAAGGGAGCAAATCTAGAAAAAATGGGTCAAAAGTATAAATACGAATATGATCTAAATGAAATAGGGTTTAAAATACTTTAAGAAACAGCTGTGCTTTGTTCAGATGCAGTGTTTGATAATTCTTTACCTCAGGATTAAAAGATTAGAATATAGAATGCAATTGGATTGAATCAATAATAAAAGGATTAAAAATTAAAGGAAGCAAACGAGAAATGGGAATAGAATTTTAATAAGATGCTTTGTTAAGAAAAACCAACTATAGGAGATGCATCTGAAACTGCTTTGATCAAGTTTTTCCAACCCATAAGTGATATTTAGAGAATGAGATAAAGTAGAACAACTGCTAAAGATACGGAGAATAAGCTTGCAAAAATGCCCTTCAATTCTAATAATAAGTATGCATTCATCATAGTGGAATATGAGACCTCAGATTCTCATTATTGTTTATTAAGCAAAGGAGCACCAGAAAGAATATGGAAATTATGCAATTCGATATATAAGGATGGACAGATCGAAACAAAGGATGAGAAATGGGAACAATCTTTCGAGTAGATAAATGAATAATTTGGAAGACAAGGAGAAAGAGTATTGGGATTTGCCAAGTTGCATTTACCAAAAGAACAATTTCCAATAGGATACTAGTTTAACTTGGATAAGATGAATTTCCCATTTAATAATTAAGTATTTGTAGGGTTAATCTCATTAATTGACCCTCCCAAAGACAATGTTCCTTATGCTGTGATTAAATGTAAAACAGCAGGAATACAAGTTATTATGGTTACTGGAGATTAACCAGTCACAGCTGCAGCCATAGCTAGATAATGTAACATAATAACAGAGAAAACAGTTGATGAGATAATGATTGAAAAAGGAATATCATTTGAGGAGGCATTCCATTAATCAAATGCATTAGTAATTCACGGTGATAAATTGACTAAAATGGCAATTGATGAAGAAGGTCTACCTGAAGATGAAAAGGGTAGATAATTGTAGGAATGGTTGAGTAAACCATAATTAGTCTTTGCAAGGACAAGTCCAGCATAAAAATTAATTATTGTTGATGGATGTCAAAAGAGAGGACATATAGTGGCTGTGACAGGAGATGGAGTTAATGATAGTCCTGCAATCAAGAAGGCAGATATAGGTATTGCAATGGGTATTACTGGATCTGATGTTGCTAAGGATGCAGCTGATATGATATTGTTAAATGATGATTTTTCAAACATTGTCATAGGCATAGAGGAAGGAAGAAAGATCTTTGATAATTTAAAGAAAAGTATGGCTTATTGTTTGACCTCAAACATTTCAGAGTTGGTTCCATTTATTGGATTTGTTATCTTCAGACTACCGTTACCATTAACTACAGTATTGATATTATGTATTGATTTGGGAACTGATGTTTTTCCATGTACCACCTTTGTATTTGAAGATGCTGAAATAGACATAATGACTAGGAAACCACGATCAAAGAATGATCATTTGGTTGGTGGGAAAATGTTCATCTATGCATATTTACAGAATGGATTCTTATCTACATATTGTGGATTCTTCTAATGGTTTGCAGCCTTCTACGATTTTGGGTTCTTTCCTTCTAATTTACTATACATAGGAATTAGAAAAACTATTCTACCAAAGATTAATGATGTTTATGATCCTTAAGATCCATGGTTTGGCAATACAAATCTAAAGTAATTATTTTAAGATGGAGTTTGTACAGAATTTCCTGAATCTGAGGTGAAGGAAGTAGATTGGATATTTGCCAATCATTCTAGTCTTGATTTGAGGATGGCTTATCTTGAATGCAAGGATGGTAAGATTTAGTAATCATTTGAATGGGCCTAATGCACTGTTAATTTAGTATCTCCTTATACAAATAGACCTTATTGTTATACAACTGAAGCGTCAAATTATGCTTAAACAACATTCCTCTATGGTATTGTAGTTGGGTAAATAGCCAATTACTAGGGTTTGAGATCATTAATAAATGCAGGAACCTTTTAAGGTAATTTATTGACAGCATGTATTAGGTTTTTCGAATTATTATATGTTTTTTGCCTTTTGGGTGGAGCTTATGTTAACTGTGTGTTTGTCCTATGTTCAAGTCTTTAACGCAGTATTTGGAACTAGAGACGTGTTATTTATTCATTATGGCACTGGAGCACTTCCTTTTGCATTAGTGATGTTAATCTGGGCAGAGGGAAGGAAATATCTAGTATATATTTCAATTATAATTTCTAGATACGTCGTTTCAAATCAAAAACATCATTCCCTAGTTGGTGGGAAAGATGCGTTTAATTTTGAAATTTAATGATATTCAATGATATTATTTTATGACAATTAAAATATAATAAACAGTATTTAATTAGTTCTTAATTGGAGATGCACTTAATATATAATGATTTATAACATGAGTAGGTTGAGATACATTAAATTAATATTATTGTCATTGATCAAATTTGACCTTGGATTCATTCAATAGTATTATATCAAAGATTTCAATCAATTTATTCGCTAATCTATAACCTCCGACAGCAAGGTTGTTCTCACAGAATTATTTTGCTTGTTCAACGTAGTTTTTATTAAAGTTATTAGATGACTAGATCATTGGATACACAAACTGTAAAGCCTACCTATATCCAACATAAGTCCATACTGATGGATTACTATGTAATTTTTAATTGAATTTACGTCATGTCATAATCTTTATAATTGGAATAGGGGTATGAACGGATTAAGTCCTTGGCCCAATTGTCCAGATACTCTTAATCTTTTGAGGATAAGGGTCGAGATAGAAAGGTGGAATTGGAAACGAAGGCAAATGCTCCGGCATCCCAGAATGAATGTAAATTAACAAATGTACCATTTTCAATCTAATAAATATAGGCATTGATGCTACTTGTATTTTCATGAGATTTCCTCCTTAATCTCCAGTTGGATAGGAGACATTCCAAAAAGTAGTATCATGAAGTGGCTAATGAAGATCGCCAATAACATGCAACAATACTCTAATCATTTCAGCTTTGAAAACTGTGTGTCTGAATTTGGCAGTTTTTGTACTAGTTAATACCGAGGTGGCTGAGTTGATGGCATAGATGGAATTAATGTTTCTGGCTTGATCTTCTATCTTAATTTAGAGACCGTCTGGATTCATTGGACGATCTGTGTAATGCCAATCATTCATGAAATTGGTTCCAGTTTCTTTGACATCATCTAGCCACACTGCAGCCTCTGCAAAAGTATTAGATTTTCCATCTGTAAGTGGGTTTAAGTCTTGGATTAACGAATCAGCCCAAGCCAAAACATCAGGTCGATTTTCTCTGAGATGGTTTTTTGCTATTTAAGCAGTCATCATATGACCTACATCCCACCATTAATATGACAGCATCACTAGGGTAGATATAAGAAGATATTTCATTAAAAATAATATATGTTATTGCGCAATTTGGGATTCGGTTATATAATAATAATGCTAAGAAAGCAAATAATTAATTAGATCAGTATTTTTAATACAAATATCATCTCCACTTAATAAATTGTTAATCGGATCTATTTTTCTTAAATATAGGCTTTAATCTGTTATCCTTGATATAGAAATGAGAATGTCTTACCTTCTCTTGCATAATCGTAGAGTATTAGAAATGACCCTGTAACTATTCTACACCTTGGATTCTGGCATAGGTGATTTCACAGATCTATTAAATCTTATGGAAATTAATACTTTTTCTGAGTTAAAGAGCTTCCACTTTTTGCCTTGAAATTCTAAAAAAAACTTTGGTATAAATTTGGTATGCAAGAAATTAATGAATGCATAACCTACATTGCATTTATTCTAATATTGATTAAAAATTTACAGTAAAATCTATTGGAAGATAAAAAAAATCATAAGTGTCTTTATGATTAATGTCTATGTTCTCTAGCAACATTGGTTGGGTGTATTTGTTAGGGATATTGCGAATCATCAGAGTAGTTCTGTCATCATCACAAATCTTGATAGGGATAGACTCTTACTTTAGCCAGATCAATTTAGAATTGAGTGATCTACATTTATGGTTCGTATTTTCTGTTGTTCTTTTATTAAAATTACTAGAATAATGTTGGCATGGTTTTATAAAACATTTCTTCCTATTTCACTTCTTAAATCGATTAATTCAACTCTTAGATCTATTAAGATGTAGACAAAGTTTCAGGCAAAGTAGATGTGTTGGAACATATTGTGATTGATCTATTTTTCACCCACATCTATGGGTTGTCATTAATATTTTTAGATAAACATTATTATTATTCATTCTTTTATTTTTATTCTTGCTGTTCATTATTATGTTTAGGTCTAACAAATTACCCAAAGCACTTTGGATTTATTGTGAAGGGTTGTTGCATTATTTTAAAACAAATTTTATTTATATAAAGATTTTTAATGAACAACGCTTATTCTGTAGCAAATATTATTATTATAATTAATTTAAATTAATTCATCTCTTGTTGTACACATAAATCCGATATTCAAGATTACTAATATAAAGAATTTATGCCAAAAATAGGGATCTATTATAAAACACACTCATAATTATATAAACAATTTAATCCTTTTTTATTAATGGTTTTATGGTAATAAAGAAGTTTGTTTTTTAATAATTGATCATTTTGATATATTTAAACAAAGTAACATAATCATAATATTTTAGAAGTCCATAAATGAAATTTAATCATCACCTTAATTATCATATGCTAAATATTCAAATAATCAATATTAATTGAGAGCATTTCAGTAATTCTAAATGAGCCAAATTAACAATTAGAGAGGTATGTAAATTATTTTCCAAATCAAGAAATTATGACAAGGATTATTTTTAATTATCAAATTAATACTATTAATTAAACTATATTAATTTTAATATTTATGAAATTATTAACTATATTGTTTTATCATATAATCAAATTCTCTTGAGTTTCTTAAATTAAGCTCAGCCCTTAAATTCATAACCTGGTTTGGATAGTATTTGACAATAATCCGATTAAATTATAATATAACTTTTTTCAGCATTGTGCTTACTTACGTTTATTTGGTAATTTTGCTTCAAAAGTTTTTATTTAATCATGAATTGTTAACTCATTTAAAGAATAGAATTAAAATGTATAAAATGTGAGTGAACAAATTTATATCAAATAGATGAGAGAATAACATAATCATCTTAAAATTCATAAGGTTTTGAGATGACTAACATTTTTTATATGGGTTTAATTTAAATTAACTTAAAAAGTCCAAATCAAATTTATGCATGATTTGGTTGCATAGTTTCTTCCAATTCTCTGAGTTATTGTCTGGCTACATTTATCATGAATTCAAGTTTAGATGCGTACTAAACTAAATCCACAAATTCTTTCCGTTCGCTGTTTTTAGCTGATTTCCTATCATAAATGTCTTCCTCTTCCCATCCATCACCTTCATTTGATGATTCCTCAGGTGATTATATTTTATATTTCTTTTTCTATCTCAACTTTTGACAAAGACATCCTCTCTCCTTTTTTATACTCCTTTTCAATATTCCTGATATTTTCACTTGGTTTACAGTTGATTTTTATTCGTCGATGAAATTGATGTTATCACTAACTAAGTCAGCCATTTTAGTATATAATTTAATATAAATAATCTCAAAAACGACAATTGGATTTTATTTCTATTATCCTTTTACTATCCGTTTTATAAATCCAGAGGAAATCAATAGTTAGAACTATTAAAGTAATAATCAAATATTGCTCACTTTGTAAAGACTTGAATATTATAAATACGAACTATTTCAATATAATTATTCTTTTTACAATATAATATATATATTGTTAGTTCTCATAAAGGGAGATCATTAGTTGATCAATTCACTTTCTTTATTTTATTAACAACTTGCTTTGGCCTTCCTACATTTCTTGTAATTTTTACTACTACTATAAGTCCATTAATTCTATTAATTACATATTTTATACTTTAATAAAAAGCTAGACCATTTTAAAAAGCATCAAATTCAAGGGATTTAAATGAATCTTAATTTTTTTTAGTCAATCCTTAATCAAATAATGATATATCTTATTTATCTAAATTTAATAACAATAAATACTAGGAAATAATAGTTGTGGTTATCTTAGCCCTGTCTATTACATTAGTCCTATATTATAAATAAGTTATTTAATACTTTGGTTTGATTACTGTGAGAAACTAATAGATTGATCTGAATAATTGCTTTGATAATTCTATTGTGATATACTGATATCAGAAGATGAAGTCTGATAGGAGGAAGACTGTTGGCTTGGAAGTAGAAAGTTTTGTGAATACTAATTAATAGTAATTATTAATGTAGTCAATAGATAAGAGAAGTTCTCTATCTTTTTATCATCAACGTCTCTAATTTTGTAAATTTCCTTAAATATGCTCTATAATTTGATATACTTGCCATAATAAGGAGTTTTAATTGATTAAATAATCATTTTATGTCATAAATTTAGCTATTGTCTGTTAAAATACTTGTTATTGAGCTTTAACCCTCATGATTTCATTATGAAATTATTGATAGTCATTTTTTAATTTGGACATGCTCAGTTATGAATTATTATTGGCTAATATAAATTAATTTTATATTAACTTTAAATTTAGTTATTTTCCTCCAACTGTTCTTGTTATTCTATAGATTTTCTTTTTATTTCACACAATAAATGTCTGTTTTATATATGCAAAATAAAAATACTTCTTTTCTTTTTAAAAAAAATTATGTTTAAACTCATGTTTACCTAGTTCATTTTTAATCTTATGAAAATCATATATGTTCAATTATCTAATAAATGAAGTATAATTATTGTGCTTGAAATACTTGGGTAGTATCTAAAGTATTAAATTTAACGTAGAAATACTTTCTTAGCAAACTCATAAGGTTTTTTTATAATAAATGCTTTGCCATCTTAGTTCCATTAAATGATATCAGAATAATTGGAATTCTAAATATTAGAGCAACATTGTACCTCTAAGATATCATAGGTTTTGGTTAAGAAGGAAGGAATGGATGACTATTATTGGAGAATCAAGTTTTCCTTTGAATTATCCATAAAATATTTAAAAATGACATTCCTAGAATAATCTAAATTGATATTATAGTTATATTATAAACATATGATTAATTACATAAAGAATCTTAAATAAAATAAATTTTTCCATGTTTTTCATATAATCACATTAATAGGCAATTTATTGATAACTCTGCCGCGAGAGTCGTAAACTTTATAACTGGAATATTTTTAGTTGATAAATCCAATAGTGCTGGTAAAATGAATAATTTAATGAGTATAATCAATATAGAAAGGAAAAGAAATTCCCTTGAATTACTGGATAATCCAGCTATCTATCTTCTTCAATTAGCTATATCACTTAGGTTAGTTCTGTATTTACACTATTTTTCTTGAATTCAAATCTTCATTGTCAATTTTGATTATATTTATAACTTTGTTTCCTTTATTCCTGTCCTTTAAAATATACGATACGGCCTTTCTTTCATACTTCTTGGAAATAATTTATTTATCTATCCGATAGTAATTTAAAATATGTAACCTGATTTGAATTTGCTAGCACCAAAATGAAATGGAGTTTTTGTAATTTCTTTCTGCTTTCTTGCTTTATCAAAGTTACATTAGGATTCTCAAAATAATGAATTTATTATTTATAAATATTAGAGTCATTTATATATTATAATTCATGTGTTCTTCATCTATATTTTATATTTTTAATTTTAAACTTTTTCTAATTTTTTCATATCAAATCTTATCACAATCCATTGACATATATAATTAAATAATTTAATTATTTAGATGAGCTCTAATTCTCAAAAATTATAAAAGCAAAATAGCTAATCTGATAATGAAATCGATGCTCATGAGAACAAGGCCATAAAGTAGGACTGTGTGTAGATTTAAGCTAAGTATTTCTATATTAAATTTGATACAGATCAAAAAATATACAAAAGAGACTTCCAGAATAAATTAGAGCAAAATAAGTTCAAATTGATTAGATTTCTCAATTCAAATTTGATAGTTCATTGTATTATAAGATGAATTTAAGAGAATAGACCATTTACGATTTTGATTTTCTAAAAATAGATAAAGATCTATTGTCTAATTAGAATTAAATTCTAGTATATATTGTGAATTATTATAGATTGAGGATAAGAAATCTAAAAAAAAGTTTCTTATAAAACCAATCCAAACTGAAAGTGAAATAATTCAAGTAAATAGATAAAATATATTTAGAAATTATTTTAATTAAATTCTAAATTTATTTTAACACCTCAAAACATTTTCAGTCATCATGTCCAGACACAAAAAATTGATTACCTCGCAAAGGAAATAAGTAATTGATTTAAGTTGAATCAAGAAATAATTCATTTAAAGTTTCAACTACTTTTGTTTTAATATTGCAGCAAATCGATTCTACATTTTTCTCATGAATTGTCAAATGCAAAACTCAAAATAATACTTGGTGATTTATTATAAGGATTGATGTCAGCAAAGGAGAATTAACTTGTATTAAATGAAATAACTTTGGATTCCATATTGTACTGCGAGGACAATAAAAATTTCAAGCTCAATGATTACACCAATGCAACAATTGGTGATAACCAAAGTAATGTAACCGATTTAGGAATGTGTTTCGCTCAACTCATCCAATAAAAGAATTCAAGGCGGAGATATTAAAAATTATAAATAAATTTAAATGAATGGAAATTAAATAATAAAGATGATCCATTTGCAAGTATTACCTTACAAATGATCATGAATGAAAAATCACTTGATGAAATCAATTATTAATTGTAATAGATAGATTGTTGAAATTCATATTTTATAGTAATTGATAATACAATAAGATATAGCAATTTATATAGACTACGAGAATAAACTCATTTTAATTTCTTTAATAATGTTAATGTATGTGGTTCTGTCAATGTCTCTATAGGTAGATTAGTTAATACTAATCTTAGCAAAATTAATCTTTAATTTGTGGAATACATCCAGATTCCAAAGATTATACAATAAATAACAATTAAGGATATCCCTGCTGCCAAGTAATATGAATAAATCACATCTAAATCCTCCGCCATTACATTCTTTAAGATTATCATAATGTTATCTATAAATAAGTTAGTACCATCAGTTGTATCTAAAAAGTGCTCAAAAATTGCATTATTGAATTCTTTAGTATTTAATTGTTCTAATACAATATCAAGCTCATCTCTGTAATCTTTGTTCTCAATCTCATAAATGAATTGCTATTTAAATAAAGTATCAATGCGACTCACTACTCCTTGGATGCCAGAACTTATGAATTCCCTATTGTTGTCCTCTGGTTTTGGTGTTCCATATTTAGTATCAAAAAAACTAGCATCTTATTCACAAAAAGGAATGAGATCAGCCAACAGGGTACAAAAGTCTTCTGAATACAAGTTAAATAAAACAGCTTCATCATCTCCATTTATTCTATTCGATTCTAAAATGAATTCATAGATATTTGTTAAATTTTCAAAATAGGAATCGTAATATTCCAAAAAAATAGTCATAATTTCTGCAGCCCCTTGAAAACTTGAAATTTGTGCATCTGTATAATATTTATCTTCTATCAGTTTTTAATATAAAGCTTGTTAGGACTTGATTACTAAGGCACAGCTAATTGTAATATCTTGTTAAGAGGTAAATCTAATAAAACTTAAAGTCAATTATTAAGTGGGATATAAATCACTTGCTTGGGAATTGTACAAGAAGTAACCTCCAATTATAAATCCAAGAATAATTAAAAAGGAAATTGTTATAATGAAGACTTCCTTTATAATTGATATTCCAGAATTAGTGATTCTAGAATTTAATACTACATTCTGATTTTTTCTAATTTTTTTCTATCCTTCTTCATTATTGATATCCGACTTCTAAGGATTCTTATTTGTCAATTATAATTAATACTCCTTCAAAATCCTAGATTATGTGTAAACAGATTCCAAACCCAATTAATTTAAAGATGAATATAATAATTTGTAATAGTTTTGCTATTTCCAACTTTACTTTCCAATAAATGTTTACAAAGTTTCATTTACATATGAGAATCTGATAATTTGCTCTTAAGCTTAATTCTCTTACAACCTTCCAGCTAAAAGTATGATAGCTTGACAATATTTTTCAAGTTGATTCCAATAATAAATTTAACCAAACATAACCAAACATAGCACTATTATTTCAATACTTATTTATAATTGGTATTCAGTTAGCTTTGACTACTATAAATCAAAGAACAATATGTTTAATGAATCTAACAATTCAACATTCATGTAATTGACATTCTTTAAGTTATATCTTAATGTCAATAGATTATCTAGATAGTTTTGATCAATCAAATCTCCCAAATCATCAAAAGTATGATATTGAGCCTAGAATAATAAATCAGCAATATTTGATATAAAATTGATAAAATAGGTGTAAGTAACTACTTCATTGTCTTAATATAAGAAGTCTAAATTAATCTTACTTAACATCCCTTAATACTCAATTCCAATAAATGTATCATACATGCTCCTTAAGCTGCCAAGCATTGTGTCTGCAAGTACTTGGATCTCTTCTAATGTTTAAATAATTATGTATTCACTGCTATTAATAATGTTCAATGAATTAAAGACTAGACTCCAGATATAACAAAAAGTCTTAAAGAAATATCTGTTAAATAACAAAGGAGCTTGAATATTAATTAGAGTCTGTAATAATTCATCATGGTATGAACTCACATTTGTTAAATGGATAATGATATATATTGTAATTATCAAGACAATCAAAATATTGATTGCCAATAATGCCTATAAACTTTGAGTTAAATCCCTCTTAGATTAAAATTTCTTAATCACTTGAATTGCAGATATTCCAGAGGTACCAGAAGTATTGCTTGATCTTGATTTCTTAGCACTCACCTCAAAATCGTTTTTCTTTTATTGCAACTAGTTCTCTTATAATTGTTATAAAAGATTATGACTATTCTCCTTTTTATTATTGCTACTTATTCCTTTAACTTATGATGATTCTGGTACATCAATATCATTTACAGGATCTCCATTTCCATACTCAAGTTGGTTTTGTAATTCCGTAAAGTCCTTTTCAATTAATCCCTGTAATTATTACTACTTGGAGGAAGGACTGATAAATTAAATTCTCTGGGAAATAGGTGCATAACTCATGCTATCTCTTGCAGATTCTATGGCAATCAACTGTCCTTCATAATTAGATAATTCTGGCAGTCTACTTCCATACTTTTTGATCAATAATGAAACCTCATTAATTTTTGAAACATCTGGACGTATCTCCTCTACAGCTACTGACGGTGCTTCCAATCCATTTTCACTTGGTTGAATAAAAGACTAACTGTTTTCCATATTGGCTAATATGTATAATTTCAGCAATACTTTATTAGTTGTTATTTGTTGAAAACGCATTATTTGAATATTAATTGTTTGCAAGTGATTCGTTTGTTTTATTATCATCAGTTCTTCTAATGTCTAAAATTTCTAATATAAAATAAGCCTTTCTTGAATCCTTTTTCCCCATTATTCTAAATTACAATTGAACTTTACTAATAAAACATTATTTCTACTTTTCCTAAAAATACATTATTAATTTATTACCTCAAACCTTCTGATATTATCAACCATCTAAGTTTAAACAACAACGTTAAATAATGGTAATTAGTGTAGATATTAAATACTTTTGACTGAATTCTACATTTCATAATTGTCCATAAGTTATAATTGGACCAGTCTTGTTTTATTCAAATCTAATGATGTTTGACTAGTCCTTGATTTTTATATGCTTTATGATTTTTCATAGTTTTGGGTTGAAAATTGCTTTAACGATTGCTATAATCTGTATCCATCATCTAGTATATCCTTTTAATTATAGAATTTCCAAATTTTACAGTAATTATCAGGTGATCCATATTGTAAATCATTTTTTAATTTATTTCTTAAGTCAATGAGCAAATCAAAGATATTGGGAAATAGCATGCAAATACTTATTTGATATATCATATCAGGAGTGAATTTAGTAATCGATTGTTAAAATTAGAAAAATGTCTCATAAAAATTTTAAGTGCAACCAATCAGATAACCATCCTCTCCAAACAAAACAAAATCTGATGAATGTTTTACTTTAGACATGCATCCCATTAGTATATAATCATCTAAAAGTGAAAAATCATTATCAATTTTTAATTATTATGGTACCAAAAACCCTTCTCTTGAAATTCCGAATACTAATTTATAATCATCAAAAAATATAGATTTTGCACTCTATAGATAATCCTAAAGTAATCTATCGTGTTTTTCTGCAAAAAATGATGGCATCAAAGCACTTATATTATCTATTTATTAGAATTCCTATTCATCAAATTCAAAATATTTGGCCAATAACCTTTTATCTAAATTAACTATTTTCCCTCTATTTCTAACCATACTAATTTATACTAATGCTGCTCTCTCCTCAACTAACAGAATATTTGTTATTAGATCATCCTATTGTGTATGTTCAATATTAAATATTTCTGCAATAACTTATTCACATATTTAAGTACTATAATAATCATTCATTATTGCACTGAAAAACATAGATATGAATTTGATAGTTTATACATTATAAATTTAGGATAGCTTATCCAAATTATGAAAATCAAATCTACAAAATCTTTAAAGTTCTTCATGCAATATTTAAATTTTTGCACTTTAGAATAAAGCCATTCTCTCAATATCATAAATACTATTAAATCCTTTTATCTAATTAGTCCAAAAACTAATTTTTTCTAAAATTATCTCCTTAACCTTTGGTATAAAAGATTCTTAGAATTTTAAAGTTTCATGTATAGACTAAATGCTTAGTTATTTTTCTTATTATTATTGTTATTACTGAATACTATTCAATTTAATTAGATTCTGCTATTTTTTAACTAATTATTGAAGGAATTAACTCATTTAGTATTTAACTATCATAAAAAAGTATGATTGCTAGTTAGTTAGAGTTTCATACTTTTTCAATTCTACATATGCCAACAACGGGCGATTGATGTATTCAGCTACATAATTAATAAAGAATAACTCAAGTTCTTCATACATAGTTTTTGTATCGCTTTTAGCTTTTTCTAGTTCAGTCTACAACATACAATAAATAGTCTAATTTGTCAACTGAATATGATTATCATTTTTTCTGTGTTTCTTATTCCAATTTTTAGCACAATTCACTTTATGGGCTTTGTAATAGAAATATAATGAGAAGAAATGTTATTGATAGATTAATTTATTCATTGCAACGCATTATAAGTACAATTCTTATGCCAATGAAATACAAGAAAAACAATTGATGTCTACATCATAGGCTTAAATGGATTTCCTCTAATGAAACACTTCTCCTAAGTAATATGAAAACAAAGCTGTAAATAAAAGTAAATATAATATGTCCTCTTAAGCAATTATTTTGCCATCTGTAAAGACAGAGAAACTGATTATAATATTGATAAACTCAGCAACCAAACTTAATTTAAAATGAGCTTCATTCATAAATGGTAAATAGGGTTTAAAGATTAGGCTTTCAATAATTTTAAATATTAAAGAAAGATGTATTATTGCAATTTACGCATATTAAACAGTGTCTTAATTGTCAACAAAATAAAATACAGCCATAATTACCTGCAAAACATAATGTAATGGTTGGAAGCCATTAAACTTTGATTGGATGTAGTTGCTTGGAATGAATGTGTAAGCTCTTAAGAAATATTAGGAAAAGAATATAATGATTGTGAACAAAATCAAAGTAAAAAAGTTAATGATACTCTGCATTCCAAGAATTGTGTTTTAAAAATTAAGAGTTCCTGGACCATTTAAGATTTGAGACACTAGTAAAAATAAAATGGGTAATTGAAATACTGTCCCTGTGATTTGCAAGAAATAGAAGATGGATTTTCTTATTGATTAATGTTCAATAATGTTTCGATTATCATAAATTCCAAATAATAGCAAAGTGAATATGATTAGAATAATGACACTGAGTAACAGAATAGTAATTATGAATGCCGTCATTCTGAAATCAATTTAAGAGTCTGCAAAAATTGGTATGATTAATTAAGATTGAGCTACCATTTGAAATAGTTTGAAATGACCATCACTATAATTCCATAAATTCCATCCATGCATTGGCAATAACATTGCGATATATTGGGAATACATAACAAATATCGATAATTTTAACCAGAAATGAGTTGGTTATGTGGTATGCTTAATGTGAGCCAAACATGATAGCTAATCAACAATTATAAATTTCATATTGCCGCTTTTAAATATTTTTATAAAATAATCATCAAATTATATTCATTAGAATCAATATTATTAATTAATCATTTTTTTGGTAACCAAGACATATCTTTATGTTGGATTTTTTTAGCAATTTCTCTCTCCAAATAATTTAATTCCCTCTTCTATTGTAAACAAATCAAGAAAAACAAATAAGAAGATAATTTATGTTCTTTTTCAATATGCTCCTGCCAACTGATATTTCTAAAATTAAGCAAATTGATTACTATTCTCTGCATTAATCATAGGATATACCACAAATTTTACAAGACTTATTCTTTTAATTTTTTGACAATGAGTTGCTATGAGAGTATTACCCACTAATTATGCTGATGATGAGGGCGAAACACAATATGAATATCAGCATAAATAATGTAACAACAAATATGTAATTACCCCAATCATGAGTTTCATCTTCAGAATTAAAGGAATTTTGTAATCGGAATCCATTTCCAAAGAACTTCCAGAATTTAGATATGAATGAAAATCGAGCAGTCTCTTCCTCATGAAATACTTCAGCATCCTAAACTACGAATGCTAGAAATGAGTAACAATGAATCACAATCAAAGTCAGATATAGAATGAGTAGAATCTTCCAAAAGTTAACAAGTACTGATGATAATACTTTTCTTAGACTCTAAAATAATAAATAATTAAATCTATTACATTTACTCTGGATACTATATCAAATAATAGTAATGAAATGAAAGGGGAAGCAAGAAAAGATAATGCAGCTAAGATCAAATAAGTTAAGTGATACAGAAAAGTAACATTTGAGATTTAAGCTAGTATTCTGTTTTAATTTAAATATTGATGCATCTTCATTTTACGTTTTAGAGTAGTTTTCTTTTGTTTCTAAGGATCCGGATAAATCTAGTTTAGGTTTTCTGTCCCTTTCAACCCTAAATTGACATCTTCCTAATTTTGATCCTTGTAGTAATCAACTCTAAATGCTATATATGGTTATTGATTCATAATATCAATAATTAGTACAAAAGCAGATGATAATATCAGAATTATTGTTAAAACGATAACAATAATTTCAATAGTTTGACTCTTAAAAAAGAAACTGTTGACCTTTCGTTATAAATCACCCAAATAACATAAATTTAATGTAAGTACAATCAAGTAGTTTAAAATCTTCAACAAATGAATGTTGATTGAAAACCAATTCAATTTTGGATACTTCGAAATATTTTAACGAAATGCTACCTCTTTTTAGAAGTATTCAGACATCGTTTTTAACTATTCATACCTACCTCTCTTCATTCTTAACATCTTAGCCTTTTTGGTAGTTTGTTGTAATAAAAAGAATGATTGAAAAGGTAGAATAAAATATAATAACTTATTCTCATCATGTTAACTGATTTGTATTTATCCCACATATTTACTAAAAAAGTTAATAGCCTCAGCCATTTTCATACACATGTTTTTCTTAATGTTGTCTCTTTGATTATTATATTAAGCACCCTCTAACCAATTTATTGCAATCACTTCTAATTTCTATTCAATTTTACTCTCCCTTTTTTCTGCAGGGTCAATAACCTAATCTTGTTCATCGAACTTTTTGAATGGTATTGCTTCATCTAAAGATTACTTAACAAATTATTTTTTATTTGTTATTTTGTAAATGCTTTCTTTAAACTTGCTTTTAGGACTTGAATTATCACCAAACATAGTATACTATTTATTTACCAGAGGCGGAGTCTTCAAAGGAGTCGACTTCTTTTTCACATTTATTTTTTGTTGTGTCCTTAAGTCCTTTATATCTAGAGATGCAATTATAGAATCATTTGAATTCAAATATTCCTTCAACAATTCAACTCGTTTTTAATTGAACTCCTGTTATTTCACAAAATTCTTCATGCTTATGTAAATTCTTAGAAAATTTAAATTTTGCTTTTAGTTTAATGACAATTCATTTTGTTAGTCCCCAATTACTCTATCCCGTAATGTCTACCAATAGTCCTTTTTCTTATCACAATTTCCAATATTTTCAATGTTTTCACTCAAAATGTTAAATAAGATAATTAAATCAAAACAAATTCCTAATACTTCAATCTCTCCCACAGCTATGAAGTTTTATTAGCATTTTAAGTATGTGCAATTAATATTGTCTACATGATTGCATTTCTATCCTTACATAACGATATTCAGTCTTGGAGCAAATTATTCATATATCTTTAATAGTTTCTCAAATAGCATTTAAAAATTCAAGTCTGTATAACTATAATGAACCTCTAATTTCACTTATAGGAGTAATTAAACAGCTGATTTAAATAATACTCTAAAAGTATTATCCTATAAGTTATCTGCTAGAATATCATATTTCTATGTTGTTATAATAAATTAAAGGATTGAAATCAATGGTTTATGACTAAAAACTAGATATTAATTTTGTGGATTTCCTTCACAAAAGTTATTTAAGCATTTGAGACATTCTGAATATAATGTAAGTATATCTAGTTCAGTACATATATGTGTTAATTATGATCTATTGATATAATTGTAAAAATTGGATGTAAAATATAATACCTCCTCTATTAAAGCTTATTAATTATTAGGATCACAAAATTAGCAACTTCTATCAATATATAAGATTAATTTTCCAATAAATCTTAAAATTGAAATAATAATTTTAAAAAATTGCCCTAATAAATAATTTCTTTCGTTTTAAATATCCACTCTACTAATGAAAAATCCTTTTTGATCTGACTTAGTAATCTATTTTGAATGTTGCTCCAAACTTAATAATCTATCAACTTGATTAAATGCTCTTGAAATGAATTTATGAAACGGTAAACAACTTTCATTAGAGAACATGTTTCCCAATTATCCTTCATCCATTCTTTATATTTATTCAAATATTGACAAAGTTAATTAAACTTTTTTTATACAAGGTAAGGCATATTCATTATCATTTTCTTCTAAATATATCATAAGAAATGGAATTTATTTTAATGCAAAATGTATCAGTTTTTCTTTCTCTATTATGTTCTATTCTTTTTACAGTATTTCATTTAATATATGCAAGGCTAGAAATTTATCTTAGTTAGCTTCTTCTTTTAATAATCGTGAGAATGTATATATGACTTCTTCCTCACTTTGAAGTTTCAATAGAAATTATTCCTATAAGTCCTCAAATAATAATTTATCCAATCTATACAGATTATATACATTATCTGGATTGATCAATAAATCAAATTAGTAAATAAATTAATTAAATGTTTATTGAATGAAGATGGACTTTTATTGATAATACGTTTATTACAATGTTTATTTTCTTTGGGCTTCCTTTAAATCTTATTTATTGAGTTTCCCCTTTTGGCTCTCAAAATAATTTGTCAGTTATTAATAGAATTTATCTAATAAATAAATAATTATATCTACTTAAATCCAGCAAACTCTTTGATGGCTCCTTGGTTTACATATGGGTTTCATAGTATATGACTGCATCTTAAAATGTTAGATACTAATCTAAATCAGGTAGAACTTTTAATTATTTTAATTTGATCAACAAAGCAAAATGCTCATCCAAAATATTGTTAAACAAACTACAAAATTTATCTCTGCTAACTAGCTTATCTGCATTATCAACACTGTATTCTCCTTCTTGAATCTGCAAATCCTAATGAAATGAAAACTCACCTCTTATCTTATCCATCATTTCACTAATTGTAAGATGCTTGTCCATCATATATCTCCTTAATTTCTCATAAAATTAATATAAATTTTTTTTAATGTCTTCTTATGAAATTTTCGAATTCATTCTTTGTTTATATTCCTTTATTTACATTTTGATTGCCCTTTAAGTTTTGTGTTCTTGAGCATATTTGATCGTTTTGAAGTGCTTTAGATTAGAATCCAAGGGACATTAAGTTAAGCATTTTGATAGAAAGAATTAAATCTAAGCCAAATACACTCTAAATTTTGGAGTTAGCAATTAGATTTCAATAATTACCAAGGTTTGTCTCATGCTTTCTAAAATTAACTTAATTAATGCCAATGGTTCATAAAGTGAATCTTCCACTACCTAATTCATCTACTCACTTTGAAAAGCTTATTAATTGAGTTAATTTTCGGATATATTCCATTTTCTGATTTATATTTCATTGAATAGTTACTAGAGTAGTGTTAATACACCAAATTAGATATTCTACCAATTTGAGATTGCTAATACATATTTCCAATATTCAGTGTAATCATTCACAATTCTCTTTTGTTCATTAATTTATTATTATTACAATTAAGCTGCAGTATTTTGATTTGTTAATCCAAGAGTTGAATTTAATAAATTCTTTCTTTTCTCCTCTGTATCCTAAAACAGCTTGTCCTTCATATATTCTAATTGGAATATATCCTATCTCATGTTTTCCTTGTCTTCAGGGGAGTTTGATTCAAATGTCTTTACTAACCCATCTAGATATTTGGGAAATGCCAATAAATCATTTAAAATCAGCAATAATAGTTCTCTCATATCTTGCATAGAAAATGTATGGTTTGTTTGAATTTAAGTGGCGTAAACCAATTTGATTAATTCTGATTTCATTAGATAAGAGGTTCCAGGATTATGTATCATTTAATTGATTTATTCAGTAAATAAAATACCTTGGATCTGTTAAACCCCCAAGGGATAATCTTTAATTACTTAGGCTGTTAATGAATTTGAGGCAGAAAATATTTAATAATCCAATCCATAAAAAGATTATTCATCATTTTAATTTTTAATTTCATTAAATTGTTTATAGTATTAAAGTTCATTAATGAAGTTAGGCACTTTAAATAAATTACTTAATATTTCTCTTTTTATGATAGTTAATCTCTCAGGTGAAATTTATTTGTTTTGCAAAATGGATAACATAGCATAATAAAACTATTGACAACTTGATTTGTACTCATACATAGTGCTGAAGATGCATTTAACTAATTATTATATTAAACTTTATTTTTCTACCATACTCTAACAAAACACTCCAACTAATTTTGAAACCTTAATATTATTTGCTCCTAGTTTTATGATTATGAAGATATCATCTTATATTTGTTCACAATTTAATTTATTATTAATTAAAAACAAACACAATAAATTTATGCAGATTTACTATGTAGGATTAAATTCTTTAAAGACTTTAATCAATCTAAGAATTTATTTATGTACCCCTAAATTTCTGAGTATATTTTAAGTTTTTTTTAATTAAAATTGATCCATTTTAAATTCTTTAATTCTATTAATTAGTTTATTTAAGAGGTTCTCTATTTCCTGATTTTTATCCTCTTTTTATTAAACTACTCCTTCCTAATTCTTTTTTTACTAATCCTCCAATTATTAAATTAATAACTCTAATTTAGTAGGTGAAAATATGGATTCGCTCGAATTCCCTGTTAACTATTGATACAACTCAGTTTCTTCACCTTCTAGGATTAATTCAACTTATTTCAACTTTTAAATCCACTATTAATTAACTCCTTAGTTTAGTGCTTCATAACATATTTTAAAACCCTTGCTTTGAAATAGAAAATTTGAGAAATAGAATCCCAATAATGAACCCAAAATTAAATTTTTGTTTTCTCCCAATTACATCCTGCTTATGATATCTTTAATTTCAAATATAAGTTTATCTAATGACTATAGACAATAAGTTTAATGAGATCTTTAAAAATGTTTAATGAATTCTTAAATTTACACATTCAATTAAATAATGAAGTACTACTTAAACAAGAGTCCAGCATTAAAAAATAGGTCATCAATCAGATCCACTAACCCTTATTATTGTAAAGAAAGGGCACTACTGATTAATTCATTTAACCAATTTTCCTTAACTTCCAAAGCTAACTTTTCCTTTAAAGATAAAAAGGGCACAAAAATTTAAAGCATCGGTTTGACAATGTTGCAAATTTGTTCTTCTGTTAAATATCCAAATTTTATGATTTTATATATTAGATGATAGAGAGTTGTTAAGAATTTAATTTTTTATGAAACTTTGCTTTTCTATTCAACTTTCTCAGTTGAAACTGAATTAGAACTCATGGAAGGAAGGCGAACATACATTTTCTTTTTTTTAACCTGAATCAATCCTTCCTAAAAACTCTGTCCTATAGTTAACAATTCAAAAAGCAACGGTAACATTTTATCCTCAAACTCCTTTATAATTCTTTCAACTTCTGTCGGTTCAATTTAATGATTGAAAATTTAGGCTATCTTTTTGTCTTTTTCCATTTATAATTATCCCCAAATGAAACAAGTTTGAGAATCTATTGGTAGAAATGGATCTATATCTATGTATAAAACTTCATAAAGTTTTAGATAGCTATTTTTCATAGATAATGGAATTAAAGTTGATTTTATAACTTGTTAGATGTGATTGGATGATATACCAAGTTATTTAACCTTTTTCATGCATTTTTTATTCCTCCCTTTGCAAAGATGAGCCAAAAGATTCACACATGCAGTTAAGTAACTCAGGAATTATAATAATGATTTTTTATAGAGTATTTTTTCCCCCAGTTCTTCTAAAGAGAATAATTCAATTTCATTGTTTTCAGACGGTCGAATTAAATGCAATTATGATAAAGATGGATTTTTTATCAGAAAATCTGCTAAAGCTTCTTCCCTGAATAATGTAAAGGTTGGTTTTGATTGAGTGATATTAAATTAACATAGAAATTTAGTTTTCCCACTCTTTCCTTATGAAAACAATTCCTTGCATACTTTCTTTTGATATCGGATTATTCCTTGATTATTTGAATCAACCATGGCAATCGAAATGATTTTCAAGTAAATAGTCATGTCATAAATGTTATTTCCGATTTCATTAAGTGGCTCCAATAATTTAACCCAGTCTGCTAAGTCAATATTAGGCTAATCTCGCACTGCCTCTCTTAAAATAGCAGCTACTTGTGGACCATAACTCCTTATTTATTAGCATAGGAATTCATCATTATCCAATGCAATTCTTCTATTGATTGAGTTATTCTTAATTGATAGCAAGATTATTCTATAAATTTAAATTGGCATAGATGCTAAGATTTTGAATGCAATATAAGACTATAAGTGATTAAAAATATAATACTGCTGATTACTGAGATGGGAGTGGGCGATCTGTTTTATAGAGACGACTTCGGTCCTTCTCTCTAAACACCTTCTAAGATGTAAACACAATATTATCTATTAATTTCAATAATGAAAATAAGAGTTCCAATATTTTCTATTCTCTCATCACTTTTTATTTCTAGACATAATTTATTTAGTTGTTATTATTTATCTCATGTTCATTCGGCTTAATTGTCAAAAGACTATTAAGATTATCCAATTATAATTGTAAATGATACACTTCTTGTTCTAATTAAGATTTCTATGATAGAGATTTCAAGTAATCAAATAAAACAATATCGTCATTTTATTTTCTTTTATCTTACACTATTGACCATTATTATAAATACACATGAAAATTCAGAATTCTCATTTAAATTTCATTAAAGTCCTCCAAAATATTAGAGGATTAAACATCAATAGACTTGACTGAAAATAACTAAGGAGACTAATCAGTTTAAACTTGCTAAAATTAAAATTTGGCATTCTAAGTTAAACATAAATAAGTTCCTAAGGCACTTTAAATACTAACTATTTATTCATTAGACTCCTATTGACCAGTCTGTTCAGGATTTATGTAAAATACACTATAATCATCCTAAACATATCCTGATGTCAACTTTAATCTTTTTTCATCATTGGGGTCTACAGTTAAATATTACTGTGTGAAAAGAGATTTTAGTTTGCAAGCATTAGGTTATTCCAACTATTCAGTGAATGGATAAATTGGCTAAATTTCAAAATAGGTATATGAGTTAAGTAGATTACTAGATAATGCTTCATAGTCTTAAACTAAGTATTTGTTAAGATCTAGAGTTCTTAATGCAAATGATTCCTATTGTGATTGCTGTTAATCATTAGTTCCACTGGTAATCAGAGCGGTCTTATTTGCAATAAATGACAGTAACTATTTTTCACTTGTTCCAACAGCAATTTAGGATTGTTAGTGAATTATTTACACAATGTTGTTTTGATAATGTTTTACCTTGTGAAGTTAAAAACTGTCAGGACAATCACTTGCATTGATATCAATAAATTTATTGCTCGAATATCTGGATTCATCCTTCTCGAGTTTTAAAAAATATTACCTATTTGAATCTTATTAAAAGAATAATTAATCATTATACTAAATTTTATCTCCTACTTTCTTTGCACTCGAACTCGGCATTATTCTTAATATATTCTAATGTCCTATTTGAGATGATAGATTAACAGAAAATGAACCTCTCTCTTAAGACGGCATATCCAAGTTAATCATCACACTCAATTTAGACTTTATATTCACTAACACTATTCGTTAACCATAACAAATGTGACTTTAATCATTTTTTATTGTCCTTGGGTTACGAATTGTAAAAAAACATTTCTGTTAATGCGAATATGGATTATTGATGACTTGATTTGACATATTTACACAATTTATTGAACCTGAATATTTTAAATTCCCTATTAATATCAATTCATGGAACAGTACATCTGATTACTTGCCAGACATTGTAACGTTTGTTTTTATAACAAATACATCTCCAAATTTCAGAAATGGATGCTCTGATTATCTATGACTTTAAAGCTCTTATTGCGGGTCTCTATTTTAAATAAATGATTTCTTTTTTAATTTTGTGACTTCTTTCTATTCTGATTAATTCACTGATACGTCATTGTCTAAAATCTCATCTTTTTCTTATTATCTTAAAATATCCTAATTCGAATCTTTATTTATACTTATTAAGGAGTCGTTGATGATCTTACTTTTGTTTAAAGAAATGTCAATTATTTTGATTTCTTAGACTCTTATTCAAAATCCTCTCTTTATTATATTTGAGCCTCCTGACTTGATTATTTTCCAGAGTATAAGCTAATTGGTTATATTAATGTTGGCGATCTATTCAAATCCATTTAATGAGGATTGTTTTGCTTCAGCATTCTAAATGCTATTTTAAGCGCGGCAATTTTAATATGTTCAACACCTTTCTTACAAGATTGTTATGCAACAAACGAAATGTTCATGTAAGTTTCGTAAAATCAATATTTTAATATTATAAATTTGGGTTCTTTTCATATTTCTAAAATAAATTCATTTAAGATAGTGCAATTATTCATAGTTATTCTAACTTTGGAATGATATATGTAACATCAGCATTTATAAGATTGAACATTTTACATTTATTCATTACCCCTTGGATGTATTTCACTTCTTCAATGTTTGATTTTAACATAATCCCAATATTAATTGCAAACATATTAGATGAGATAAGTAAGATTATCAATTATGAGTGCTAAAATAATAATTGTTTGAAAATTATAAAATTTAAACATAAATAAATGTACATATAATTAGAATGGATTAAAACTGAAATGGTTAAGATAGGTTAAAATTTTATTGTTGATAAAAATTAAAGGGGTAATTTGTAAACAAAAATTCAATTTTCTATCCTTTAATTGCTTTAAGAAGAACATTAAGTCCACTTAAGGAAGAAATCACAGTTATGTGAATTATTAGAAATATGAAAAAAACTTTTCATTGGCTTTGAATAAATGAATTCAATCGTACTGGCGAATACATTATTTTTTAATACAATTAAAATAAAAATGATTAATGATATTTTTCAAATTTTGATGACTTAAACCATTATATTCTCTCCCCTTCTGCACTAATTTATTTATAATAATTTAGAATTTTAATTTTTAACATTTTAGTAACCAATTGTCCAAAGTTCTTCTAAATTTATCCCACTTTCTATTCTAAATTTATTGAGAACAGCTCCTAACGGCAAGAAACTAATAGTTAAAAGGAATTTTTAACTATTATCAAGCATCTAATAATATTTCTGAGGGTTTACTTTTAATTCAAGCAGGATTTATGTAATTACCTAATTTTAGTCATTGAATTAATGATTTTTTTAATTATTTTAAGAAAAACATGTCATCGAGTAAATACTACTTAGGTAAAAGTTTTCTTGATACCAATTCTAAAAAATTGAAAGATCTATGATTTTCCCTTACTGCCATTAGCCTCCAATCTCATCAGATTTATCAGAAATTTCAAATGTGGTGCAAAACTTCCGGATAATTAGATAGCCTATGCAGATGCATCAGGCTTGGTCCACCTTGGATAGAATCATAATTATTCAGGAAGCCATCACACTATATAAATGCATTTTGTATAATTAAATTTATATAACGAATATTAATATAATTTAGATTAATTGCATATAAATATTTAATTCTACAAAAATTCACTAAATTGATTTTTCTTCATCCTACATTAATACTATTTCGTCATAAGTTCTTAATTATTACTTAAAATTTGCGATGATAATATTACATTGTTATTTTTCAAGAAACTTTTTAAATATCAGCGTTTGCTAGTTTAATTTAATTTGGTTTTATATTTCCATTTACAACCTTTGATGATATTTTCAATATAATGGCAATNCATAGTTATTCTAACTTTGGAATGATATATGTAACATCAGCATTTATAAGATTGAACATTTTACATTTATTCATTACCCCTTGGATGTATTTCACTTCTTCAATGTTTGATTTTAACATAATCCCAATATTAATTGCAAACATATTAGATGAGATAAGTAAGATTATCAATTATGAGTGCTAAAATAATAATTGTTTGAAAATTATAAAATTTAAACATAAATAAATGTACATATAATTAGAATGGATTAAAACTGAAATGGTTAAGATAGGTTAAAATTTTATTGTTGATAAAAATTAAAGGGGTAATTTGTAAACAAAAATTCAATTTTCTATCCTTTAATTGCTTTAAGAAGAACATTAAGTCCACTTAAGGAAGAAATCACAGTTATGTGAATTATTAGAAATATGAAAAAAACTTTTCATTGGCTTTGAATAAATGAATTCAATCGTACTGGCGAATACATTATTTTTTAATACAATTAAAATAAAAATGATTAATGATATTTTTCAAATTTTGATGACTTAAACCATTATATTCTCTCCCCTTCTGCACTAATTTATTTATAATAATTTAGAATTTTAATTTTTAACATTTTAGTAACCAATTGTCCAAAGTTCTTCTAAATTTATCCCACTTTCTATTCTAAATTTATTGAGAACAGCTCCTAACGGCAAGAAACTAATAGTTAAAAGGAATTTTTAACTATTATCAAGCATCTAATAATATTTCTGAGGGTTTACTTTTAATTCAAGCAGGATTTATGTAATTACCTAATTTTAGTCATTGAATTAATGATTTTTTTAATTATTTTAAGAAAAACATGTCATCGAGTAAATACTACTTAGGTAAAAGTTTTCTTGATACCAATTCTAAAAAATTGAAAGATCTATGATTTTCCCTTACTGCCATTAGCCTCCAATCTCATCAGATTTATCAGAAATTTCAAATGTGGTGCAAAACTTCCGGATAATTAGATAGCCTATGCAGATGCATCAGGCTTGGTCCACCTTGGATAGAATCATAATTATTCAGGAAGCCATCACACTATATAAATGCATTTTGTATAATTAAATTTATATAACGAATATTAATATAATTTAGATTAATTGCATATAAATATTTAATTCTACAAAAATTCACTAAATTGATTTTTCTTCATCCTACATTAATACTATTTCGTCATAAGTTCTTAATTATTACTTAAAATTTGCGATGATAATATTACATTGTTATTTTTCAAGAAACTTTTTAAATATCAGCGTTTGCTAGTTTAATTTAATTTGGTTTTATATTTCCATTTACAACCTTTGATGATATTTTCAATATAATGGCAATTTGCAATCTCCCTAATGTTCTCTTCCATTTAATGTTCAGCTAATTCAAATTTATAGCTTTTTTCTCGAATGTCAAGACAAATATAGCACCAAAACAATAAAAAATACAATATTGAGAGAAGTCTTATATTGTAAAAATACAATTTAAAATAACGAACAGGAGTATTAAAGAATATAATTGTGATTTTCAAAATATCTTTTTATTGAATATCTAGAGTATTACAACGTGTAATTATTTGAAACAATACATATTTTTTTTAAATTGATTCAAGTCATAGTAATTTTAGAATTATAAATTTAAGATAATAGCATAGTAAGTAATTGAATTATTATTAAAAATGAATATCCTTAGGTGGTTAAAATATTAATATTTAATTATCAAATTAATTCGTTATTTATCAAATAGAAGTGACTCTTAAAACTAGAAATTAATTGTTAATTTAGTTATCAATATGATGTTAATTTTATGGAATCATTTTCTTAATTCTTTATATCCTACATAGCAACCGCCTACTAATGCACCCACTCCGACTGCTGGTAGTGCAATGGATCCGATTCCTGACATTGCTAATCCTTGAGCTATAGAAAAGGCACTTCCTGATGCAACACATCCAATGCTAGCTTAAGCAGCTGCAGCAAAGCTTCCTGCAACTGGTCCTATGGAAGAGAATCCATAAAGTGCCAATCCAGCCTTAGTTAAAGCAGTGCCTGCTCCTGCAACAACAACTGTTATTAAGCTTCCGTTCTTAATATTATTTAATAATCCAGGCTTCTTGGGTTTGTCTTCTGATGATGAATTCATAAAATAAATAATTTTTCACAAAAAAACAATGTTTTAAATTGCAAGACATCAATTTTTGATTCTAGAATTAAATAGAATGTAAATTATTTTTAAATTAATAATAATAATAATCTAAACATAAATTTAAATTTAATAATTATACATGTCGTTATCACTTTGTAACAATATGAGCATTCGAGTTATTAGTGTAAGAATCTCAAAACAAAGAAAGGAATTGGATTAAGATTAAGAACTATTAAGAAGTTTTTATAATATCTAGATATTAGAAACAAACGATGTTCTTCGTTCAAAATAACATATCATTCAAAAATAATTACAAAATATATCATATTTGTCTTTGTTATTTAAAATATTTTTCAATTTCCAATAATTAAATAGAGTTAGAATTGGAACAATTATATTTTCAATCTTCCTCTAACATCTAGAGTCTAATTGTTAAAGCAGATAATAAACATAATAATAAGGATGTAATAGAGTATTGATGAATATTATATCAATAGAAACTAGAACTTCAAGATGGGATTTAGAAATTTATAATAATTGAAAAACTAACCAATACTTAGAGATATTGATTTCTTAAAATTTTGGTTTCTTTTAATTTAAGAACAAAATATAATTTTAAAAATAAGAATAACTATCCCTAAAAAATTATACATATAATCGTAAATCTATTGTAATAAAAGGATTACTATGCCTTTCTATATAAGACAAATAATGAGATACTACCTTTTGTAAAGATTTACTTAAACTTTAATAAGAAGTTGTTAATGTTTAATAATAATTCGCAAAAGCTGATAAGTTGTGTCTGTTAATTTATAGATCCTAAGAAGTGATACCCAAAAATTATGTATTAAATTATTAATATAAAAACAATGAATCAAAAATTAATATGTCCTTCCCATCATAATTTAATTCAAATAGTTTGTTTGAATGAATATTGCTAATCATTTCGATTTAGTTGTTATGAATGTTTAAGCAAGGAACATCATCTTAGTCATATTAGAGATGTAAAAAAAGTATCGGATTTTCTTGATTATAAATTACAAAGGCAAAAAGAAGACTAAGAGTTTGTTAGTTAATTTTAACATTATCTTGATTAGATAATTGATGTTTTTAATTAAATAAGAAACAAATTACTATTGTTATACTAGACTAAAATAGATACTTTGGATGAAATGAATGAATTATTGAACTTGTTTTTATAACAACATTAGGAGAAATTTGACTCGATCATTTTGAAAGTTTAATAAGAGTTATTATCTGTATTAAAGAGCTACAGCGACAATCTGAATCAGATATCAATTAATTCATTCTAATCAAATTTAGGGAATAAGAATATCAAATATTAATTAATTTAAACAATAAAAGAGAGCCCTATTTACTCTTTTTCATTTAATTCTACTTCTTCGATGCTTGCTGCAGGTTATTCTACAGGTTAGATTGCTATTTTTGAATTAGGAACAGAATAAATTAGAAAATAGTAAATATTAAAAGAGCATAAAGGATCTGTTTATTCAATTGAATTTTTTTATCAAAAGGATTGTTTTATTTCTGGAGGTCAAGATAGGGTGATTTTAATATGGTCTTTTGAAAATAAACTCTGGATTTGTTAGTAAAGAATAGATGCTCATTCAGATTGGGTGAGCCATCTTATAATTAATAAAAATAATACTCTCATTATTTCTAGTAGTGGAGATAAGACTATCCAGTTTTGGAATAAAGGTGATTTATGGAAACGTAGCTAAACTATAACTGCTCATTTAAATACAGTGAATAGTTTAAGTTTAAATGATGCTGAAGATCAATTAATTTCATGCTCATGTGATCATACAATAAAAATATTTGAATCCAAAAATTCAAATTGGATAATACTTTAAACAATTAAAGTAGATAAATTAGGGTTTAGATTGTGTTTTATTAATAATTTTACATTTGTATTTTAATCTGAAAATTCAATAAATTTAAGTGTTTATAAATTCAGCTAATCGGATGGCTTATATCAACATATTAAAAACGTTTTGATAGAAAATGGGAACTATTGTGGCAATTTATTCCCTTCCAAGTATATAAGATCCAAAAATATCATACTAAATAAAAATGGAAATAAAGTTAATTTGATTAAAATACCTTCTGATGAAGAATTTATACTAGAAGAAGTTATTGATTTTGGTACAAGAGCTATATTTGGAAATATATCGTATGATGGACAGTATATAGCCACATGGGATAAGAATACAAAATAAATATAAATTAGAAAATATGTTGAATGATCTCTAATACTTGAAGAATTATTATCAAATGAAAGATTCTTTTAAAATTTTCACAATAATTTCTTGTAATTTAGTGCTAATCTCCCAGCCAATCTTAAAGATGGAATTGAAAGGACTTTATCTCAGTTTATCACTGAATTAAGAATTATATAATAAATGCCTGTTAATTTTAGAATATTTTCATAATCAAATTAAAATAGCCAGCCCTTCTTTATCAATGTATAAATATTCCTCTTGTTTCTAAAAATGCTATATCTCATCAAAATGAATTTTTAAAATCACAAGAATGCTCTTTTCCCTCTAATATTGAGAATTATTCTTGTGATCAATAGATTTATAATTGCTCTATAATTTATTATTTCTTTTTAATTAATATTTTGAAATTACTTAGATCGAAAACTATAAAAATGATAAATCAAATAGTTTTATCCTTTACTTACAAAATCCAATTTTTCACCATCAATCATCTCTTCAATAAAAACATTATAATTACCATTTAAATAACCTAAAAATAATCGTATAAACCTGAATATTAACATCCAACAATTCTAGTGATGGATTAAAGTAACATTAAAAATGTTGTTACTATTCTAAAGCTCATTTCTATCAACTTATATGCATTGCATTTCTCAACTACCAAGCTTTCTCCAATTCTAATATCCTCTTTGATAAATGAATTCTCTCCATTTAATTTGTTCAATTTAATAAAATTTCTAAAAGACTTTCACTAAATTCTATCCAAATACAGCTGAATGCAAATTTAACTTTCCTTTTAATTGCTTATCCAACAGTTTCCTATCTTTAAATTTATCAATTGCTAAAGCCCAATATTTCACTGTCCTTTTATTAAATCCCTTTGAAAGATAGGGTATGTTTTGCTTAATTCATGCAATTTATTAAAATTAAAATAAAGTAAATCAAAAACCGGAGGAAAGTATAATCAACCATGAGTTTTAATGAAATTTATTAAATTTATGAAGCTTTAATAAAAAAATAATAAGTCAGACAATTATCTAAGCAAATAGAATATTAATTATGTTTTAATCCTTTAGAATATGATATTTTAATTAAAACATATATTTATTCTTATCATAATAATAGAAAGAGTGAAAATATCATATACATTATGTAAAATATTTTATTCTCAAATAATTTATCAAAAGTTTTAAATGATCCAGAAAATAGGCTTACAGGATTTCGAAATCTGCTAGATACATAGAGAAAAAATAGTTTACATAGATAAAGAATAATCAGACTCAGCAAAAAGGGCCCTATGCAATCAATGTGTTGCCGAATAAGAAAAAAATAGGAACCTAAAAATGATAGATAATATCAAAAGTCAACTATCTAATTTAATGGAGTACTTAATTTAGAATAGAGAATCACGAACATCATAAAATATTGATTTGCTAAAAGAATTGCATAATTTTTTACATTAATAAAAAGGAAAGTTTTGTTACTAAATAGAAAAATGTCAATAGAACATAGATAATTAAATCAGTCTTCTATAAAAGGCTAACTTTTAATACAAAAATAAAATAAGCCAAATAACAATACTTGATTTGAATAGTCCAGACAAACTAAAGACTTAAATAAAAAAAGAATTTATAGATTGCAAGGGAGTTAAGGATTATTTGATGAAACAGATAAATGGTTTTGAAGTATTTTCGATAAAGTAATTATTTGAAGAAAGAATATAGAAAATTGATTTTGGTGATTAAAATTTAGAATTAGAATAACTATGTAATTTGGAATAAGTGAATAATGAAAATGAATAATAACCAAAAAATATTTGGAAGTGTGACCTACATAAGGAGGAGATTATGTTTATAGATTTGGGACATTAATAAACTATTCCTAATCGATTGGCATGTAGAAAATGTGTGCCAAAATACAATATACAGTTTACAAATATTGAAGACTTGTAACAATAGTGGTAAAGGTATGACTAAGATACTCAAAAGTCAGCTTAGACCTATCTGAATTTCCAAAAAAGGATTAATAATTAAATTTTGAAAACGGTACAAGAATTCAAGATTGAAATTAATCAGGATATTGATGGATTATGCTAATTAATTCAAAAATCTCTTTAATTCAATGTTTATGATTCCTTATACAAACCATTTACATTGTTATAGAAAGATTGGCTGACCATTTCAAAGGATGAAATCATAATTATTGCAGATTCTTTAAGTTAAAAGAATAGAGACTAAATTATTAAAGCAAATGTCAGAAATGAATTCAAACATAATGAGTAATTTTTAAAAACTACTATTGTTAGTAATTTCTAGAAGTTCTAAAATCTTATCAATACATTAGTATCTGAGATATAGGAAACAATACCTAAAGAAAACAATCTTTACTTCTCAAATAAAAAACATTATTAAATAAGAAGGCCAAAAAATTATTCATTTCTTGGTCCTGCAACAACCCGTAATGAACAGCTCTCTACTGAGAACTCTCCATTAATTAAGAGAGAATTTGATATTGAATCTAATCGTGATTCTCTCGAAATAGATTTAAATGATCGAGATTCCCCTTAAATAAAAAAGATTTCTAAGATGAAATCCCATTTTAGGTAAAATTGGGTCAAAAGCATTTAAAGGCCATTTCAATATGAAGTGGTCAGTGAAATTAATGAAAACTCACAAACTTTTACATTTGCCATTAATTCATAAACTTCAATTTTAGTTTTGGGATAATATAAAGGAACAATCAAAGTTTTCTCTTTTGATGATGGATCATTAAAATTAATATAGGTTTTAAAAGAACATAATTTTAATGTAAAATGTCTTTACTTTATGAAACAATCTTCATCGTTTTTATCTGGGAGCAATGATAGATCCATAATAATTTGGTAGGAAGATTTTGATAAAAGATGGTATAGTTCTTAGAGGTTAATAGGTCATCAAGGGTATGTTTAATGTATCATCATGAATACTTAAGAAAATCTTATAATTTCAGGTAGCTAAGATAAGACTATAAGATTTTGGATCAAAGAAATTGATTGGAAGTGTCATTAAATAGTGAGGGCACACGATAACAGTGTAAGGAGTATTAGTTTAAATACTTTTGAAGATTAATTAATATCTTGTGCAGAGGAAGATCTAAAAGTATTGGTCATATAACTTTAAAACGATCATAAAACTTGGGCCATAGTAAATGAGATTAGAGTAGATTATTGGGGTTCAAGTATACTTTTTATAGAAGACAGTATGTTTGCATTCCAACCATATGGGATTGATTAGCTTTATCTCTTCAAATAGTAAAAGACTTAGAAAAATTAGTATACCTTTAAGGAATCGATAACTATTAAAAGTGGAGAAGATTGTACTGCTTTATTTCCTCAAGTTTTCATAAAGTAAAAATCTATTTTGATGACAAAAAATGGTCGATTTATTAATATACTTCGAAAAGATAAGAATGATGAATATGTAATTGCATAATCATTCGAAAATTCAGTAAATTGTTGCGGAATTTAAGGAACTCTTACATTTAATGGAGAATTCCTAATAATATGGGATGGACAAGTCAATAAGATCATAGTAAGAAGGATTGAAGAATATTGATTCTGATGTTTGTTATTANTTCATCCAAACCAGATCCTTATTAGTTTATTATGAAAAAATCTACCTAATATATTTTAAATAGATCCATCAATTTGGGGAATAATGAAAAATTTATAGAAATGAACTTTAATTAAATTTAAGTTATCAATCTAAATTCAGCATATAAAGCCAGATGGAAGCATAATGTAATTATTTCATTACTACTTTCTTCACTATTGGCACTTCTTGCTTAATTCATCAAATGACAAAATTTCAGCTGAATCATTATAAACTGTCGATGACAATGAAAGATCATTTAAAATACAATTTCAGAATAATTAATAATATTAATCATTAATTATTATAATGGCATGTTTGGAGGATATTTTGAAACAACCGAAATGAATGGGAATGGGAAATATAACTTCTTCTCTATTCTTGCAATAATTTATATTCATAAGACATGCGTCTGTTTGACGATGTTCCTACTTTTTAAGTGTCTTAAAAAATTAATTGTAATTTGTTTTGATATTTGTTATCCTCAAAAGAATTTCGGTTAATATCCAACCCCAGATGACTATTATTTATTAAAAGTCATTTTAATTGAATATTATAATAATATAATATAATATATAAAGAGAGAAGTGTTAACTAAAATGAAAATATAAAGAGTATAAATTTCTCAATTTTCATTTGCAAATAATTACTATTATAAACTAAATTACTTTCTGATAGATTGATATAGTAGGCAAATTGGTGTTTGTATAAATTTATCAATAAATATGTAATCAGATATTTTCAGGTTTTTAAAGAAATCAAGGTCCTTGCATTTATATTCGATTAATACAGAATCTCAAATTTTACACAGCTGCTTTTTCAAAAGAATAAAGTTAAGAATTTTTATATATTTTTCAAAAATGCTATAAGAAGCATTCTCTTATGAACTTTAATCGCGCCTTTCCTATGATTCATAGCTATGCTTGGCGATTGCAATCAACCACAACAATTAATAAGTAATTGCAAGCGAATACACTTTTATTAAACTTTTCCAATTCAAAGATGGTGTTTTGAGATTATTGAAGACTGTTAAAAACTCAGGTGATATCGTAACGCTTAATTATTTTAAGAAAAGATCACACTTTATTTCAGGTTCATATGATTCCTAGCTGACTATTTGGTCTACTAATATTTAAACTTCGAAATATTTAGTAAAATTATCTGGGTGCTCAGATAACATTAATTGTCTAGTCATTCACCCTAGCGAAGATCTAATAATTTGTGGTTCTAATTGTATCCAATTTTGGTCTTAGGATTCTGAATTCGCATAGCACTAATAATGGGTTTAATTTTAAAATATAGAAAATCAAATAGATAGATGTTTTGGATTATCAATAAATTAAAATGGGAATGAATTAGTGTCATGTGGAAGTAGTAATTAAATACTAGTAATGAGGGGATCAACCAAACAATTATGGAAAATTATTTAAGCAATTAGTGTAGAAAATTTAGGTTTTAGATTGACTTACATTTCCGATCGAGTATTCTCATTTTAACCTGAAAAATCAAATTGTCTCGAAATATACTCTTTCAATTCGCTTTTAGGACAATATGTTAAATACAATGATATACAAGTCAAATTAAGTGAAGATTATTGTTATGAGTTTTTTCCTTCTGTTTACATTCCTTCTAAGAAAATTATACTCTCAAAAAATGGTCGAAGCATTCATATTATCAAAGTGTTCACCTAATCTGAGTAGTAAGATGTGATGTAGTTTAAATTATAGCAAAGCATTTGTTTTGGTACTTCAAGTATATTTGGAACAATGAGTGATAACGGTGAATATTTAATTACTTGGGAATATGATATTGGTTAAATTTAAATTAGAAAATATTTGGCGGCGTGATGAGTGATAGGATTTATATTAATGCATTTAATCCACCTCTTTATATATTTTATTTTAGATTTTGAGAAATTACAGTTGACAAGTTTAATAATTATTTTATTTTAATCAATTGTGTAGTAAGATATTATGTTTAGTATTAATCTCTTAGTATTGTTTAATAATGTTTTTAGATTTTAGAATGGCATTATAAAGAATGTTTTTAAATTCTTCAACTAGTTTTGAATTACACAGTAAATAATATGAGTTAAAATAACAATTATTACAAATTTAAAAATAAATTTACAATGTTTCCAATACATTTTATTGGTAAAAATTAAATTGTAAACAGATTCTATAAAGATGTTTTAGAATAAACAATTAAAAAACTCTCATTACAAATCAGTTTAGGTTGTCGTTGATATAGTCCATTCATGTATTTCACATTTTTTTCATCTTCATTAACTTCTCTTTGTTGTCTTTTCTTAAGCGCTGTTCTAAGTTTGCAGATCCTAAAAGGTTGGTTTTTAAAGGCTAAAGAGTCAATTTCCTTTTTGCTTCTTTTAAATTGAATACTAACTTAATGTAGAAGAGTTTTTTATGCTACTTCGTCTATTCGATCTCATACAAAGCAGATTTGACTAAATTTCAGAATCATTCATCCTAAGTGCTTTAATTTAGAATCTGTTTTTTCTGAAGGATAGATGAATTTGGTTTCTTATTTCAGATATTATTGATTTAGTTTCATCTCCGTAATTTCTAGTTTTGGACATTATTATATTTTATGATTTTAATGGATGCTAGAAAGTTTGAAATAATATGCAGAATCAATTTTAAATGAAAATATAAATAATAGATTCTTATTTAATTAATTTTTTATCACAGAAAATCTGAGTCATTTATATTTTATAACAGCATTTAAACTCTAATCACATTGTATCATTTATATTAATTCTTTTTTTATAATTTTATTAATTAGTTTTTCGCTAGGAAGAAAAACTAAGAAAAATTATAGGAAATTAGTAAATTTTACATAATAATTTATTAAATTAATGTTATCTACAAACTCCTTCTCCTTTATGTGGATAACAAATAGAATCCTTTTGATGGTCACATTTTATCACTTATTCACTATTTAAATATCAATCAAAACAGATAAATAATTCATATTAATGTATACACCTTAAGAAATATAAAGTATTGGAATGAATAACTGAAAATTTTTGATGCTAAAAACTTCTTTTGGTTCCACTCATATTTTGAATGCAGTCATTAATTTTAAGGATAAAAAAAATGTAGCATTATTAGATTACTGCATAGGATTTTTAAGTTTCTAAATACTTCTTTGAACCTCTCAGTAAAAATTATTATTAATCATCATTGATCCAATTTATCAATAAATAGTATTGCTTTGTTGAATTACAAATTATAATCTTAATGAATCGATTAAAATTGTGGAATTCTAGAACATTGCATCTTTTTTAAAGTTCTAAAATATCATGAGTGATATTTCAAAGTTCTGCATCAATTACCTGAGAAATTTAGCAATTGTGATTTATAAGGTTTGTTTATATTTCAATTTTAATGAATTGGTTAATATTTTTATAACTTTTTATCTTCAATTATGATCAGAAATTATGATCAGAGTATAGTGTGTGAGAATCTGCGAAAGTTGTAAAATTATAAATTAGTATTCTATCTTCATTCTATTGCATAATGGAAAGAAAATATCAAAATAAAGATTAGAGTTTAATAAATTTTTTATTTATGAGTATAAATGAATACGAGAGAGTCAAATTCATATTCCCTCGTTTCGAGAAATTCATCATAATGGTATCATATGAGATAAAATAAGCATAGGACTTTAATACTAAAATAGCATTGGAGGATTTGAAATTTACATTTGTTAATGTTTTGAAGATTGATCTCTTTGCTCGAAAACTAGCATTTTTTATAACTAAAGGTTTCAATTAAATAGAATTGGATTCCTAAAAGTCTCTTTAAGGGCAAACAGTATTAAGCAATTTCAAAAAAGATAAATCTCAAATGGAGATTGTCGTGAAATTTATTGAAGAAGGAGCGTGAACTTATTTATAGTTAACTGTTTTATAGTTTATTTGTTTTCTCAGGGATATAATGAGAGAATTTCACAAAAAATTATATTATTTTAGTTCATATATTTATTATATATTAACAAGATTTAAATTTAATTTTAAATTATTCTTTAGAAGTTCTTATCATACTATGGAATTTGTATCATCCCAATACTTTCAGGGGTTTAGCTTAGATAGATATGAAATTAAAATAGACTAATGCTAGCGTGAATTTATTAGCTGATAATTAAAAATATTATAATTCTCAATTTTGCAAAGATTAAATCAAACAAATCCTATTGCATCTTATTATGCTATACAGGTAATAAATAAATAAATTTAACAAAAATAAAAAATTAATACTTCTAATGGAGTCATTCTAACCATCAAAGACTCTTAATAAGTTAAGTCTTGATATAGGGTGGGAAGATCTAAGTGGTTTGATAGGCTGCGCTGCCTTTATGTTTTCGACTCAGACCATAATTTTTTAAATGGAGGAGTTGAGGCCTTTCGAATTTAAGCTTTTAGGGATGTGCTAGCTTAGCTGTTTAATATCATATAGCACCTATGGTTTTAAGAATGTTAAGTTCTGAAACTTACAATATTGAAGTATTATAAAAAATAAACAAAGTTATATAACTAATATTTCATCTCATGATTTTCAGATTAAAGATATTCTAGCTAATTTTAATATGTTCATACAATAATTTTTTTAAAAAATTCCAAATGTCAAGTAAAAGATACAGTTCAGGTTCAAAGGGAGGTAGTCCCTAT